GAGAATCCTTGTGCTACAAGGCGTGCCTTGTGTCTAACGACTTCGCCGAGTTCGTTTCTTTTACGCACAAAGACCCATTTGTTTCCCACTGGTTTAACATCGAATGGTGTCCTTAAGATCGGACCAAACACATTCCGTTTCTTTAAACTATTCAACTCCACGTTTATGGCTTCTTTCCGTTTCAGCCAATCTGATCTACGAGTGCACTCAATTATAGACGTGGGTTCTAGATCCTCTTGCGTGTGCGCAATCTCAAGTGCTACCTTGTATGCAAAAGTTTCATTGATGTCGACATCTTTTCTGTTCCATAGAGAACCGAATATGATATAATTGATTGAGATCTCATTATTATTAATCCCTTCAGAACCTTGAGTTTTGGCGTCCCAAACCTCTTGAGATGGTTCGATAGGGTAAGTATCAGCTGAGGCTGTATCCGTGTTCTCTTGAATCCCGGTTTCAATCATTGCACCTTTCTTTGATTTCCGGGGATTCTTATCTTTGGAACCTGGTGGTCTGCCACGTTTCTTACGTGCGTCAGACTCTGTAGCAACTTGACTTTTCCCTGAGGGGACATCTATTCGTACTGGTGCATTACAAGCTGGTATGTACGATTTGGTAACTTTGTTCGGGTCAGCAAAGAAATCTGGCAATTGATTAGCTAGCTTTTGTAAATGTATAATTCTTTGGACCTCTGAATCACATTCTAGAGTCCGAGGATCTTGCCATTGTGTGGATGTTTGATTCCATGAAAGTTCTTTTACCAGCTTGTCTGTCTCACCACCTAATCTAGGATATACCGATTCATCAAATCGGCAATCTGCATATCTGGCTTTAAACAGATCTCCTGTAGTTGGCTCGAGATATTTTATGATGGTGGGAGAATCAAAATCAACATATATTCCCATCCTCCTTTGAGGTCCCATTTTAGTCCTCTGTGGTGGTGCAATGGGTACATAGACTGAACACCCAAATGTTTTAATATGGGAGACGTCTGGCTCATGACCCGTTAGCAATTGGGATGGTGAATATTTATGCTCACTAGATGGTCGTATGCGTATTAGTTCAGCGGCATGTAAGACTGCGTGTCCCCAAGCTGAGACCGGGAGTTGTGATCTCATGAGTAATGGTCTAGCAACCCATTGAATTCGTTTAATGAAGGATTCAGCTAATCCATTTTGTGTATGGACATGTGGAACGGGATGTTCAACACTTACCCCCATGGACATACAATATTCATTAAACGCTTGGGAAGTGAATTCACCAGCATTATCAAGACGTATAGTCTTTAATGGGAAGTCTGGAAAATGGGCTCGTAATCTGATGATTTGGGCCAATAACCTAGCAAAAGCCTGGTTCCTAGAAGAGAGCAGACAGACATGCGACCAGCGGGTCGATGCGTCAATGAGGACCATGAAATATCTGAATGTCCCACAAGGTGGGTGAATTGGTCCACATATGTCTCCTTGGATTCTTTCCAGAAAGTTCAAGGTCTCTTTAGACACTTTGACTGGTGAAGGTCGGGTAATCAGTTTCCCTTGTGAGCAAGCTGTGCACTTAAGGTGCTGAGGGAAAATACCATTTGGTTTAAGGCTGTGCCCTTTAGAATTCTGGACTAATTTACGCATCATGTTCGCACCGGGATGATCCAGGCGATCATGCCAAATAGTGTAATCTAAAAACCGTGTTTTGATAGCAGCATTAGCCTCAATCATATTGACTTTAGCATGGTAAATGCCAGTAGATACGGCGGGTATAGTTTCAAAAACTTGTTTATGGTCATTTATCATTTTAGTGATAATTAAAAACTCTTTGTTCCCTTCATCCTGAGTTTCGATATGGAAACCATTCAATCTTATGTCTTTGAAACTCAATAGGTTTCTCTTAGAACTGGGTGAGTATAAGGCATCAGAGATGTCTAGATATGTGCCATTTGATAACAGCACATTAGCTTGGCCATGGCCCTCTATTAGGCTCGAACTACCCGCTATAGTGCTAATGTGTTGCGGTTTTGATTACTAAATTTATGAAGTAATTCTTGTCTTTTAGAATGGTGTGGCTCGATCCACTATCCATAATGATATCCATATTGTCTTGCATATCTTTTCGCCAAATGGATTTCTGACCGGCTTATGATCTGGGAGCTAAAGACCACAGATATCTACTGGAAACTCCTGAGAATGATGGCTAGAAGGGAGGACGAACAGCTGCTACAATGGAGGAACCACCGCTTGGAAAGAATCACCCGCTAAGGTGGGACAGCGCCGATTGTTTTGAGTCTTGAGGGCGCGTCTGGTGTCGGATTGAGGAGCGGTTTTCACCACTAGATTCTTCTCTTCCAGGGCTTCAAAATGATATGTAGATCGCCTTCTAACTCCTTGTATTTTGAGAGATATGATCGTTTGAAGTTGAGATTCGTGCTGATAACGTATTAAGGGAAAAAACTCTAATCTTATTATTTCCATAAGCAGTGTATATATACATTACATAACTAATGTATCAGAAACCCTAATGGGTCATGAGAAATTAACTTGATGGTTAATGGGCCGGTTACTAGAAGTCCATTTGTATTTCAGAAAGTTGTTCTCTATAGACATTAACCTGATGGATAACAATTTACCTTGATAATTATTGTATTTCAGAAAGTTGTTCTCTATAGAAGAGAATGATTTATGTTCATTTTCATTTCAATTCGGAATCAAATTTGAGAGATGGTCACAAAGATGAAAAGTTTGTGCAACCGTAGTTATTAGAGTTAGCAAATTAACATACAAAAACATTCACACATATTCACTGGCACCAAAAAGAATTCAAGAAAGATTTGTTTCCACCTTAATGGGTGATGATTGATACAATTTCAGTCAATAAACGTTTAGCAACACAACAATCTCAGGCCATTTGATGAAACATGAATGATAAATAAAATCAACACTACCAATATAATAGTAGTGTTTTGTCTGTGTGTTTAAGAGGTAATTAACTCCTAATTTACCCCTTGTAGTCATTGTATTGATCGCACCGCCTTCGAACCTCTCCATGCTTCTCCGTCTTCACCTTCTGCTCGCTAACCTTCACCATCGCCTTCGCAAACGCGTCGAAGAACGCCGTTTCATTCGCCGCGTAGAGATCCACCAACGATCGCGTCCTGTTATCAAACGCGATCGCGTGATCCGACGCAAGCAACCCGTAACCGTGCTTCAAGTTCCTGTAATACATGTTGTCGAATTTCCCAGGGGTAAAAACGTCATTAAACGCAGACATCTCTTCGTCCTTTGTGTAATTCGCGCAAAGCTTCCTCAGCTCCGCCGCGTATTTCGGATTCATCCCTTCCGGAGAACCGGACTGGTTTTCGCCGTCGAAGATTCGGCTCGCGAACTCTTTGCAGTGAGAGAAACCGATCGTGTGTGCTCCGACGAGAGCCACCATCTCTTGTACGGTCAAGTCACTGGACTCGAAGATCGAGATGATGTGATCCATGGTCATATTAGGCCGAGCTAGTTTTCTTTCGACGCGATTCATATCGGAGACGAGACTGTCTTTACGACCGAATTTGACATTGATTTTAGGACCTCCGACCATGGAGACGAGGCTGCGCGTAGCTCCGACGAGGATGTCGGAGCATGAAACGACGTTGGGGCATTTGAGCTCGACGGCGGTTTTGATCCGAGTGATTAGGTCGAATGCGTCTCCGGGGAGAGATCGGTTGATGTCGGCGTCGCGTTCGGAGGTTTTACGGGGAGTAGAAGCGACGAGAATCGAGGCGTCGCAGCCGTCGACCATACAGTCGTGGAAAAAGAGACGGAGTGTTCCGGCGGCTGTTGTTGGAGCAGCGATTTGTTTCTCGGTGACGATTTGGACTAGGGTTTGGTCGAATTCAGGGCATGTTTTGCTGTAATAATCAGGCGAGAGGTTGGCTTGGAGGAGAAATGGAAACGACAGGAGAATAAACAGACAACGTAACCCACAAGATTTCATCGATGAAGAGGGATTTTTTTTTTTTTTTTTTTTTTTTTAAATGTTTTCGTATTTTACCGCTGAATTCAAATTCTCTTCTTATTGGTTGATTTTCTCTTTTCTTATTTTTTATTTTTTATTTTGGTTGTGTGCGTGTGTTCTTTTTAGCTTAGTTTTGTTGATCTGTTAATTTTGAAACGGAGGTTTTTGTTTGTGATAATCCAAGGAAGAGAGAGTTTCAAGGAGAAACAGAAAAACGATATTTTACCAAATTGTAAAACCCTTTTTTAGTCTCCACAATTTTTAGCAAAATGAAGGAGAAATCTGTCTAAATGAAGCTCAAAACCAATATAAGAGAATTTTGTAATTCCTTTTTTTTTATATAAGAAAAGTAAATTTTTTATCATGAGCATTCCCGCGCTAGAAGACCAATGTTGCTATTCCTCTCTGGAAGTTAACGAGTGAGAAAGAACTCCAAACAAAACTTTTTGATTCATTCATTTATAAAACAAAAGCTAACTAGTCATCCTGCAACCATTTGGGTCAAATCCATTGACTTTGTCACAAAATGAACATAAAACTGATTCTTTCTTTCTTTATAAATAAAAACCATAGCTCAAATCAGACTAATACAGTTTTAAGATGGAGAGTAGAAACTCTCCAACGACTCTCATGTAAACCAAATAGATTTGTTGTTTCATCTTGATTCTTGAAGTTGTAATACCTATGGCTATCACACACACTATTTGATGACAGCTTCAATTTTGTAAGGCTCCTATCCACTCGTAGGAGATCAGTCAAGAACCATTGAATAGTTTGTCATTTTTCGTTTTCCAAATTTACACTAGAAGATCTTAAAGAAAAAACAAAGATATACTAATTTTCTTCGTTTCTTAGTAGTATTTTTTTATTTACACTTTTTCATTTAGCAAAGTTTAAGAGAGAATAATTCTCCAACTACATATAGTTAGGTGCCACCAACGCGAAACGTGAATAATGCGCGTTCAATTATATAAGCCATCAAAGAGCTTATAACTGAAAAAAACAAACAGAAAATCAAAAGCCTCTGCTTCATTTGAGCTACAATGGCGGAAACAGCGAACAAATGCAAAGGCCACGTCGTGATATTACCTTACCCAGTTCAAGGCCACCTTAACCCTATGGTTCAATTCGCTAAACGTCTCGTCTCCAAAGGCGTCAAAGTCACAATCGCCACCACTACCTACACCGCCTCCTCCATCTCCACTCCATTAGTCTCCGTCGAACCAATCTCCGACGGATTCGACTTCATCCCCATAGCTATTCCCGGTTTCAGCATCGACACCTACTCGGAATCCTTCAAGCTTCACGGCTCCGAAACCCTAACCCGCGTGATCGAGAAACTCAAATCCACCGATTCCCCAGTCGATTCCTTGGTCTACGACTCGTTTCTTCCGTGGGGACTCGACGTCGCCAGATCTAACTCGATCTCAGCTTCTGCTTTCTTCACCAACAACCTCACCGTCTGCTCTGTGCTCCGTAAATTCTCCACCGGAGGTTTTCCTCTCCCCGCAGATCCCGATTCGGCGCCGTTTTTAGTCCGTGGCTTGCCGACGCTGAGCTACGACGAGCTGCCTTCCTTCGTCGGACGCCACTGGCTGAGCCACGCGGAGCATGGGAAGGTTCTTCTGAATCAGTTCCCTAACCATGAAAACGCCGATTGGCTTTTCGTCAACGGCTTCCACGGCTTGGAAACACAAGTAAGAAGAGTCTAAATCATATACACTCGATTTCAAGATTTGATGTAGTTTCTCAATTTGGAACTGGAATTTGGCTGTGTTTGATATTAGGATTGTGGAATTGGAGAATCAGAGGCAATGAAGGCAACTTTGATCGGACCGATGATTCCTTCGGCATACCTCGACGAGCGGATAATAGACGATGAAGGCTATGGCTCGAGCTTAATGAAACCACTCTCAGAGGAATGTATGGAGTGGCTCGCCACTAAGCCAACACAGTCAGTAGCGTTTGTTTCGTTTGGTTCCTTTGGGATCCTCTTTGAGAAGCAGCTCGCTGAGATAGCAATTGCTCTGCAAGAATCGAACTTGAACTTCATTTGGGTGATCAAAGAAGCTCATATCACGAAATTGCCTGAAGGGTTTGTGGAATCGACCAAAGACAGAGCCTTGCTGGTTTCTTGGTGTAACCAGCTTGAGGTTTTAGCACATGAATCTATAGGTTGCTTTTTGACACACTGTGGTTGGAACTCGACTTTGGAAGGGTTGAGTTTGGGGGTTCCTATGGTCGGTGTGCCGCAGTGGAGTGATCAGATGTGTGATGCTAAGTTCGTGGAGGAAGTTTGGAAAGTTGGGTTTAGAGCGAAGGAGAAAGGTGGGGAAGGAGTTGTGAAGAGCGAGGAGGTGGTTAGGTGTTTGAAAGGAGTGATGGAAGGAGAGAGTAGTGTGAAGATTAGAGAGAGTTCTAAGAAGTGGAGAGATTTGGCTGTGAAGGCAATGAGGGAAGGAGGAAGCTCTGATCGGAGCATTAACGAGTTTGTGGAGAGTTTAGGGAAGGAAACATTGAGGTAATGATATTGGGATTTGTAAATCACGGAATGTAATTTTTGTGTTTTGTTGTTGTTTAAGAGCATTTCAGTAATGAAGAAACCAATTGTGAGTTTGATGTAGTATGTCAAATAAAACCACGCAATACATTAAAAACGTTGATAATGATAGACTTTTCTCTCTGTGCTCTACTACGTACACTTGATCCGTGATTTGGAGTGCACTCGCATTGACATGTGTCTATAGATTATAGACTATAGACTATAACCACATCTTCAAACTCCTATCTCAAACAAGCCTCTGATTATTGTTATCAATCATGAATGAATTCATTTGGATACTTGAAAGTTTTTTTCTTTTTTTGGGTGCTAAAGGTACTTAAAAATTAAAACATCCTCGATCGAAGAAAACCATAAAAAAGATTAGAGGTCCTGTACGTGGGCTAGTAATAATAACCAAACCGCAAGGCCTTTTTAATACAATAATATAAATAAAAAAGGTAAGAGACCTTGATAGCTGTTAGCTTAAAAGTCCCACATCGGAAAGCTGAGAGACTTTGATAGTGAGAAATGCAATATAAATGGACTTCACTCTTCACTGAATAGAAGCACGCAGCCATGTGGTGAACACATAGCGAACTATTCTTTCGCCTTTTACTAAAGAATACCGTGTGTTCTCCACGCTAAGTGGCATACGCCTATTTTTGGAGGGTTTCTGCTTTCGAGTGGACCCAGCATTTACTAGTAAAATTGTTATTTGTCGAAATTGAAACTAACTCATTTTACAAGTTCATTATCTTATAGTGCATTCGCTTTTTTTTTTTTTTTTTTTTTGAATGAACGCTTAAAGTTTAATTGATGTCATTTGTGTGGAAATCTTGGTTATCTTATCATTGTCAAAGATGTAAAGCATTTGCGGTCTTTCTGATTTGTAGATTGGCTGTTTAAAAATTTGTCAATTAGGATTCGTGGTAATGCCCAGAATTTCTAAGCGTTAAATACTTAGATTTGCCGGACGTAGTTTAGAAGTAGCAACGAAGAATGTGCTGGATTAGGTAATTATCTTTGGATGTTTAGTCTTTTGTGATTACTGTTTAGTGTTTAGTAACCTAACACAAATCTATTATAAATCTGCCCAGAAGATCACTTAAGCATAGTTCAGCTTCCTAACACCAATTTAGAGGAGCTTGTTTCCTTCGTATATGTTGTTGATTCTATGTATTGGAGGCAGTATCTCTGGGACGAGATACAAACTTTGGCCACGGATCCTATTGTCTCTTTTTGAACCACATGCAACATTGGGAGATTTCAACCAGACTAAACCCATCCGAAAATCCCATAATCATAAAGGGTGCTCAATTAAAGTCACATATATAGATTTTTGGGTATAATTTCTAGTTTGTCCTCAGTCCTCCTTACCTAGTTACGTAACACAAAACTATATCAATAAGTTAAGATATCTATAAAACTGTTTTAAACTCAATGCAATGGGTGAAGGAGGAAACTCTGAACTGGGCATTAACGAATTTTGTGAGGAGTTTTAGAAGAAACGTAGTGATGATGAAATTTGATTAAATTTTCCAAATAGCAGTATGTGCCTTTGTTTGTTTGTTGTTGTTTTAAGTTGTATTGAGATTATGATTCAATAAAACAGTTGTGATTGAATAACTTAGGTAAATACAGCCAACAGGCCCAGTGTTTACATACAGCCCACAAGTCTTTTAAAATCATTTCAGCATCCCACATCGGAAAGCTGAGAGAGCTTGGTAGCTGAAAATGTAGTATAAGTAGACTTCACTCTGCACTTAATAAAACACGCAGCCATGTGGTGAGCTCAAAGCGAACTATTCTTTCGCCTTTTACTAAAGAATACCGTGTGCTCTCCACGCTAAGTGGCATACGCCTATTTTTGGAGGGTTTCCGCTCAAGAGTGGACCCAGCATTAACCAGTCTCAATTTTTAAATATATATAGAAATTGTTTAACCTAAAATGGTTTTTCTCATAATACCAACTTAGCTTCCGAGTTCATGCAAGTTAATTGAGTTTTTTGTCCACATATAGCTAACTTTAATTTAAAGGACTGTTCGAGAGTTATCAATTTGGAATCTTAGGACTGTTCGAGGGTTTGGATACTGGAATTTGTCAGACGTGTAATTTACAAGTAGCAACGAAGATTATGCGGCTTAGCTTTGGAAGGGTTAGTCTTTGTCTCTTTGATATGATCACTGTTCAGAAAAGTAACACAAACCGTAAGCTTTGGTCCCTGGAAAAGTTAACTCTAACCATATTCCCTTATACTTATACAGTATATGCAGACTCTAAATCGGTACAAGGGTCGTCACAAGTATCGATCAATGAATTCTTCTCGGTCTATAAATCGCTCCAGCAGCTCTTTGTCTTTGAGAACCAAGCAATCCTCAGCTTTTCCAAACCAGTCATAACGATGGTTCGCCACATAGTCATACACCGAGTCTCTCAGAGGAGTGGGAACTATGGAGAAAGCGTTCAGTGCGGAGTATGGCAGAGGCAAGTACGATACCACTCGAAGTGCAGCTGCAGAATCAAAAGATACACAATTAAAAGATCAATCCATGGCTTTGTTCAAGAGATTTGGGTTTAAGGAAAACATGTTGATCATGAACTCCAATCATAAGAAGTCACTACGTAAGCACAAGGCAAGAACTCAAGAATATAACATCAAAGGACATAAGCAGTCTTTAAGCTTATTCATCCATTTCAACATCTTATACTTCACTCAACCGACTAAATCCATCTACAAGAACTAATCAGCTTGGCATACATAACTAGAGCGAGTTCATCTCGGTGCTTCTAGTGGAAAATTAGAAGTACATCAGAATTTGCAGTGTCACAGCTAATTCTTACGCAACTCTTTTTAACTGTGAGATTTCTCTAAGCAATTGTGCCAAAACAAGATTTACGTACCGGTTGATGCCTGATGGTATGACCCGAGACCTTCAACAAAGAGAAATCGCTTCTGAACATCTTCCTTAGTGACTCCACTCACTGTTAGATAGGGCTCAGCGGCTTTAGACTGAAGGCAACAAAACTTTATCTTTCTGTGCTTATCCGCTTTGATTATCCACTTCACACCTACATTGAACAATGTTATTCAGCTACAAACTAACAATTCGATTGAAGAAATACCCCAAAAAACAGAACAGAGTCGTGCTTAGAGAACTCAAGTTATCTACAACAATGATTCCAAACACATTTTCCCTTTTAGGGATCTCATTTTCGTTATCACTATCTCTGATTCAAGTCAATCAATGCGACAAGGACAACGAATTAACGAAGCTGCAAACTTTCTTTCTACTGAACCCAGATTTTCCCCAACATTATTCATTCCAGTTTCCAAGTTATCCAATGCGATTGCGAAGGAATAAAAAGACCTCCGAATCTGTTTTCCCCATTTTCGTAGAACAAAACTGGAAAATCGAATTATCCCAACCCAAAACAGCTATAACCGAATCATTTCATCAAAAGGAGACCAGATCAAAAGACAGAATCGATCAATAAACCTCTAAACGATACTTAACTTAAGAAAGCATTGTATTTATACCTCCATGGCAAAGATGACAGACTCCGTCGTACACGACGACTCGTGGCTGAAGTTGACCGGGGATCATCACCGGCGTCGCAGTCGGCGATTCAGTTGGGTCCGAGTACGCAATAGCCTCATCGGCGCCAATATCCGCCGCACCAGCCGTCGTAAGGGAAATAGCTCCGGAAGACAATCTCGGCGACGGAGTAGAGTAAGAAACCGATCGACGGTGGAGAGAACCTTCCAGGATAGACCTGGGTTTCAAAATCCGAAGCGTCCTCCTCAACATTCTAGAAATCCTCTTAGCATTTTTGTTCAAAAGAAGAAAAAAAAAAGTTTACAATTTCTCGGTAAAGAAACAATTACAGGCTTTCAACGAAGAACTGTGCTTTGCTTGAGCTCCAAGTCGGGGAGAAAGGTTCAAGAAAATATAAATGGGCTCATAATATCATACTATTGGGCCATATTGATGACAATCTAAGCCTGTTATTTTCTTTATTCTCATTTTCACTAGACGCTATTAAAAACAAATTACAGTAAAAAACTAAAGACAAATAATAAATTTGCAAGAAAAACTAAACCCAAAATTTGAGCATTAGACCCTGAGAATATGTATAAAGCCTTCACGCCACTTCAATTTCTCCTTCTGTATATATGCAGGATAAATTTTGGTTAGTTTTTTCTGTATCAGCTTTGATCTAATATAGAAAAATGCAGAGAAAAGGGAGACTAGGTTGTCTAACCGGAAAGACGAGCAGCCAAGTTTGCTTGTTCATCCGCAGCAGAGTTCAGATTCTACAATAGTAAGACATTTGCATTAGAAAAACGTTTGTAGTAATTTTGCTATCAAGCACAAGGCAGTGATATCATCTACTTACAGAGAGAGATGCACATAAAAACATACCCTTAGTACATGACTGATCTCGAAAGAGATACATTTGTCTCTCAGTTGTTTTGCTTCCCTGTGCAGATTCTTGAGTACCTCGCTGTTTACATTCCATTGACCTTTAAGCTGTTGTTCTCAGAAAGCATTGAGAAAGTCAGAAGAGAAAAGACTAAGTTACCTAATTGCACAAAGAAACATGAATTTCATTGACGAACCTGCATACAGATCAGCTTGGAGTCACCTTTCACTTTAATTTTCCTGTAACCTCTCTCAATAGCATGCTTCAATCCTAGGATTAATCCGTGATATTCTGCTGCATTGTTTGTGGCAATTCCCAAACCTTGACGCACTTTACAAATCTGTTTTTCAGAAAAATGATATTTAGATACAGAACTGGATCGTCTAATAACCGTGATTCAAAAGGATTCATACCAAGCTTCCGTCCTCAGTTTTCAGTACAGCTCCCGCGCCAGCGAGACCGGGATTTCCCTTTGATGCACCGTCAAACTCAATAATGCATGTTTCCTACCACAAGATGGGAAAGAGAGACAGACCAACTTGAGCTAAACATTCTGCATCCAGTCCATATGAATAAATGATGAATACAATCATAACCACAACTCACGTCTAATGTATCAGCAGATGGCTCCAGCTGATCGTGCTTTTCCAATGACGTGGACGCTGAAGGAATATCCTGAGAAAAATGAATACTCAAGCTCATAGCTTAAGTCGTTTTGTCTCATAAAATCACTTAATTTCAGCTATTTCTTCAAACCAAAACCTTTGTTCTTACAACTTACTTTTTCACTATCTTTAGTTATATCTTTTGACTTCATCTCTGAGGTATCCTTTTCTTTAGATACTTTGACTTTAGAAGAAGTTGGCTCCTAAAGGAGAAATATAAAGAGAGATAGTTAATAACCCCATTCAGTTCAAAATCCCACAAGACCAATCACGGCAGCTGCAGATATTCTACACAGAAAACATAATCAGAAAAAAAAAGAAGCGAAACACTGTGTGTGAAGACCACAATGTTATCTTACCTGGAAAAGACAAGGTGTGAGAGCGCCAAACATACCATCTTTTAAGTCTGAAGCTCCAAAGCTGTAAAGTGGGTTCTTAATCCCAACAGAAGAAAGATATGCCTCTGCGTCTTTAGACAACGAGTATCCCTTATAAACACTAACCGGAGGATCAAACACCTGCCAGTTCAAAAAGGAAGGCTATTTATATTCCCATCCTAAAGAAAGTATATACATACAAAAACAGATTGTAATGCAAAAGTGTATTCACCGATGATCCAACTTGAGCCTGACAATCATTCAAATCTTTATAAATCCCAATAACGTCACCCTTCCGAACAACAAAAAAGGCGTTTTTCTCTTTATCCGCAACAGAAACAGCAGTTGACATTTTTGGTTTAGCAGCCTTTGATCTCGAGGAATAACAGTGAACGCTAGACAGTCCAAGTGCACTCACACCTGCAGGCTTTAAACAGGATATTGAAAAGATGCATTGATTCCACGGATTTTGGTAGCTGACAAAGCTGGATCTCTTAAGCAGTCCCAGGGAGATGTATGAACGAGCATGAGAGAGGCAATTCATTACAATGTAGTTACCCCAACACTGAGATTTATGGAAAAAAACAAAAAGAACGCAACTTTAGTCAACTCCAGAGAGACAGATAGATAAGATTCAAAAACGCGAAATCCAAGTGATAAAAAATCAAAACTTTTGTTCACTATGAAATAAATTATAATCCTGATGATTCAACCGCTAGATATTCGTTGTTACTGGTAAAGTGGTAATATATCTACAATCGAGAATTTCTTAAACTGTGTATCTATAATTGAAGCGTTTATCTAAAAAAAAAAAATCTCCAGGACACTCGAGAGCTTCTGGCGCAAAAGGATACTCACGAATGCATCGAAATCAAACAGAGAAACACTAAGCTACTATATAGCAAGGTTTGAGCAAAAAACTAGTTCGAAGTGTCGAAATTAACATCTTACCAAGCACAAGGACGTGAATCTTGAGATAAATTGCTACGAAACCGGGTGCGAAATTGTCAGTGAGCTCTTTTTCGCAGTGGGGAAGAAGGAAGCCGAACTCAATGGGTTTAAGCCGGGTTTTGGTCTGCCTCAGGTGGTCTCAAGTTAGGGCGGTCGGTTCGGACATCAGATACGGTTCAAACTCTCAACCAAAATTTATTCGGTTCGACCAGACTTCGATAAATATTTTTTATAACGGCAATAAACAAAAGGTTTCGTGGTGTAGTTGGTTATCACGTCAGTCTAACACACTGAAGGTCTCCGGTTCGAACCCGGGCGAAGCCATTTAGTTATTTTTTATCTTATTATAACTGAAAAAGGCTTAGCGGACCAAGCTAGGGCCCAATAATCCCATAGAATACAAAGCCATATTAGCTCAAGCTACTTTAGTTCTGAACTTGTGTGATTTGTAAAGTTCCTTTTTTTTTTGTGGTTATTGATATCATTGTCAATGTCATCAAAAAGCCAGTACAAATGCAAAAATGCATCACGTGATAAATACTGATAAAGAAGTTAGTGATTGGAATTGAAACCCCTTTTTTTGTTTTGTTTGTTATTTTTCTCTTGTGTAGTTTTCAAGTTGCGACACTGCTCGTGAGTCACCAGCATCTCCAAGCCATCATCAACGTACATTAGAGCATGTCCAGCAGGGTTCATCAAAAGTTAATGACACAGATTTTAAAACGAAATTCAATAAAATAATAATTTTAAAGATAGAGGTTTATGGCACAAGTTCTTCTCGACGAACCTGATAAACCCAGGTTCATCCAAGTTCATCACACGTGGAACATCCTGATTGGTCCAAAAAAATAATTTTCAAATTAAAAAAATAAAAAAACAAAATCCAAAAAAAGTATTATTATATTCGGAAGAATTTCTGTTTTCAAAAGTTTACTAATGGACATGGTGTTACACTATTAACGTAAACGACAAGTCTAGGACCAAAACAAAAAAAATCTCTAACGAAAACAATAAAATAAAGAGTAAATAAAATAAATAAACAACATTGTGCTTAAATACTAATTAGATGCAATGCACCTTTGAATCAGAATCTCTCCTGACGTTAGTTAGTTTGGTCACTAATCTAGACCCATGTTTCTAAAGCCTCTCATCATCTTCTTACATGATTCATGTCTTGCCCTCATCTCTTTACTGGTAATTAAGCCATCATCCTCTCTATCATGCACTCCTCTGTTTCTTTGCTTTGAAAGTTATTTTCTTTATTCATTTGTTTTGTCTATCTATATATGCATGAGAAGTTCCATGGACGGAATTCTGAAGATGCAGCTGGAGTTCCCAAGAGGATTGAAGCATCATCCATAATTAATGGTGTGAGGATAAGCATCGACACGAGCTGGGGGAGACAATTGAGGAGCTTACTTATAGTTCCAATATTCAAGTGTTTGGTGGCTCTCTGTTTGATTCTCTCCCTCTTGGTTTTCATAGAGGGTATTTACATGAACCTTGTAGTACTCTACGTCAAGTTGTTTAATCGAAAACCCGAAAAAGTCTACAAATGGGAGCCAATGCTGGAAGACATTGAGCTTGGACATGAAACCTACCCGATGGTCCTCGTACAAATCCCAATGTACAACGAAAAAGAGGTATATCTACGAGCACTTTATATTCTAAAATAGACATGATAAGATTAATTTCAAAACTAGTTGGATAATTAATATAACGATTCTTTTTTTTTTTTACGATTAGGTTGTACTTAATGATGTGAGATTCCTAATACACTAACGAGTAACGACATGTTCTTAACCCACAGGTACTTCAATTATCTATAGGTGCTGCATGTAGACTAATATGGCCATTGGACCGTCTAACTGTTCAAGTTTTAGATGATTCCACTGATGAAACCATCAAGGTCACTTGCTAACCAAAATTCTTTATATTTATTTATATATTGGACACATATATGTGTCTTCTAAGTTGTAACTTAACTACTATAAATTAAATATCTGTATTGTAGGAGCTGGTGAACGCGGAGTGTGCAAAATGGGAAAGCAAAGGTATAAACATAAAATGTGAGAGGAGAGACAATAGAAATGGGTACAAAGCCGGAGCTCTAAAACAAGGCATGAAGCACAGCTACGTGAAGCTTTGCAACTACGTAGCCATCTTCGACGCTGACTTTCAACCGGAGCCTGATTACCTTCAACGTTCTGTCCCCTTCCTTGTTCATAACCCCGAGGTTGCTCTCGTTCAAGCCCGATGGAGATTCAGTACGTAGACTATATATGGTACCAAATTTAAAATACCTAAAACAATTATTAATAATTTAAATAATTCTTAATTCGATAATTCAAAAACAATTTTCTAATTAATCTTTTTTTTTTCTTATCTCAACATATTTGAAGTGTGTAGTAACTTATATCTTTTGTATGTTATGTACATTAGGTCCTTTTTTTGACATCATATTTTCGGTCCTTTATATGTTTAAGTGTAAGAATCCTAAACAAAAGTCTACTTTCACGTTGAGTGATTAATTCTGTGTGTGGGGTTCATCGATCGCAGTGAACGCAAACAAGTGCTTGATGACAAGGATGCAAGAGATGTCCCTCAACTACCACTTTATGGCAGAGCAAGAATCTGGATTCATTAGACATGCCTTCTTTAGCTTCAATGGTGCATTTTCCCTATCAACACATTTAAATATTATTTCATGTTTAATTTCTCCATCTTTATTAAATATATACACAAAATTGGTATCTCTTTCAGGAACAGCGGGTGTATGGAGAATGGCTGCGATGGAAGAAGCTGGAGGATGGAATGACCGAACCACCGTAGAGGACATGGACTTGGCTGTTCGTGCCAGTCTTCTCGGCTGGAAATTTGTCTTCTTTAATAACCTCGCGGTATTCGATTCTGTCCCTAACCATTATAATTTGTAATATAATATAAACCTAATTACCTCGCATCATCAATGAATCACAAACCTTATCGCATCTTAACTTTACTCATTAAAATGAATAGCTAGTACCCATTAAGTTACACTCTCGTCTTGATGTGCAATGATATCTATATAGAATTATTGATGTACACACATGTTGTCTATCAAAGTAATTATCATTACATTATGTATGTATGCACACTGAGTTTGTAGGTGAAAAGCGAGCTACCAAGCAAATTTAAGGCCTTTAGATTCCAGCAACATCGATGGTCTTGTGGTCCAGCCAATCTCTTCAGGAAAATGATTGTGGAGATTATTCGCAATAAGGTCCTTTTCCCAATCTTATTGATTTCATCGTGACAAACACACACGTGCCCACTATTTTTTGTCTCACGTTCCTCAACTACTTTGTTTTCTTTTGTCCATCATGTTACTACGAGAGACAAATAGGCCATGTGATGTGAGGCTGACGTACATTTTTCTATTTTATTGATTGGCCCTCTCGATATGTGGATTGGTTTTTTTTCCTTTTTAATTAAAATTAAGTGATTCTGATGCTAAACTCAATTTGCTAATCTGATGGGTTAGGAGATCGGTTTGGTTGAATCTAATGTTATTTGGTTAGGGTGAGTTAAACCAAGTCATATCAAACATTGATTATTTTCATTTGTTATATAAACAAATAAACTACAAGAGTAGACATCTAACCTTAAGCAACAAATCTATATGTAATAATGGGCAGAGAGTGACGATTTGGAAGAGGTTGTATCTGATCTACAGCTTCTTTTTCTTACGGAAGATTATAGTCCACTCCTTCACTTTCTTCTTCTATTGCGTTATTCTTCCTACGAGCGTCTTCTTCCCCGAAGTCAACATTCCAGCTTGGTCAACTTTCTACATTCCCTCTATCATCACTCTATTCATCGTCATTGCAACACCAAGGTTGGCAATACACTTTCTAATTCATTTTGATCGTTATATATATATATATATATATTACGTACCTAGTTGTATCCTTTACTATATATGAATTATCCGGTTTAATTTGTAGATCATTCTACCTCGTGATATTTTGGATCTTGTTTGAAAACGTAATGTCTATGCACCGGACAAAGGGAACTTTCATCGGCATACTTGAAGGAGGAAGAGTGAACGAGTGGGTTGTCACTGAAAAATTTGGAGATGCTCTCAAGACTAAGTTACTCCCTCAAGTTGGAAAATCTCGAATTGGGTGTTTCGAAAGGTAACTAATCAAAAGCAATTCAGATGTTTTAGTAATGCTGCATTACTAATGCACTAGACATATATGATATAATTGATACAAATGGGTAAAAAGAAAGTTTGTTTGGTTGGCAGAGTAAACTCGAAGGAGATGATGATGGGGATATACATATTGTGTTGTGCCTGCTATGGACTTGCCTATGGGAACACATTGTTATATATCTATCTATTCATGCAAGCGGCTGCTTTTCTCGTCTCTGGAGTTGGCTTTGTCGGAACTTAAAATATTGTTTTGGTTCATAATCAAGAAAGTAGTTGATGGATTAGCCATTCTCAAGTCACTTGAAAATATCCTGAAAGAATAAATTATTTTCGAATAAAATGATCAGACATTTATCACTTAAAGACTAAACCTATATAAAATGTAAAACTAATATGCTCTCACCCATCAATCCAATCCCATTCAATACCAATCACACAAATATGCATCGAAAAAGAAATTATCATGGCTATAAATTAGCGGAAGGCCTGGTAAAAAAGAGGACAAGAAGTCACTGTTCTTGTCAATAACAGGGTGAAATAAATCTCTAATCTGCTTATAAAGAAAAGCAGATTCTAAGTAAAGACAACAACAAGCGAAAGCGATGAACATGCCCACTTCTCGCTGGTCGATCAGATTTCTAGACGCTTTTTCGGGTTAGAGTTAACATGACCCTTTTTCGCGATCTAGCTGACCGACTATTTTCACTGGCCTCATGTGCCAAAGAGTTGCAACCTTCGTCTCTCCAGCTCAAGCTGTGATGAGGGTTAAAATGCATTTAATATCACACACACACATGGAGGGTTTTGATTAACATTAAACATTGAAATGTAAGTGACGCTTACCACTTTCTTGACTCGGTTGTTGGCAGCATCAGTTCCTCCAAAGACACAATCGGAAAGATACGGGCTACGAACTCGTACTTCTTTCATCACCAAAATGTCTGAGTTTTCCCATTGTACAGGAAGCCTTCAAAACAAAAAGAAAAAAAAAATCACACATGTGATTCATTTGAAAGAGAAAAAGCATTTCTCGGCTACTGTTCCAACTGATATTAGAAACTAAGAAATATGTAGTCTACAACTATGTTGAATTCTGCAAACAGACACAAATACAATTCGAGAGCAGCAAAAAGTACATTACTTTCCTTCGTTAATTTGATTCAAACACCATATTATCCTATTTTTCTTTCAGCAATGCAATCAAAACTGGCGAAACAGAAGAGTACACTACAAAGAACTTCGGTTTCAATCCTACAACCAGAAACAAATGATAATCAAACAGTAAAGCTCAGGGGTGCAAAAGACAAACTTTGCATATATATAGTCTCAAAGCGAGCATCAACAGGGAATCTAGAGCAATACAACACCAATTTAACTTGGCAATAACAAACGCAGAAGCTCAAGCAGATTCACTTAGTTCTTAAATCTACGCAACGGTCTGGTCCCATCTCTACCATAGCTGTCAGCAACAAACACACAGAAAACAATTTGCAAAAAGAAGCAGACTTTGTATTAACAGTCACAGCCACAGTAAAGTTATAACCAACTCCAAGCTGTTTTTTTCTTCACAAGAGAAGAGACAACCGTTTAAACCATAGCAAAATCTATGCTTTTACACAGAAACTACTTAATTTTCATAAATGTTTCCAAATTTTATAAATAGGTGGCAAAGATCCTTACGTCTTAGACAATGCGTCGAAGATGCTCTGCGCCTCTGCGGTAACACCAACTCCCATTCTCTCAGCTTCAGCTTCCGCTTGCCTGCTCAATACGTTTTTCACCAGTAAGCTTAACCAAAATAAGAAGAATTTTTTACATTCAAAGGGTTCAACAACAGTAATTCACCTGATCGCAAGTGCCTCTTTAGCTCGGAGTCCGTCGATATTAACCGAACACTTGTCTGAAACAAGCGGATCTTCAGTTTTACCCAAAAAAGAAAGCCCGGTTATGAAATTCGCATTCACCATCCTAGTATTCTTCGAATGCCCAGCTCTAGGTTTCGAACCCTCTTGTAAAAAACCAATCACTCGTCAAGGAGACCACAAATTCAGCTCACGATTCCCCAAAAAAATTTAAAAATTCACTAAATCTACAATGAAAAATCTTAAATTTTTCCTGGAGATGAAATCAATAAATAGAAGAAAAACAAACATGGAGCTATGATTGAAGGATATCAAAAAAGACGAAGTTGTAAATGGGATCGTAAGCCATGACGATCCCTCGGAACTCATCTCCGGTGATCACCTTGACCGAATAAATATTCCCCACCGCGAATTTCTCTCCTTCTCCGATGTCGTTGGCCACCGATGCTCCTGCTGGATCCATGGCGGCCGCCTTCCTCGCAGCTCCTCCACCGGTTTCTGAATCGCGCGTTCTGAAACGCCGATGCACGGAAAACATTAAATATACATACCCGGTATGGGCCTAAAGCCCAAATATTTAATGGGCTTATATTATATTTTAAAAAAACGAAGCGTTTTCACGATTAGTAGATGACGAGATGTCATCAAAATTTGTCAGTTATTTTATCCATTATTTTTTCGTTAGAACGATTAGCAAGTAGCAACTACTGATAAAAAACAGCCACACCAAATCAGAGAGAGAGAGAGAGTCGAAGTTTGTTCTCTCGTGTGTCAATGGCGGCCGTAAGCATCGCACTTGCATTCTCTGTTGATTCTCTTAAGCAGAGCCGATCCACGAATTATGGTCTCTCATCTAGATATCCTTTACTATATTCGTGTAGATCTCACCGCGCCAGTCTCCGATTCGCTTTCCCTCCTTCTTCGCATTCTCCTTCGGTTTCGACAGCCATAGAAACAGGGGAGGAAGCTAAGAAATCGACAGGAAGCTACGATTTTCTCGAGGAATCGTTCCGCACGGGGAGATTTTTGAGCAACGCAGAGCTCGAGAAGCTCAAAGCTCTTGAAGGGTTTGCGTATTTTCAGGAGCTGGAATCCGGGTCGATGTGGGTTCGTGTTATGAGAGCTGGAGAGATGGACTCGACGGTGAATCTATTGGCTGAGTCATTCGGCGAGTCGATGCTGTTGCCTTCTGGTTATCAGTCTGTGTTACGGTTCTTGGTGAAGCAGTATCTGATTGAGAGGAGGGAAGTGCTGCCACACGCAGTAACCTTAGTTGGGTTCTACAGGAAGAAATCGGATTCTTGCAGTGATGGAGAGGAGGCTGAGATGGCTGGGACCGTAGAGGTTTGCTTAGATAAACGCGGCGCTAATGCTTCGCCTCCTTCTCCGACTCCTCCAAAAGAATCACCTTATGTCTGCAACATGACTGTGAAAGAGGACCTTAGAAGGTATTTGGAATGTTTGAATCAATTCTTTCTAAGAAGCTTTCTCTGTGTTATTCTGGTTGATTTCGTTTATAAGAAAGTGTGTGTTGTGTTTGTGTTGGTATGATTATTGATTAGGAGGGGAATTGGGTGGCATTTATTGAAGGCGAGTGAAGAACTGATATCTCAGCTTAGTCCGTCGAAAGATGTCTACTTGCATTGCAGGATGGTCGATGAGGCTCCATTCAGTATGTACAAGAAAGCAGGATACGAGGTTGTTAAGACGGATACAATTTTGGTACTTTTGATGTTACAACGGCGTAAGCATTTGATGCGCAAGAAGCTTCCACCTTGCATTAGCCCGTCAGATATTGTGGGGTCTGATAATGAGCTGACCTCCTCTGCCAATGTGTGAACACGGGTACAGTGTCTACATCAGTCTACCAATTAGCTTCAAACTGCTTGTGACTGGCTCCATCATGCAGGAGTTAACATGTGACTTGACCAAGACCATGGGTTGATACCGACCGTTTTTCCGCTGTTGATGTTCCAGTTTCTTGCTTCAACTTGCTGTTTATATGATCTTAGTAGAGGTATGTCACTCACTCTTACCTTAGTCAGACGTAGCTATACCTGTGATTTCTTCTTCCTGTATTGGCAGTGATTGACTTTCTTGTTTTATATATGTGCGATTTAAATTTTAAGCATAAGGTGAAAAGAGGAAACAGAAAATGCTTCACCCCTGAATATATATAAACTCATTCCTATCAAGCAAAACATTAATGACAAATACAGAGATGTAAATTGTTTGACCCGATTTACTTGTTAACTTTATAGTATATACGTCCATATAATGCCTCGTTCGATAAGTTTAGCAGCTGGAAATTGAACTTAAATTTTCCCGTACTCTTAAATATTATCTTTATCAACTCTCAGTAGTAGCCTCTCATTTTTGGAAAAATGACATAATCCATATTACTGCTTTCAAAGAATTCGATGTCTAGAGCCTTCTGAATGTAGGGATCGTCCCACCCAAACCACCCTTCGAGTTTGTGTAGATAATTAGTTGCAGTTCCTTAACACAGTTCGTCACCGAAGGTCGCTCGGTGCTCTCTATACGGATGCACCGTGATGCCAGATCAGCAAACATGGCTATAGCTTCCATGCTGTATGAATTACGAGACAGTTCTGGATCTATAACCTTACGCAATTTCTTTCTATCATTCAGTATATTCCTAACCTGAAACATAAAGACCAATCAGCAGTTTATTCCTAGGCTAAGTTTCCTCTTTTCTGTATGCCAATCTTAAAACCTAGGAGGGCCATTTTACCTGTAGCACCAGGTTCTGTTCATTTGGGCCTTGCGTTAAGTCAACAGCTCTTCTTCCTGTAAGTAGTTCTAGCAGCACAACCCCAAATGCATAGATGTCGCTTTGTAGAGTAAGTTTACCTGTCTGCCACAGCACAAATGGAAAAAAAGTTATGCTAAAAACTGTCCTTCCTTGCTTATGACTTCTTAAACTTGATTGTGATTTCAAGTTCTTTTTCCAAGCCATTTCATGTCACTGTTAGTGAGTACTTTACTTAGTTATCTAACGTCTAGTATACCCTTTGGCTTCGTAATGTTATTTATAGGTAGAGAATCATGTGAAGACATTAGTAAGAGTTTTTACCGATGTATATTCTGGATCAAAATAGCCGAAAGTTCCGAGAACTCTTGCTGTCACACAAGTGTCTTTTCCTTCTGGCATCAACTTTGCCAGTCCAAAGTCGGATATCTGCAAGGATTACACTCACGTCTTAGTTTAAGTAAATGCTTTGAAGTATTGGCTGGTTAAACCATCAACTTTAAGCTATATACCTTTGCGTTATAGTTGGAGTCTAGTAGAACATTGGTGGATTTGAAATCTCTGTGAACAATTGGAATGCCAACACCAGAACTTGAATGGAGATACGCGAGTCCTTTTGCTGCCCCAAGTGCAATTCTGAGCCTTACTGGCCAGCTTATCTTTGCTTCTTTGATTCCTGTGACAAAAACTCTGTTAAGTGGCCAATTGACTTTGGTGGACTTGACTCTTGTTTCGTTGACTTACCATTCAAATGATCTTGCAGGTTCCCGTTTTGCATATATTCATATACCAAGAATCGGTGTTTTCCATCTGCACAGTAGCCAATCAAAGATACCAGATTTGGATGGTCGAGCCTGCTCAGAATGTCCACCTCCACACGAAATTCTCTTTCTCCGTCAGCCTTTTTAAACGGAGGTAAATCCATCTTCTTGATCGCAACAACCTTCGAATAGCAAGGGATCAATATAATATGTATGCTCTTTAAAATGTTTCTTACATTACAAAAGCCTGTAAAATCACATAATAAATAAAGCAATATAGTTCCCACCTCTCCTGTTTTTAGAGTGCCTTTGTAAACTCGGCCAAAGCCTCCTTTACCGAGCAAATTCTCATCACTGAAGGAACTTGTGGCCTCTTCCATTTCCTTGAGGGTATAAACTGATGACCCGTATCTTCGTTTCCTTGGCTGAGACGCCTGATCTTCGATTTGCCAACACTCCGCTGTTCTATAGATCCCTGAGAAGAAGGTTAGTTTCACACAGATGTATTTCAGTCTCACCTGAACACTTTTAATCAGTAATAGTCATGTCGAATAACAAAAAAAGCTAACATACGTTTATGCCATCTGGCGAAGATGATGGAGAAAAGGAACGTACATGTATCCGTATCACAGGATTTGCTTCTCCTTCTCTTGTTCCAAGCCGAAACAAGAGGAAAATGCATAGCTTTAGCTTGTCTTTACGCCTCGTAGGTGCAAGAGACCATTCCAGAGCCAAGAGAAGAAGAAGCCTCTGATGAATATCCTTCCTAGTTAGATTCTTCCAAAGAAACAGAGAAAGTTGCTGTGCTTGAAGATGAGAGATATATAGAGGAGTGTATCAAGCCTCTCTTGTTCTTTAAAAACTTTCAAGTTATAAATTGATCTTTAAGGATTAGATTTCTGAAATACTCGACAGCAGTATTTCAACTACCGAAGTTCTAGAGAGAGAGAGAAAGAGACTGTAGAGCTGAAGAATACGTAAGATTACATGTACGTGAAGCAAAAGAAAATAAGAGTATCTTGAAAAAGACTTGAAACTTCGATTCTGTTTCTTAAAGTCTTAAGGTTTAATTCTCCGTTCTGAATTTATCTGCTTCTACCAGTAGATATGTTACGTACCGAGAGAGAGAGAGAGACAGAGAGATGGGAAGGTGCTTTCACAAGTGTTTCCTTCACCTTTTTGTTTCAATTTGTTTTTTACTATACGTATATCTTATTATAATGTTGTTTTCACTTGTCCGTTGAGAGATAGGGATGCATATAAAGTAGAGTTGTAGAAGAGGACCTAAAATGTTCGTAAAAGCAATCTTAGCTTGATAATTAGCTTGTCAAATCCTAGGATACTGTAACTTTAACGTATCCAGTTATATAAATCAAAATATGGGTTCAGGTGAACTTTTGCTTCAAATAGAAATGATGAGTTGATGACTCATTTTTAGAACCTTGTTTGTCGTTTGTATCTTAGGATTGCAGAGTGCTTGACGTTTAATGTATCTAAGAGAACAATACATGCTGTTTTCTTCTAATGGGTGGTTGTGGGTCCATATAATTTATATAGGAATGACTTTTGTTGAAATTGTTTTGGGCCTTCTGGCTTATAATGTGCCTAACTTCCTAACCTAATCATGCCAACAACATTATTCTAAAAGTCAATCAAACTTCATATCTTCTTCAGTAAAAAGTGTTGTTACTCTAGTAAAAAAGAAGAAATTGCATCAAGAATGCTATAGATTCAAGTAGTTGCCTGATGTGAGCATTTACTGAAATATATCGTAAAGTATCTATTATTCAAAAGAATCAAAACCATTTGAATTTCATCGTGATCACATAGTTGGTCCACATAGTTATTCTGTTTTTTAAAGAGGTAATAAATGAGAACCAATTATTTTAAATGTGTTACAGTTCACTAACCTTTGTTTTAACTAAATAAAAGAACGTTAGATTCAATGGCCATCCCACACAAACGAAGCCATACCATACTACGTACCCGAAACAGATTTTTTTGGTAGAATTAACCTTCAGATACTGAACCAGTTTCACATTAGTTATCCAGATGTTGCATCAACTGATTCAACAAATGAAACTGCAGAAATGTAGGTATTTCAAAAGATATTGGTTCGCCAAATTTTAACAATATAAATTAATTTTTACCGAATTGTTAGACCTATATATATAAGGATCTAGAACAAATAAGGTAGATGTACGTATAATACAAAATAAATAAGGGAGATGAATTTTGGTACGCACACTAATTTATTCATCCACCGACATGATTGGGTGAGGTAGCAGTGTATAACGCAAATGCATAAGGTTTTGGTTAAATTTAAACGGACCCCATAGGATGAAAAGTTAGTTGGAAGGGTTGCTCCAAATAGTTAATGCAATTACCATATCATCATCACTTGGGCTTCTAAAACTTCTCTATAAATAGAAACTTTCATTGGCAAGCTTATTATCATAAACATAATTCATTCAAGTCACTAAACAATAATCAATTTTTTTTTTTTTTTTTAGAAAATGGCCTTGACTGGTGTTCTTCATGTGGAGGTTGAGGTTAAGTCTCCGGCGGAAAAGTTTTGGCTAGCCCTCGGCGACGGCGTCAAACTCTTTCCCAAAGAGTTCCCTAAGGACTACAAAACCATCCAAGTCCTTGCCGGCGATGGCAACGCTCCTGGCTCCATTCGCCTCATTACCTACGGAGAAGGTAATTTGTTACCTTTTATATGTATCATTTACGTCTCTCATTATGTCCTCATTGATTAGGTTTCACTCTCTCACCATATATTTATTTACAGTCTGTTCACTGTTTCTATGCTCTTAACCATGTAAAGGATCTCCATTGGTGAAAATATCTGCCGAGAAGATCGAAACGGTGGATTTGGAGAGGAAAAGCATAACGTATAGCATCATCGGTGGCGAAATGTTGGAATACTACAAAACATTCAAAGGAACTATCACCGTTACGCCTAAGGACGGTGGCAGCATTTTGAAATGGTCCGGTGAGTTTGAGAAGACTGGCCATGAGATCGCCGACCCACACGTCATCAAGGACTTTGCTGTCAAGAACTTCAAAGAGATCGATGAGTATCTCCTTAAACAATCTACCGTATAAAACTAGAATGTTCTATATGTATAAGAAGGTTCCTATATATCATCTATAGAGTTTTATCATATTAAGAAGTTAAATAAAGTGGAACCTCCTTATGAATTATCTACACGTTAGCGACTCAGCATTTGTCCTTTTGTTCTTTGTCCCGAGAGCCAGAAATTATGATACAACACGATATGCACTAGATATTAAAAGCTCTCATATAGTACAAATGTTAAGAATGATCATTAACTAATAGAGGCCATAAATTAAACACTTAAAAAAAAAAAAAAACATGAGTTCACAATCGATAAGGAGAAATCAAGGTTGGGGTATACACAGTTGTTCTCAGATAATCTAAGAAATCGCCATTCGAACGAGATCTCCCGCTTCTTCTAAAGTATGCGGCCGCTAGACCAAGCTTCCAAAATCTTTGGTCTAAACAACCAATATTTGAAATATTGAAGGTATATATTTTCTCCCATTTTTCATAAGGATCTTCTTGTTGGAGACTCCAAACATCCAAATCGGAGCATTGTAGGACGTCTGATAGACACAAACGGTCATTCAAACTCCACATTCGCATACCACGAGAGTATTTGGTGTACCAATTTGGTAATGATACTAATCGAAATTTTTCAGTGTGAAGATCCATTGCTACTAGTCTTGTAGGTGTATCCCCGATCAACCAGAAAAGTGACCCGTTTACATACACTGATGTTAGCTCATCGGGAATATGATAGAAAAAAACAGGGAATACACCAGCGTTCCGTTGCTCTCCGCTATTGAGGCTTAGTACCGTGATCCTCACACTTGCATTAACAAGAATAGGCTTGTACAAATACATCAAGATCACTTTGTATGATCCTGTGATGATGTCTTTCCCAAATCCAACGGAAATTGGAAAACTACTCACTGGACCTACAAAGATACGTGCAAACAATTTTTATATATTGGAGGAAAATGAAATGTGATTAGAAACAACATTATGATATATATTATCATTCTAACCCAATTGTAAAACTCTGCGGTAGTGGTGTACTTAATGACTAATAAAGCTATATTTCATGTATGTTTTGATGCAATCAAAGCTAAGACAATCAAACTCGTTCGCGTTTATTACATTTATTTTCTATTATAACATATTACATATACTAGTATGTATTAGTACCATTTCACAGTTATTTTTAATAATTATGGAGAAAATAATTATTGTTACACCCAAATCTATAAGAAATTATTGATCAAGAAGAACCTACGTACCTCGTTGATTTTCGGTCTTCTTTAACGACGCCAGAGAAAGCGTCCGCTGCTCCATCGTCTTTGGGTTGATTAGGTAAATGTACTTAAAACCGTCATATCTAAAAGTATTACCGTAAAAGTTCATATCGCGAATAAGAGCGTAAAAGCTAATTAAGACCAATCCGTCGCAAGATCCCCAGACTAGAATAACGTTCCTTTGAGATTCTTCGATTGAATAATCAGAAATAGTGCAAGAACGTGATAAAGAAGGACGTATTTGTCCGTTGTTGTCATGATCTCGAGAAAAGGTCTCTAAAAGCAAAGTTATAGCGTTTGAATCTTCCTCAACCTTTGATGGCAGTTGATCAACAACAAGGAATTTTAAGGCTGATTGAATCTCAATCGACGCCCACGCCCTCCAATGTTTTGACACGGATTTGAATCTATCGAGTGATTTTGCAGGAAGGAACTTGAGAATCTCTCTTACTAAATCGTCCGATGTTATGATAGTCATAGGATTTTGTGTCTTTGTTTTGTTTTTGTCTTCTTCCATTTTCCTATCAACCATAATCTAATTTTTTTCTTATAAATTATGTTTTAGCTTTTAGGATATATATATATTTTAAAAGCTAAAACACAATAAGAAAAAAATCTGTAAAAGAATGTAACCATATCATGACAAGTTAATATTTAAAGATTTTACATACTTTTTAGTTTAAAACAGCAAAAGAATCTCTAGTACTGTATGTAATATAAAAAATATATAGTAAAGATCTTAATATAAATTGTGATCTACTAACTACTATGCCTCTAGATAATAAGAAGTACTAATCACTTTTAGGTAATCCTATCAAATTGTAATCAGTATTCATTTATTATTTGGAAACAGATAAAATTTTAAATTAATATTATATAAAACTTTAAGATTTCTTGGTATAAACTATTTTATTATCATAAATCTAATGGAATATTCAAACTAAATAACTAATGATAAGATTAAACAAATTTATTTTAATTGTCTAAGAATAAGTTTAGAAATGTGATACAATTCTCGAGTTTGTGTATTCTTGAAGGTTTGAAAAAACTAGAAAATTATGCCAGTAGAGTTGCTTAACTATGCTAGATATTTGAAATATCCCCAAAAATCTTGTTATATTATATTAATATTTTCTGGAAAAATATATGGTTTAATGAGTTTTTGCTTAAATTTGTTTTTTTTTAACATATAACAGATTTAAAACTATTCTTATAATTTTGATTTATGTTACATGGGAGTTTGATCTCTTTTGAATTTGAATACGTACAACTTCGAAGGTTAAGCTCTAAAAAAATGTAAAACACACAACATTGGACTCAAACTCATTACTTACGGATATATAGGGGAATCTATATATGTTAGAGGTGCCAACCCACTAAACCAGGTTATTGATTTGTCATACACTATAATTAGTGATATAATTGAGTGACGATAATGGCTGTAAATAAAAAGATGATAATTAGTTGACGGTCCGGTTCAAGGTTTAGCTAGAGCAAATCGCCTCAAAATTTTTGGTCCGGATCATGATCCGACCCAAAGGATATCGGGCAGAACTGGATGGAGTACTAATAGTTTTTTTTTTTTTTTGAATAAAATATTAAATTATATTCAAAAGAAAAAAGACTTCTTTACAACTTTTCCAGAAAAAAGAGTTCAAAAAGAAAACTTGATTTCCATTTTTTTTTTTTCACTCGTTTAAACGGTTCTAGTAGAGAACCAAATTTGTAGGCCGTCTTCGTAGTGCAAGCTTCCCGCCATCCTTATTGAGCAAAGCTGGTTTCTAACATTTTTATCAATCATCTTCACTAGACTTCCGGTCGGTAATAATTCTCCTCCATGCCGTCGACTGTTCCTTTCTCTCCAAATGGAGTGAATTGCGGTTTGAAAAGAATATCTGAGGAGGACCAGAGTGGTCCTGTCTGCAGTAGTCTGTGTGATCTGATCCAGCACTTGATTCCATTGCAGTGTAAATCTGTCTTTCAACAGGCCCTGCGTTAGCTTCCTCCACACTACCTTCGTATAAGTGCAGGTGAAGAAAAGATGGTCTCTTGTCTCCACTTGGTCACCGCAGAAGACACAGCGGGCATCTACATTCTGGCTCCAATTCATCATTCTGTCTCCCGTGGTCAAGCGATTTTTGATGGCCAACCATGTCAAAAACGAGTACTTTGGAGTCGCATGGGAGAACCATACTCCCTTATGCCACATCACTTTAGCCCTCGCTTTCCTGATCTGGTCCCCTGTATCTTTGGCGCTGAAATTTCGTTGGTAATGACCATTTTTCCTTCTCCATTCAGGCTCATCAGGCGAGTGAGTATTACGCTGAGTTCTCATATAAACGATCTCTTCCTCAATTCCCTGTAATTGAGTTTGACGGTATCTTCTTCTCCTTGGCCTATCCATAACCATCGCAAGAGTCATGTGCTGCGAAATTCCCATATCAACAAAACCTCTTTCACCCAGTAAATCAATCAAACAGCCTTTGTTACTCCAGGAGTCATACCAGAAAGATATACGTTCTCCATTACCAATCTTCATGCGATACAAGGTCTTCGCCATGTCCCTGTATTTAAGAAGTTTCTTCCACATCCATGAACCCATAGTGGTGGTGTCTTTGACTGCCCAGAAGGAGCCCTCTTTAATGAGTTGCATTTTTACCCACTGTACCCACAGTGAGTTTTGCGACATAATCCTCCAAATGAGTTTAAGGCAGCAGGTTTTATTTGCTATCTCCACTGACCGCAGACCCAAACCACCCTCATCTTTTGGTATACAGACATCTTTCCAGGCCACCTTTGCTTTTTTTGTGTTCAGTGCAGGTCCTGACCATAAAAAAGCAGAGCAAAGCTTATCTATTTCTCGAATACAGGCTTTTGGCAGTCTGAATGCTGCAATCCAGAAATTGACAATGCTGAAAATCACTGAATTGAGGAGTTGCAGTCTCCCTGCAAATGACAATGCCCTGACTGTCCAAGATGTGATTCGATTTCTTATATTCTCAATGAGAGGAAGGTAATCTGCTGCTCTCATTCTTCTAGTCAACAGAGGAAGTCCCAAGTATCCCCTTGGTTGAAAGGAAATTCCCGAATCTGATTCTGACGAGTCTCTGAGATACCAGCCATGAAAATAGTGGATTTCTCTAGACTGATTTTAAGACCTGATCCCTTTGCAAATCGATCAAATACCTGCAAAATACCCTCAATCGAGCGCTTTTAGTACTTGATAATGAGTACTAATAGTTTATAACTCGCATACCAATATCATAAGCCATCAAGAAAATAACATAGTTAAAATAAAAACTAACAACAAAATGGGACTGGTGAGCTGACTTGCGCATCCAACAGTACGGATATATATGACTTTATAAACCCAACAAAGGTTTGTCCATTGCCAAAGTAATAGACCAAGTATGACAAATGATAGATAGTATTATTCCCTTATCATCATGAACTTATTAGCAAATTCATATTTCAACAAAACAACTTTTTATAAGGAGATAATATTACAAGACTTGATAATGAACTAAAGAAGAAACGAACATTATTTTATTGGATGAGATCAATTCATTGATCATAATTTTTTTTTTTTTTGGGGGGGGGGGGTCAAGAGAAGTCTGTATACAATGCGATTTTCCATTGATCTAAAGGAACTTGATCAAGATCACCCAAATGAGGTTTTTCTCCTTCAGGCCTAAAGTAGGCAGCTGCAAGAGCAAGCGTCCAAAAATTTGTGTTTAGCCGGTCAACATCCAATATATTGATAGAAAGCACCTTCTCCCATCTCACACTCGGAGTTTCCCTCTTTAGACATAATATTTCTACATCTAAACATTGTACCACGTTGGATAGACACAGCCGGTCTTTCATACTCCACAAAGGCGCACCACGATAGTAATTGATGTCCGAACATGGAAGTGGAACCTCACGAAATGTTTTTGTGTGAAGATATCGACTAGCTTTGTGGGGACGGATGGCGCCTCCAAGTGAAACGGCCTTGTTAACCAAAAAAAGTGACCTGTTTGCGAAAACAGATTTTTGCTTATTGCAAATCATCTCGTAGAACGGGGAGAGGTCCATTATAGTTCACACATGGTACACACGTGCATTACCCAGGAAAAAAAAAACCCAAGAAATATAGATTTAGTTCTTTTTCAAAACCAATATAGTTTTTCTTCTAAAAATATACTCCATACGGATTTAGAAATCTTTTTTACTGGAGATAAAATAAAAGAAAATCAAGTAATTTGTTTATAAAATTACTATTATATAAAAAAGAGAAAAAGTCACAAAATCATGTAACTAAGGAATTCATAAAATCTCAGATTCATAAATATTGTTGTTGTATATCTTCTATTATTATTTCAGAAGGACACTTAAAATTTTTTTTATATCATGTGTTGTTATTATCAAATTTGTCATGCTGATGTATCAATCTCAGAGAGTTTTTCAGGGTTTTGAAATTAGATCCAACTTACTAGATTAATTACATCATATGCTATTAACATTAAATTGATTAAAGATTAGTTTATATCAAATATATATATATATATATTTAATACTCAAACATTTAATTTGTAAAGATATTCTCTCTCTCTTTCTTTCTATTTCTTATCAAAATATTTATAAAAATTTAATACATAATATTACTTATGTTACTAAACATTCTTTTTTTATCTCATCTTTCTTTAATCTTAATTTTGTTAAAAGATAATTATATTATCTATTTAATAATAAAATCTAAACTTTTTCATACATATTATAATTCACATTTTTTATATCAATTTCTATTTAGTTTTGTCACATCAGTATTAATTTAATTATAATATATATGAAAGAATTTAGTTTACGAACAAAAATAGTTGACCATCAATCGAACCAGACAATTGTAAGAAAGCGAGTTTCCAACAGTTGACCATTAACGCACCGTTCTATACCGAGATTTCATTAAGTATAATTGATTCCAAAGACTTACTGGTATTCTTGGAAAACGTTGAGAGTACGTTGCACCTCCAAAGACTTAACATGTAAGTATATTATTATTGTTACCTAACCGGCTAACCCCACTAATCTAACATTGTTATTACCTAAACTGAATAAAGTTTCAGCATGTCGAGTCTTTCTAAATATAACAAAAAACATAACGAAAAATCACACTTTTGAGAAAATTATTCAATTTATTGAAATTTAATTTCAAAAAATACACAAATATAATTTTTCTAAAATGCATATTTCTTTTGAGTGTCAATCTTTTTTTTTTACTTCTTATTACAGGCACTCTATTATTATTATCTGAAAATAAAGATAAACATCCAACTATTTCTTATGAAATGAAAAAAAAAAATCACGTGTAGTTTCTGAGAATGCCGCTGCAGATCTCACTGAGTCTTTTCTCTAGCCTTGCAAGCTCTTGTTCCGCTCGCATCCTAACTCTAGGATCCGTTGCCGTGCGTAACACTTCCTTCAGTGAATTAATCTTACTCAAAAGACTCTTTACTCTGCGGTGTGGCCATCAATTTAAACCTCCCCTGTGGCATATCTTCTTGAGAACTGTAGGACTAAGACTCAATCTTCGAGATGCTTGTTTGATTGGAAGATGAAAATGCATACTAACATCTTTCAGTCAATCATATACAATCAATATATGATAAAAAAATTGTAACTTGCCTTCTTTTTATTAAGAAAACACACATATTAAATGATATCAAGGCTGCTGCAGAACGACTCCTCTAGACCACGATAATTTATAATTTTATGTATAAGGCACACAATTTGAAGCTCGTGTTTTTCTTTAAAATTTTATTTTCTAACTAAAAACAATTAGCTTGTGTCACATAAGTATCTATTTGTATTTATGTTTTTTTCTTATATGTTATTATGTTTGTTATATTTTGCTTATTTTTTCTTATTTTTTAAAAAAGATTTTCGTTATATTAAATTTATGTTTGCTTATAATTTGCTTAATTTTTTTTCTAATATCAAAAGATGTTAAGTAAACGGTTTTAAATCATTCTAATGTAGTTATTTATCTTTAATATGCCTTATATATATCTCATTTTTAACGATTTTTTGTAAAAAATGTAAAAAAACTTATTTTCTTAGAAATAGTGTTTTGTTTTTTTTTTTCAGGTTTGCTGTATATTTTTTCAGGTTCTTCTTTTTACATCATATGTTATTAACATTAATTACATCATATGCTATTAAAATAAATTTGATTAAACATAGTTTATTCAAACATTTAATTTGTAAAGATATTCTCTCTCTCTTTCTATTTCTTATCAACATATTTATAAAAATTTAATACATAATATTACTTATGTTACTAAACATTCTTTTCTTATCTCATCTTTTTTTAATCTTAATTTTGTTAAAAAATAATTATATTATCTATTTAATAATAATAAAATCTAAACTTTTTTATACATATTATAATTCACATTTTTTTATATCAATTTCTATTTATTTTTGTCACATCAGTATTAATTTAATTAAAATATGTATGAAAAAATTTAGTTTATGAACAAAAATAGTTGACCATCAATCAAACCGGACAATTGTAAGCAGGCTCCAACAGTTGACCATTAACGCACCGTTCTATACCGAGATTTCATTTAAATGTAATTGATTCCGAAAACTTACTGGCGTTCTTGGATAACGTTGAGAGTACGTTGCGCCTCCAAAGACTTAACATGTAAGTATATTATTATTGTTACCTAACCAGCTAACCCCACTAATCTAACATTGTAATTACCTAAACTGAATAAAGTTTCAGCATGTCGAGTCTTTCTAAATATAACAAAAAGCATAACTAAAAATCACACTTTTGAGAAAGTTATTTAATTTATTGAAATTTAATTTCAAAAAATACACAAATATAATTTTTCTAAAATGCCTATTTCTTTTGAGTGTCAATCTTTTTTTTTTACTTCGTATTACAGGCACTCTATTATTATTATCTGAAAATAAAGATAAACATCCAACTATTTCTTATGAAATGAAAAAAAAAAATCACGTGTAGTTTCTGAGAATGCCACTGCAGATCTCACTGAGTCTTTTCTCTAGCCTTGCAAGCTCTTGTTCCGCTCGCATCCTAACTCTAGGATCCGTTGCCGTGCGTAACACTTCCTTCAGTGAATTAAACTTACTCAAAAGACTCTTTACTCTGCGGTGTGGCCATCGATTTAAACCTCCCCTGCGGCATATCTTCTTGAGAACTGTAGGACAAAGACTCAATCTTCGAGATGCTTGTTTGATTGGAAGATGAAAATGCATACTAACATCTTTCAGTCAATCATATACAATCAATATATGATAAAAAATTTGTAACTTGCCTTCTTTTTATTAAGAAAACACACATATTAATTGATATCAAGGCTGCTGCAGAACGACTCCTCAAGACCACGATAATTTATAGTTTTATGTATAAGGCACAAAATTTGAAGCTCGTGTTTTTCTTTAAAATTTTATTTTCTAACTAAAAATAATTAGTTTGTGTCACATAAGTATCTATTTGTATTTATGTTTTTTCTTATATGTTATTATGTTTTGTTATATTTTGCTTATTTTTTCTTATTTTTTGAAAAATATTTTCCTTACATTAAATTTATGTTTGCTTATATTTTGCTTAATATTTTTTTCTAATATCAAAAGATATTAAGCAAACGGTTTAAAATCATACTAATGTAGTTATTTATCTTTAATATGCCTTATATATATATATATATATATATATCTCATTTTTAACGATTGTTTTATAAAAAATGTAAGAAAACTTATTCTTTTAGAAATAGTGTTTTGGTTTTTTTTTTCAGGTTTGCTGTATATTTTTTCAGGTTCTTCTTTTTACATCATATGTTACATTAATTACATCATATGCTATTAACATGAATTTGATTAGAGATTAGTTTATATCAAATATATATATATATTTAATACTCAAACATTTAATTTGTAAAGATATTCTCTCTTTCTTTCTATTTCTTATCAACATATTTATACAAATTTAATACATAGTATTACTTATGTTACTAAACATTCTTTTCTTATCTCATCTTTCTTTAATCTTAATTTTGTTAAAAAATAATTATATTATCTATTTAATAATAATAAATCTAAACTTTTTCATACATATTATAATTCACATTTTTTTTATATCAATTTCTATTTATTTTTGTCACATCAGTATTAATTTAATTTTAATATGTATGAAAAAATTTAGTTTATGAACAAAAATAGTTGACCATCAATCAAACCGGACAATTTTAAGAAGGCGAGTTTCCAACAGTTGACCATTGACGCACCGTTCTATACCGAGATTTCATTAAGTGTAATTGATTCCAAGGACTTACTGGCGTTCTTGGATAACGTTGAGAGTACGTTACGCCTCCAAAGACTTAACATATAAGTATATTATTATTGTTACCTAACCGGCTAACCCCACGAATCTAACATTATTATTACCTAAACTGAATAAAGTTTCAGCATGTCGAGTCTTTCTAAATATAACAAAAAGCATAACGAAAAATCACACTTTTGAGAAAGTTATTCAATTTATTGAAATTTAATTTCAAAAAATACACAAATATAATTTTTCTAAAATGCCTATTTCTTTTGAGTGTCAATCTTTTTTTTTTACTTCTTATTACAGGCAGTCTATTATTATTATCTGGAAATAAAGATAAACATCCAATTTTTTCTTATGAAATGAAAAAAAAAATCACGTGTAGTTCCTGAAAATGCCGCTGCAGATCTCACTGAGTCTTTTCTCTAGCCTTGCAAGCTCTTGTTCCGCTCGTATCCCAACTCTAGGATCTGTTGCCGTGTGTAACACTTCCTTCAGTGAATTAATCTTACTCAAAAGACTCTTTACTCTGCGGTGTGGCCATCGATTTAAACCTCTCCTGCGGCATATCTTCTTGAGAACTGTAGGACAAAGACTCAATCTTCGAGATGCTTGTTTGATTGGAAGATAAAGATGCATACTAACACCTTTCAGTCAATCATATACAATCAATATATGATAAAAAATTTGTAACTTGCCTTCTTTTTATTAAGAATACACACATATTAATTGATATCAAGGCTGCTGTAGAACGACTCCTCAAGACCACGATAATTTATAGTTTTATGTATAAGGTTCAAAATTTGAAGCTCGTGTTTTTCTTTAAAATTTTATTTTCTAACTAAAAACAGTTAGTTTGTGTCACATAAGTATCTATTTGTATTTATGTTTTTTCTTATATGTTATTATGTTTTGTTATATTTTGCTTATTTTTTCTTATTTTTAAAAAAAGATTTTCCTTATATTAAATTTATGTTTGCTTATATTTTGCTTAATTTTTTTTTCTAATATCAAAAGATGTTAAGTAAACGGTTTAAAATCATACTAATGTAGTTATTTATCTTTAATATGCCTTATATACATATATATATATCTCATTTTTAACGATTTTTTATAAAAAATGTAAGAAAACTTATTTTTTAGAAATAGTGTTTTGGTTTTTTTTTTCAGGTTCTTCTTTTTAACTAAATATTTTCCTAAGTTTCTAGAATTTCCTACAATAAGATAATATTTTTTAATTACAATTATCTAGATATTTTTAAAATATTATCTAGATATTTAACTTATAGATTTCTCTAAAACATTTTAAGGAGGTGATCGGAGTGTTTCTAGAGACTCTCTATAATTCTCCATGGTATCTAAATTAAGATTGATCAAAAATCAAGTTTAATTTTAATAATCATCAATCTGGAACTGTTCCGTGGTTTCTATAACAAACGCTTATTGCATTAAAAAAAATATGCATCATGAGATGTATATTGATTTGAATATTGAATATATACCATTTTTAAATTAACTGAGTAACTGAGATATGTGGATTTTTGCAAGTACGAAACTCTCTTCAAACTATCAACATTTGTATCAGTCAACTGAAATATCAACTATTGACCATCTTCGTTCTTCTCACAGATTCACGTTAAGAAATGTTTTCTAAAACAATTTGGGTAGACTTACTATAATATTTTATGAGCCCATCTAAATTTTCTAACTTTTTTATAAAACTTTCATAAATGTCAAAAATATGCTTTTAAGCGATAGACTATTATGTAATCAATCAAATATAACAATGGATTAACTCATCAAACTATGTTTTAGAGGTTGTTTTGTGTCAAATGACGTAAATCTTGTACTTTTTCATTATATTGGATTTTTAATGGCAAATTCGGCAGTATTTTTGCCAGTGATTTTCTAGTTAAAATTTTACCATTACACATTTCCGACATTCGTGATACAAGTGCTGTGTTTCCAAGTAATTGCTGTGTTTCCACGTCGGCTCCGTCACCCTTCTTTTTTAGCAATGACGGTCATGGTCCTTCGAGCTTCTTGTAGCAATCCCACGCCAGCTCCCACGTTTAATCCCTTTATCGAAATCGTCGGTAGAACAATAATATAAACTAATCCACGTTATATGAAATTGGGTAATTGAAATATGTGGATTATGAAGTTCATTTTTAAAGTAAGAAAGTCCGATTCTCCACCATAACAAAAAAAATAAAAAATAAAGAACACATGGATTACATAACAAAAAAATAAAAAATAAGCACCGCTATTGTTTTTTGGTCAAAAAAAAAGTCTTAAGCTATCCAATTCGGCTGTAAGTCTGTTAAGACACAAAATGAACTATCAAGAACTTTTTTTTGGCCAGAAAATCAAGAATAAATTAAAAATATTAAATATGCCAATTAATTAAGAATCTGCATGGTATAAGAAAAACATTGGACAAATATAGACAGTAAAATACATATACCTACAAAAGGCTTCCGGGCCAGAAGGTTATTACTAGCGAATCACGGAAACTTTTTATTTTTAAACAATGAAAATTCATAATCAATAAATTTTACATATTTTATGAAAATTAATTATACTACTCAATTTAAAATTATGTATGTATTCTTGAATATCACTTTACAGTTGCAATACTTGCCTATTAAAATATTTTGTTCAACTTGTTCTTGGAAAATTTTCTAAGGCATAGAAGTTTTGAACCAAACTTTGTATCCATACAATATAGTTTAATGAGCCCCTTCAGCAGGAAAACAAAAATAGTCTTGCATATTTTAACTGTCTACTACTTATCTTTCTTAATAATTAATATTTGTAATTTTATAACAATTGAAACTAAAGTTGGTTACTCGAGTAAGCTGAATGAGCTTGAGTATTTACTAATATTTTTATTTCTTTGATGATATTAGTTTAGTTAAAATCTTTAACAGAAAAGGATATGCACTGGTCTCCACATAATTGCATTTTCCTCTTGAAAAGTAAAAATATGAATCGGTTGAATACAGTTTTTGCTAAAATTTAGCAGATGAAATAAATTAGGTCTGTGCTCACTTTAGTATAACAGACTCATCTTGAATATAATAACAATTAGTAAGTCGTAAAGATAGTGATCGATATTGTCATAAACGATTCACCACGCGTATTGCCATTTTGAGTTAATAAATTATGAATACAATTACAAACTCTTATCTCCAAGACTCTAACGGAACAATCATCTTTAAATATCGACTCTCAAACAATCGATCTGACACTAGTTTATCATCATCCCTAGTCCCTACATTCCCTTTACTAACATATGATAATATATGTATATATATATGTGTGTGTGTATATATTCATTCGTCAATACCACCCCTTTAAAATTATCACGCTCATTTTTCTGGTTAGGAAAAGTTAAGTAAATAATTCTCATATTTATATATAGTTCTCATTGGTTTTCCCACTATACTTTTTTTCTCAAAACGGAAATAAAGAAGAATCAATTACGTAACATGCTTTGCTTAGTTCAAGTTACGTTATTTTTCTTTATAAAAAATAATCGTTAGGGTTACTTTCTGTAGTGATTATTTTTAATCTAGTTAATCGCTAGACCTAGATGCATTAAAAATTAGACAGATCAAAATTCGGGTTGTATATAGGTTGCTCAATTGGTGTAAGTTGGGTAACTTGTTGATTAATACTTGCTTGATTGGAATGAATTGATACATTATACAGATAACAGTTTGCTTTGCGCAGTTGATTTTACTCTCCGATCCCATGTATCATGCATAATCTAATAATAATTGAGTACTGGGTGAGAGCAAAAATTCAAATACCGAAGCTTTTAGCTAAATTTAGGAAGATTCCATGTGGTGAAAAAGTTAAAAGGATGAAACAAAGTTAAAATAATTGATTTAATTTTCATTAACTTCTTTATATATAGACACCTTCGTTGAGAAGAAGAATATCATCAAACCCACACAACATTTACTCTACGGAAAAAAAAAAAGATTATTAGAGAATGACACTTAATGGAGCTTTGTCTGTCGATTTTGACGTTAAGTCTCCGGCGGACAAATTCTTTAAAGCTTTCGTCGGAAACGCGAATGCCCCTACGGAAGTCTCCGGTAACTCTTCGACATTACATTCATCTCATTAATTCATTATTCAATTTCTCTAATTGTATTTATATATTTGAAAACCCTTTTTTTGGTAAAAATATATTTGAAAATCCTTACTTGTTATATTATACCAAAAGGCGAGGTGGAGATCGAGGCCGTGGATTGGGTGAAGAGAGTAAGTACGATGAAAATGAAGGGCGTTCAGAAATCGAAGCGCTACAAGACCCTCAAAGGAACCATCACTGTCACTCCTAAAGAAAGAGGCAATGGTAGCAGAGTGGTGTGGACCGTTAGGTTCGAGAAAGTTAGCGATGGCACCGAAGACCCACACTTCTTCGTCGACGAGGCTCCCAAATACTTCAAGGAGATCGATGATCATCTTCTTAAATAAATATTTTCTAAATTTCAAGGTTCATCTACTTAAAATATTATCTAAATAAAGTGGACCGTATCTATCTATGTTTATTGCAGTATATGCAAGAATCTTTTATAATGTTTTGGCATTGGGGATGTATTTCGTCTTAAACATAATATATTGGTTTGCGTATTATTGTTTGAGTGATGATTATAAAATTAGCTAACTTAATCCTCATTCCAATAGATGAGGCATGTTGATTATGCACAGACATTGTTTACCATATGATTAGCCAAAGAGAAATCGAGTTTTAACAATAGCTATTTCAAAAATTCTTTAAGCTGTCAATTTTTTTTTATTTCTTAATCTTATCCAAAATTAGCAAAAAATCCTAAAATCCTAAAGATACCACAAAGTTTTATTTTGTATGAGTTCTAAATCTTATAATAAGGGCTGAAACAATATTACATTGTGGTAAACTTGTATTTTTTAATTTTGTTAAGTTTTGGTGTTAAGAAAATAAGAATATACCGAGTTGGTTGCACCACAAAAAAAAAAAAGAATATACCGAGTTATTTCCTCAAATTAGAATATATAAAGTACTGGGATTTTTTTTAGAATGATATTTCTTACGCCAAACAAATATAACTTAATTATATGATACACAATTAATAACTAACTTTTTGTTTTTGTAATATATGATATGGAGTTAATTAAAGATACTGGATACTCATTTGTCAAACCCAAATTTCCTTTCATTAAATTGGCATGTGTTCACATGCATGCATGCTCATTTTTAATTAAAATTTACGTGTGGTTCTAATTAGTTACTAAATTAAGCAGATTGAATAAATTAAGTCTGCAAATTATATTCTTCAACGTAGGGACCCGCAACTGATTCATTTTGAAGAAAAACAAACTTTTGGTGAGTCATGACTTGGAAAAAGATTGATGCTGTGATAAAAAAATTTCACCAAACCCTCCTGTACTATTGCTATTTTAGTTAAGAGATTGGTTAAAAAAAAAAGTTGACAAAAAAAGCAAAGAGATTGATGAATATAACCTCCTAGCCCCAACAAGACCCAACAGAAAATAGACTTTCAATTTCTTGCTAAACAATCATTTTGAAGAGAAAAAAGCAACACATTAAAAAAAAATTAAAATTGCCAAAAAAAAACACATTTTAAACTCACAACGGTGACATCGGTTCAGAGTCATATTTTTTTAAAATATCTAAAGTATTTAGGTAAATTAATTATGTAAAACACTTGTTTGATTGGAGTTAATTGAAATCAAATTGGTGACATCGGTTCAGAGTCATACCTTTTATTATCTAATGTATTTAGATTAAATAATTACGTAAAAAACTTGCTTGATTGGAGTTAATTGAAATCAGTTTGGTTTGCGGGATTTATTTATTCCCATGTACCACATTACTTTTTTTTTTTACTTGAGTGTGTAAAAGCGAAATTGCAGAAGCTCATATTGGGAAGCTTAATCAGTAAATTACTTCGTGGTTAGTCAAAAAGTCAAAATAAACTTTCTTAAACTCATCACATTCACATCAGTTTTTATACGTACATTACTCCGCTTGGTTAGAGTTAATTTGATATCAATTTGTTATGTACGCATTGAGTTATTTCCCATGCGCTATACAATCCATGAATTAACTGAGTGGGTGAAGTAAATTGTAAATGCTAGTGTTATATGTGCGTGGGTGTGTGTGTGTGGGATTTCAAATTGTTTATTAATATAGTAGGTCTCTTGGAGTAGTTAACCCACAAATGACTCACGTTGGTGAGTCATGTGGCGATAAATAGATGTTGTAATGCATTATTGCCATTTATAGTAAAGAGATTGATGAATACAATTATACAAACTCACATTTCCAACCGAGCAAAAAAAATTCTGATTCTGTATTATTTAATCTTGACTCACACATCATGTTATATATATCTCTATATCACTCTAGTATACACACCATATATCTGGCCAAAAATGACATACTCGTCTTGAAGAGAAATGAACAAAACAAAATCTAGGTCTCTAAGTATTATTGCTTCACATCTGTTTCAAAGTCTTGTATTTAAATTGTTGTTGTTTATCATCTCAGAGCTCAAATTATATTTTCAGACGATGTCCCATTCGGTAGGGGAAGAGAAAATTGAATAAAGTAAACAGATCGTAAGTAGCAGTAGCTTTCTCAAAAAATGTTTGATGTGTGCCTTCGAGAAAATTTAGACATTAATTTTTTTATTTAGCTATCATCACTTAAAGATAAATGTGTAGGTATTCTCCTAGTTACATACATAGATATTGTTGATCTTTGACGACACTTTCTCTATTATGAGTTTTTATAGTTACACAAACTTTTAATTAATAATATTAATTGAGTTGGTATGTTGAAGTTTACACTGGTAAGTTGAGTGGTTTGACTAGTATAAACCATTTTAGTTCATGATCCTCATCAAATTACAACATAGTCATATATTTTTTTCCTTGAAAATGTCGTAAAGAATCAAAATGCAAATGCTGAAACCTTGCAGTTTTTTTTGTTAGCACATAAACTTTAATTTATCTAAAATAATAGGAAAAATTATATACTTTTCCTAGTTGTTCTCGATGCAGTGTATTACAAAAAGTTGAGCAAATAATTAAAAAAAAAAAAAAAAAGAGAAAGAGAATAATCTTCATTGTGTATAAATTTAGCGACTTAAAAAAGACAAATCAGAATAACAATGACGTTCGCTCTTAAATATTTTGTTGTTTTTCTTCTTCTCCTCTCTGTGTTCAATCAAGGAATGTGCCGCTGCACTTTCGGTGAGATCCAGATCGGGACTGTGAGGACTGGGAGAGAAATCGGCGGCCAACCGGAGTGGAAAGTGGCGGTGATCAACACGTGCACCTGTCTTCAGAAACACGTGACTCTGTCTTGCAGAGGGTTTTCTCCTGTGAAGCCTGTCGAGCCATGGCTGCTTCTTCCACAAGGAAACACGTGTCTTCTGATTAAAGGAGGGGCTTTACCAGCGGGCGCCACCGCTCACTTCACCTACGCCGGCCAGCCTTACATCTTCAGACCCGTCGGTTCCACGGTCGACCCAAGTTGTAACCAATGATTATTTTTCTTCGGAAAAAATTAACCAAAAATAAATAAATAAAACTTATGAAAATACATATCTGTGAACAAGGTTATTAGGTTTCTTGCGTGTCAAGGAAGGCGATGTTTTCTTATTGTCCAATAAACTGACGCACTCATCTTTTTTTTTGTTCTGTTAAACACAAGTTACAGACAGGAGAAAAAAAAATGACTAGAGCATTTATAATTAACTATTTCATGATATTGATCATTAGTCATGACTATTTTAATTTCATCACATACGCACAGGATGGTAGAGTAATATAATCAATTACGACGTAAATGACTTCGCTTGCTTAGAGTTGATTTATACATAAGGCAGATCATACCAATTTGGTCTGTAAAAAAAAACATTTATTTTCCCATGCCACATGAACTAACTGAGTGGGTGAAGTAGAATTGTAAATGCTAAAGCATTTGGCTATATTCAGAAAGATTCAATATTGTCCACTAATCTGATGCACGCATCTTTTCTTCTGAAAGTTGAGTTAAGTCAGAAATTAAATATGACTAGAGCATTTATTAATTATTACTAATTATATCATGATATTCATTCTTTAGTCATAAATATTTTAATTTCATCACATACACAGTTACACACCGGTTTATATTTTTTATAAAGATTTGATATGGTGAAAAAAAAGTTAGATGTGCATGTGGAGTTGGATAGAAAAGTTAAATCCAAATTTTACCTCTATATATTAGCACCTTCATCGAAAGGAGTATATTTTTTAACTCATAAAAACATATACATATTAAAAAAAAAAAAAAAATACACAGAGTGAGAATGGCTCTACATGGAATTTCTTCCGGGAAGTTTGACATCAAGTCTCCGGCGGAAAAATTCTTTATATCTTTCACCGAAGACATAAATAGTACTTTCGACATAATATGTAAATCATCCAACTCTTTCACATTTCAGTCATATTTCTTGATCATCGATCAAAACCTCTAATATTAATCGCTATGTTTTCATTGTAGCGAAGGAGAAGATAACCGAGTCGGTGGGTTGGGATTTAAGAACAGTGACGCTGAGTATGAGTGGAAATCTGATCTCGGATAGCTACAAGACGTTCAAAGCAACAATCACGGTCACTCCTAAGGAAGACGAGCCCGACGGTGGTCAAGTGGTGTGGACCGTCGAGTTCGAGAAGACTCGCCATGACATCGAAGACCCAGTCTGGATAATCGACATTCTTATCAACTACCTGAAGGAGACCGATGAAAATCTTAATAATCTATAGTCTTTCTGAATCACAAGGTTCGTCTTTATATAGGATATAATCTAACAACTTAATTGACATAGGGCCTAAATTTGTTTCTATGTTTATTGCAGTATAATTTATTAGGTTCGTCGGATTGGTGTGTATAAACTCGTAACGCTTTCAAGATGAATGGATATATCGATTTGCAAATTATTTTTGTTTTATATATAATTTTCATATTTTTGTTGGACTGGTGATTCTGAAATATTCACAGAAGGTTAAACTAATCAGCATTTGGTTAAATGGGTAATTCAGACCTTTTTTGTCAAAGTAATTGAGACCTTTCACAGGAAAAGAAATGCGGATTTGAAACACGGTGGATTAGAGCATGTACATCAGTGAACCCCTAAGAATATAATAACATTTTTTTTTGTTTTAGTTTTGTTTTTTTTTAATTCGAAAATTATAATTTTCGACCAATCAGGATGCTTTATTTTGGGATGATACTGTCTCTTCAGGTTCGTCGGGATGATACTGTCTCTTTAATATTAAGATCTTTTGTCTCAAAAACTGTGTCATGAACCCCTTTTGATCCCCTGATGTACATGCTCTTATACAACTCATTCCCTAAGTAAAGATTTCCGATTTTCCATTACATTATAAAAGCCATTAAAACGTAACTCTTAACCTGAGCACTTTGGTTGTTACTTTTGTAGAAATAAAATGATTAATCCAAAATCTTATATTATTAATTGAGAAATATATTTTAAAAACAACCTTCACTTGTGTGATTTACAAAAGTGCTTGCTTTACTAAATAATTAAATCATAGGCCATTAAATATTAATTGAGTTAGAGATTAATTTCTAATAATTATAATTTAATATTCAACATTTAATTTGTGAAGATATTCTTTTTTTGTTTTTATCAATATATTTATCAATATTTAATACCTAATATTACTTATGTTACTAAACATTATATTCATTTAACTCATCTTTCTTTGATCTTAAATTTGTTAAAAATAATAATCACATTATCTATTCAATAAAAAAAATAAATTTTTTCATACATATTATAATTCTATCTTGTTATATCAAACGAAGAATATCTTAGTCATATAGAACTTATTAATCCACTTTAGTATATTTAAAATGTGCAATTTCATTCATATAAAAAATTATTAAAATTATCAATAATTATCTAGTATTTATAAAATTATATTAAAAAGTAAATATAATTGTAATCATTATTTGAAATTACATAATCAGTATATAGATTTGTAATTATAAATATTAACTAACATTTTTATAGTTATATTTATGTACATTATATTTGCTTATTCGAAAAAAAATTATGTTTAATAGTTATTCTACACAAGATGCGGGTAATTACTTAGTAATTATTATAAAAAAGAGGAATAACGAATCCCTATAATATTACATAAGAAACTATGGACAAATGTAGACCGTCGAATTAAAAGGAAAGTTTTGGACCAAAACGTTTAATTAAAAGGAAAGTTTTGAAGTTACAAAAGTGCACTTGATTGGCTAAACCATGTTTTTCTTGGCCCAAAAAAAGTGAAAGCAGTAAAAAACATAAGAATTTGGTTTAGCTTTTAGTTTTTTACTGATGTAAAAAAAGTCAGCATTTCCTTCTTTTGCGTCTGGCCACCAATGTGTCAATAACGCAGCGGTCAATTCCCCTAACCTTTTTCTTGCAACAATCAAAAAACACAATTTTCAGTTTGTGGAAATTAAGTGACGAAAGCATTTTTTATCAATAACTATTTTATGATAGTCAAAACTATATTAATTTCATCACATACACGTCAGTTTATATAGTCATGTATTTTGATATTAGGATGTGTTAAAAAAAATCGATTACGACGTAAATTATAGTAAAAATTCTATAAATTAATATTCGATAAATTAATAAATTTGATTAATTAATAACTTTTGTTTGCCTAAATTTAAATTTTAACCTAATTAATCACTTTATAAATTAATAACTCTATAAATTAATAAAAATTAAAAGTCTCAACTTTATTAATTTATAGGGTTTTTAGCTTGGATAGAGTAATTTACTTCAACGACTTGCTAATTAGCAAGTGCTACCATTTCGGTCTGTCAATTTAATTATTCTTCCCATGTGCCACATGAATTAATTGAGCGGGTTAAGTGAATTGTAAATAATGAAGCTTTTGGTTACATTTAGATATGTTAGATATGGTGAAAAGAAAAAGTTAGATGGATGGGTTTAGGTAAAACTAGTTCATGCATTTTTCATAGAGCTCTCCCTCTATATATTCACAATCATCGAAAGGATTATAATCAAACTCACAAAACATATACTTATAAAAAGAAATAGAGAATGGCATTGCATGGAGTTTGTTCTGGGGGACTTGAAATTAAGTCTCCGGCGAACAATGTCTTTAAAGCATTCACCGACGACATAAATAGTACTTTTGACCAAACAGGCTAATCTTTAATTCAATTCTTCCACATTTTCACTCATATCTTGATCATCATTCAAAACCCTTAACTAATAGCTATGTCTAACCGTAGCGTCGATGGATCCGGAGAAGAGAACAATTACAATGAGAATGAATGGTTGTCAAATCTCGGAAAGCTACAAAGACGGTCAAAGCAACCATCATGGTCACTCCTAAGGAAGATGGGGACGGTAGCAACGTGTGGTGTGGACGGTCAAGTTCGAGAAGACTCGCACTGACATCGACGATCCACATTTCATAAAGGAGACCGTTGAAAATCTTCTTTTATAAGCTTCTCTAGATTATCACAAGGTTTGTCCTTTAATGGAATAATCTAACAACTTAAATGAAATCGAACCTACTATATTTCTATGTTTATTGCAGTGCTTTTTATTATGTTTGGCATTTTGGGGGAGAATATATAAACTCCTAATAAGGTTTTCAAGATGAAGAATAGTCCATTGATTTTCATATTATTGTTGGACCGATGACTATAACAATTATTTTGCAACTCATTTCTTAAATATGCACTGACATCGGCGATCCACTTTTCATCATCTCATTTTTTTTCCTCACCCATCATCTCATTATATCAAAGATTGAACCAACCGGATTTACTTCTATATATATCAAAGACTGCTGATTATACCATACATTTGGAGTTGAGAATTAGGTTTCTCAAAGCCATTCCAATATCTACTCGATCTCTCAAAATTGACCTCAAATTTAATTTATCTGTTTTAAATCACAAACTGTACGTAGATATTTGTCTACTACTTAATATGGAATATATAATTTTTTTTTTAACGATTTAGTGGTGAAGTTTGTTAATTGGGCCTCCATTAGTAAATTTTCTCTTAATTGAGCCATTCGGCCCATGGACTTGCCACACAGCTTTTCTCAAAAGTGGCGATGACAGGCTTTTTCTTTAATTTATCAATTCCAAATTCCAATGTTGACAATTATTTAATACTCAAAACAATTAATCATATGTTGACAATACCATGTGATTAATGGTTTCCTAAATTCTTATCCAAAACCCCAAGGAGGATTAGGCATTCGGGATTTACAAGATTTTAATGTTGCCCTTTTAGCTAAGCAAAGTTGGAGACTCCTTCAGAACCCGACGTCTTTGTTAGCTAAAGTGTACAAATCCAAATATTATCCCAAGATGACTCTGTTAGAAGCAAAGCAGAAATGGTGTTCGAGCTATGCTTGGCATAGCATTCTTGAAAGCAACAAGCTGATTAAGAAGGGAGCTAAGTGGCTTGTTGGGAATGGTGATCAAATTCAGGTTTGGAGAGATTTATGGTTACCAACTGTCCCTTCAATGCTTGCAACTGGTATTGGCTTTTCGGTATTTCTTAATTTAAAAATTAAAAACCTTTTTATGGAAGGAACAGCTGAATGGGATGATTCTAAACTTCTATCTCTTTGTAATCCTATTGATATTCCCCTTATTAAGATGTTGCGTCCTTCAGTCACAGGAGCTGAAGATGTAGTCACTTGGTTACATACAAAACAAGGGGAATATACGGTAAAATCCGGGTATAATCTCCTACGCTCAGAAAAAGGTCAGAATTCCTCCACCCCTATGTATTTATATAAAGCCCTTTGGAAGCAAAATATTCATCCCAAGGTGAAGCTTTTTTGGTGGAAAGTTTTTCACGATGCCCTACCAGTTGGGGTTAATCTTAAACATAAGCGCTTACTCCTTGATAGTAAATGTCATTTATGTGGAGAAGCTGATGAATCTATTACCCATCTCCTGTTTTCGTGTCGTATCAGTCGAGAAATCTGGGAAATAGCACCTATCAATACCCCTACAGTTGAATATATGCTCTCTCATAATGTTTATGAGAATTATAGCTCGTTTGTAGAGCTAAACAAAGCATGTAGAGATCAACTGTTTCTTTTCTATTTGATAGGATGGAGGATTTGGAAACAAAGAAATGAAGTTGTATTCAACAACAAGCGTTGGCCTATTCCTGATACGATCAATAGAGCTTTGGGTGATCTTAAACTGTGGCAAGAAGCATTGGAGAAAACCAAAGTTGATCTGCAACGAGCACAACAAGCTTCAGGTGTGAGAATAATTACAGACTCTACAAATGTACCCACATCTCGTCAAGAAGCAATCGCTGCTGCAGATCAATATTGTTGTTTTATTGATGCTTCTTGGATATCACCGACACAATTAGCAGGTGCTGCCTGGATTTTGTATAATAAACAAAGAAGGCAGATTCTGCAAGGCTCGGGAGCAATTTTCCCTACATCTTCTTCATTGGAAGCTGAAGTTGAAGCCTTACGTTTGGCTGTTGTTAATCTGCGAAAACTTGGATATGCTTGTGTTACTCTTTGTGGAGATGTGCAAGACATATATGGAGTATTACAGCATAATCGGTTTGAAAGGAACCCACAACATTGGAAGCAGCATCATATGGGAATATATGTTCAGGATATATTAAAGATATCTCAAGTTTGTGGCTTTTCTTTCGTGCAGTTAATAGAATAGCAAATGATTGTGCTGATCGTCTAGCTAAACAAGCTAGATATAGTTTGCAAAAGGGAAAAATCCTTAAAAATACACAAACTTTATAAAATTTGGAAAAAAATACACGGACTATTTTGATTGCCAGAAAAATACACAAACTATTTATTACATCTATTTTAATACTCAAACTTTTAATAATTTCTTATTTAATACTCAAACTAGCAAATCTCATATATTTTACCAAATTTTTATTCTGAAAATCCAGTTTTATCCTTCTATACTTCTCAAACTTGATTTAATTATTAGATAAAACAAAATTTTAATTTATAAAAGAGAACACAAAAAAAAAAAAAATCTTGTCTCTTCTTTTGTGGTCGAACCTTTCGCAGAGACTCAAGTAGAGAGCAAAACAAAATGCTTCACACCAGCAAAACAGAAAATACCAATGTCTAATCTCATCTAACACCTGTGGCAATAGCCATCATATTGAATCAGCTCTTTCACTACGATTCTCTTTTTGTACCCAGAAAGCGACTTTAAAAAGATATTATTGGAATCTGAAATTTTCTTTTTGCATATCCCACAACATATATCTCATCATTTGATAAAGGATAGAAATCGATGTTCACATATTTAATAAACATTCGTTCTAGTAATGAGATCCAATTTGGTATCAAATTCAATTGTGGCGAATCGATTCTTCTAAGGTCTCGTTGTCATGAGAAAGGAAGAAAAAATTTTAGTCGTGGGAGAAATCTGGGTTTACTTTCCGTTGTCCTCTTCGCCGGAGCTGTGGTGGTCAATCAGAAATTGCAGAGATAAGTTCGACGACAAATGATGAATCAGGTGAGCCAAATTGTAGAGAAAATAATTGGTTTTTTATTTTTTTTATAAATTATAGGAATTTTCTTTTTTTCTTAAGAAAAAAAATAATAATAAATATATTAAATGTTAGAAATAAAGAAGGGTAAAACTGGATTTTGAGAATATAAAATTTGGTAAAATATACGAGATTTGCTAGTTTGAGTATTAAAATAGATGTGATAAATAGTCTGTGTATTTTTTAGGGAGTCAAAATAGTTTGGGTATTTTTTTTCCAAATTTTATAAAGTTTGTGTATTTTTTAGGATTTTTCCCTTTGCAAAATTTTGTAATCCGCAAAATTATGTAATTCGCTGATTGATGTAATGTTTTATGTAATGAAGCAGTTTGACGACAAAAAAAAAAAAATGGTTTCCTCACAGTTCAATTAAAAAAAATTAATATCACTTTATTTATACGAGTACCTCGATACTGAAAATCGACTGACACCAAAAATGTAGTACTAATTTAACTCTAATTTCTAATGGTAACGACTAACGATGAACGATTATTGTGGTTGTTCCCTTATTATTGATGACTTGATACCTACCATTGGATAATTAAATGTGGATATTAGGCTTTTAGCTGTTCAATAATTTCAAAAAAAACGCTTAATAATGAAAAATATGGAAGCCATAACTTATTCGGTAGGCTTTTCTATATTCTTCGAAACTGCTAGGCACTAGATCCCTAAATCAAGCATTGGGCTCCACACCAAAATTGTGAATTTCCAGTAAAAAGTTGATTTAAAAATAAAAAAATAAAAACACAAAAAGGCCGGTGACCTAATAAGAGAACTCCGCGTAATAACTCTGAGATCAATTTAAGTGATTACTAGTATTAATCATTCAATTAGGCCTTAACTAATATTTTACCCCTTGCATGTTTTAAATTAATGATGGTAGCTCTCTGGTTGTGCCATATCTGTTTAGCAATCATTTCAGATTCCCAAATTCCTGCTACATTTTGACTGCTAATCGGTTGGAAATTTTTGTTGAGAGTTCCATGGAAAAAAATAAAAATCAAAAATTGAGGGGGGTTTATGACTAAATCCGAGAGAAGCTAAGTAAGTGGTGTCTCTGTTCTTCATCACCTAAGGAGAACCCAAAAAAAATGTCTGAGATTATTCATCATTGGATCCAAATCTCGCCTCCTTCTTCTTCTTCTCCTTCTCCTTCTCCTTCATCAGCTCCTCCTCCTATTACCGTGAATCAATCGAGCAATTCATCTTCCGGTGGTATTCGAATAAACCCAATCCTTCTGTTCGTCATCATTCTCTTGTCCGTCGTCTTCTTCATCTGCAGCGTTCTGCATTTGGTGGTGAGATATTACTTGAAGAAGAAAAGATCGAGCCTTTCGTCTTCAGCGACGGGATCCGATCGGAACCCAGAATTCTCCGACTCCGAAACTTACCAAAGACAGCTTCAACAGCTGTTTCATCTCCACGACTCAGGTCTAGATCAAGCTCTAATCGATGCCCTTCCCGTGTTTCTCTACAAGGAAATCAAAGGCTCGAAAGAGCCGTTCGATTGCGCAGTGTGTCTCTGCGAATTCTCAGAGGACGATAAGCTCAGATTGCTCCCGATTTGTAGTCACGCCTTCCACATCGATTGTATCGACACATGGCTCCTCTCGAATTCGACATGTCCTCTCTGCAGAGGAACCCTTTACCCTATAGGGCACCAATTCGATAACCCGGATTTCAATTTCGGGTTTTTCGCCGCCGGAGAAGATGGAGCTAGGGTTTCTCCGGTGCAGAAACCGGCGGAGAATGATATCATGAGCGGGAAGAGAGTGTTTTCAGTGAGGCTTGGGAAGTTTAGGAGCACCAACATTAATACTGGTGGTGAAGGAGGAGGAGGAGGAGAGACAAGTGGTTCTGTGAGTGTGAACAGTAATCTTGATAACAGAAGATGCTTCTCAATGGGTTCTTATCAGTACATAGTGGCTGAATCAGATCTGGTCGTGGCTCTTTGTCCGAATAATGAAGGTCTGAAGAATGTGAAAGAAGGAGATAGTAATCTTGAAGGGAAGAAGATAAACATGAGAAGTAAAGGTGAGAGCTTTTCCGTCTCAAAGATTTGGCAATGGTCAAATAAAAGATCAAAGTTTGCAAATCAAGCAGAAACCAATCTGGTGGGTTCTTCTTCTTCTTCTTATGCTTGTTCTGCATCTGGTAGTACAGTTGCTCCTGGGTTATCATTGAATGGTAGGAGATTTCAGGGTCCATGAGACAAGGGTAGGTACAGATCAAAGGGTAGCTTATTTTCTGCCATTGATTTAATTAAATCATTGATTTTGGGTTTTTGAAAATTCATTTTGTTAACACTATACCTTAGTGGTGGTCTTTTGTGTCTCTGTAGCTGAATCTCTTTGTGTTTGTTGAGGGGAATAAGCTTGTTCTTTGATTATGTTATAAGGGAAGTTTCTGTTAATCCCCTGTTCTAGTCGAACTCTGTTCATAAACAGTCGAGTTTGTTAGTTTGAACTTATGAAGTAGATGAGATTCTGAGATGGAAGGGAACCTCAAAATTGCGCAATTTCTTTTATAAAGTTTTGAAGCTCTAAATTTTGAAGCTTAATGGTTTAATTAATTCAAAACTTTACAAAGAAAGAAAGATTGTTTTCTAGGAAAAGTATTTTCTAAAAAAATGAAGAGAAGTCAAATATGATTTCTTTGGTGGGGTTTTAGACTTGTAAAGAGTATCCAAAAATGGGATGGAATCATTATTGGTAGGGAGAATAATGATGATCAATAATTTGTTATTATGCTCCAAAAAGAGCATTCGAGTAAGAGTAGGTAAGGGAAATCTCACGTTGATCTCCAAATTTGCCTTCTCCAAATTTGCCTTCATAATAATTACGTCACGATGATCTCCAAAGTTTCAAAATTATCAAAATCACATGAACTTTCACTATTGGCTACCACCAGTTATTTACAGTATCAAACTGGCTTTACGTAGAATTTGGTAATGTAGAAATCCAATGGCGTCACAGGTTTTTTGAAGCAGAAATGTTGCTAATCAAGACATTTATGTGATATATTTGCAAAATTAAGACATGATCCAAAAAATCAAAACTTATTTTTATAGACGAAGCTTAACTTGAGATACATCTCTTGTGTTAGACACAACGAGACAAACTCGTGTGCTTCCTCGATCACTTTCCGATTCCAAACATAGGAAATTTTGTACAAAATCAATTCTATTTTTTCTTATAAAACTTGGGAAAATACTTTTAAATAAGTTTATATTTTGAAAACTACACCATTTTTTAATTTATTTTGAAAACCTACTCTTATTTACAAATGAAATAGGAAATTTGTACAAAACCAATTCTATTTATCTTATAAAACTTGGGAAAATACTTTTAAATAAGTTTATATTTTGAAAACTACACCAATTTTTAATTTATTTTGAAAACCTACTCTTATTTACAAATGAAATGATTAATTTAAAATAAATAAGAATTATATTAATTTTAATATTTCAATAAAAATATATATAAAAAATATTTACGTCTCATTTGTAAACTAACATCTAATTAGTTTTTATTTTCTTTAATAATTCTGAAATTTTAACAAATACGTCTCATTTTTTTGAAAATTTTCTAATCGGTTTCTTTTTCATCTGTTCTTCATGTAGTTAATTTTTTTCGATGTGTTATCTTTTGTTTATTCGAATAGTAGTATTAAAAAAAAAAACTATGCACCATCACGAGGAGGAGGAAAATATGACGACAGAGGTGAGTATATTCTGCGGAGGAGCATTCCAGTTAGCAGAGAGAATACTGCGTCAAGTGAAGGAATCCGATGTGGTTTCGATTTGGAGAATGTCTCAGTACCATCAACTATATTCTAACCCAAATGAAATTCAACATGTTAGCAAGCGGTGTGTCCTCTTTCTACATGACTTTGCTTACACACGATCCAGACCCAGCTGCTAGCACATTGCAGAAAACCTTTCAGGTTCGTGTTGATGAAGGAAAATACGACAGTTTGGATTTGACGTGCTCCATTGCTAGACCTAAAGATGATGAAGGTGACTTGTGGTGCACATTATTGCTCATTTTTTTATTTTTTATTTATATAAAAGTCGAGCCTGAGTCAAAATCTCACATGCTGATTAATAATTTGTTGCATAGTGACCACCAAGACGCCCTTCATACCTCACTTTCATGGTGGTACAGCAGCGGATGGTATCTTCTAAGGTGAATTGCCTGATTGGCCGTCAGATGATGCTTTCAATGATGGAAAACGGTTTCACGTGGTAAGAGTATAATTAAGACAGCATTAAGTTTAGTTGAGCTCATGATCAATTTTAGCAAGCAATGATATACTTTTCTTGCTTTTGCAGGTGAAGGAATCAGAGTGGCAATCCACTGATAGGATTTCCATGTATTTAGAACTTGCAATTTGTTCTCATCATAGGTTGACTACATATGTAAGTTTAGCATATCAATTAATGACTGAGTGGCACTGTTGGTAATAATAGTAATGAACACCTAAACGTTTGTTGTTTCTTTTTTTTCTAAAAAAAAAAAGAAAACATTGTTTCTTCTGGTGCAGCTGACATACATTCTATCCCGATTGGAAATTGTAAAAGTTGCCATAGAAACTGCTATATATTGAAGATATGGAGCCCTTGAATGAAAGACTCAAAGACCAAAAGTGCACACACTACAAGAAAACATCACTTATTTCTACGACATGTATATGTCTACATAACGTTTAAGGCTTGGCAGAGCCTCGAGCCATTCGGTAGGTTTTTGAGAAGGGTGAGCATGTTAAACGCAGAGCTATAGTTAGAAGAATCATAGATGAACATACATGATACTTGACTCTCAAGGGTAAGCTTTGTGGTGGTCAAGATCCCAACAAGCCTTCTTTGACTCTCGAGTGGAGAAAAAACTGAAGTTATAAAAAGCGATCTCACTTAGACTAGATTATGGTTTAATGGTATAATTAGTTCAAAACATTTCAAAGAATAGAATGATTGTTTCCTATGAAAAAATATATCAAAATTTTAAAAATTGAATTGGCTTTAAACAAGAAAAAAGTTTTTGATCAAGACAAGTATGTAATATATTTGCAAAACTACATGATCCAAAAATCCAAACTTTTGTGCAGAAAATACATCATGGGTTATGAATCAAATATCCTGAAAATTATATACACAAGAGACAAACTCTGTGATATCCGGTGAAATCAGTTTCTTAAAATGAGGCTGTAATAAATTTTCTTTCCTAACTCGAACAATCCTTATTAGTAAATTAGGTCGGCTCTTATTGACTATTTTTGAAGTTATTTCAAAAGCCTCCTCAATTGTGGGGATTCATCGAAAACCTTTTCTTTTTCTTTGGTTCATCCAAAGTTCATCAATACTTAAAGGATGGTGACTTGCAGACAATTTCCCCAAAGAATTCCATTTTTAAGTGGTTTAAGGTGTTCTCACATTTAGATCTTACATCTTTTCCAAAAAAATCTGGATTGCAAAATGCAAAAAGATACCAAGTGCAAACGGGTAAATTATAAATCTCTGTTAAGTAAATACTCACATTGACTTTCCCATCTCCATCCCCCTCTATTTTCAGGATTTCTTTAAAATCTTTCACTTAGAATTTCCAAATGCAAATGGTCCTTCATTTAGAATTTCCTTAAAATCTTCATTAAGATCCTCTTTAAATACTTTGTATTCTGCATCAAATAATTATCATTTTCAGCACTTGAGAGAGCATATATCATACAACTGAAAGAGAAAATCATACCTTGCTACTTGGAGCACAGCTAAGACCACAAAAACAAGGTAAAATATAATGATTTTGGTGTAAGAACATATTCTTTCTCTTGTAGTTCTTCTTCAGATTTCTCTTCAGGCGGGTTTCATCCTCTTTATCTTCTTTTTGATCCTCTCCCTTACTCTCTTCTTCCTCATCCTCTTCTTCAATATCTTTCAACTCAATCTCAAGAATGACGAAGTTTGTAAGCAGATGCATCGGCTTATCAGAACCACAAATAAACATTTTTTTGTCATCACTTGCACCCACAGACATGTAATGAGTAGCTAGTGACACATATGCATATCCATCATCAGACACATATTCTCTGTTTTCATTTTGCAGATAGCAACAAGTTATCTATCATATTTTTAACTTTTGTCATTGCCAGAACATTATTGTAGGTCCTAAGTCTATTTTTTATTCTCTTTTGTGACATCATGTAAACACTCAATTTCTTATGCTGAAAATCAATCAGTCTCACCAGGGGCGGACTCAAAAATTATTTCGGGTTATATGTATGATTAATGAAACCAGAATCAGTTTTAAGATTTAAAATGCTAGAAGCAAGAAAACAAAATGATTGTGCACAATCTCTGAACACGAGACTTTTGGTCATTTGCCATATTTTGCCATATTTTACCATATAATTTGTTGTGGTTGATGGATTTTATGTTCTTTTAATATTGTAAAAAACATACATAATGAACATACATTAAAAGACTATGTAACAAAGTCAAAGTGACAACGCAAGCAAGTCTAGAAACAATATATAAATGAAGCTGTTCTACATAAAACACAAAAGAATATGTTTATATTTATTTTAATAAATAGAATAGTACGATCTAGTAATTAGCACAATACATAAGAAAATTGTATCCTATGCATGTCGATATAGTACGTCTTGTTCATTAGCAACACAAATCATATTAGATGCAAAAAAAACTGTTTTTAATACGATTCAATATTTAAGCAATTGATAGTATGAAATTAATGGAAGAGAGAAGATGAAATAGGATAAGAAATAAAGTTTTGAAACAATACATGGGAAAGAAATGATGTTGTGACGTTTTTTGTTTATGTTAGAATCATATTTATGGTAGAATGTGGAAGTCCTTTCTTGGTTCTGTAGTTAATTTTTTTAAAAAAAATTGGTTATAGCTGCTATTTCCTTTAATTAGTTGGAAAAAGTTCAAAGAAAAAAAAGATTGTTTCCTGAGAACACTACATATTTAAAAGAAGAGAAGTCAGATATGATTTCTTTGGTAGGGTTTTAGACTTGTAAATACTAAAGAGTATCCAAAAAGAGCATTCAAGTGTTGGTATGGTAAGGGAACTGTCACGTTGAACTCCGAATTTGCCGTCATAATAATTACGTCACGATGATTTCCCTAGTCACATGAACATCCACTATATAGTAGCACCAGTTATACAGAGGATCGAACTGGCCTTTTTGTAAAATTGGTGATGTATTAATCCAGTTACGTTAAGATGTCTCATAAGTCACAGATTCTTGGGCAATTTTTTGTAAGAAAAAAAAAACAGAATTGGCTTCAAACAAGAGAAACGTGTTGATGAAGACATGTGTGTAATAAATCATAATTGCAAATTAAAACATGATCCTAATTATTTTATGGATCTTTTTTATGTCGGTCTTCATGACCGGATTTAGTGGGACAAATCCAACTCCAACAATAACGGCATATCTTGTCGAGATCCCAAAAAAAAAAAAAAAAAAAAAAAACCATCGACCACCACGAGGAGAAGAATATGACGACGGACTCGGGGGAGTTGTGTCTTTCGGCGGAGTGAGCAGCGCGAATACTGGCGTCAAGTAGAGGAATCCGATGTAATTCTTTCATCTTTTTATTGTTTAGAGAATCTATCTATGATTGTGATTTGTTGGATTGTTCCTTTGTTTCACAAAACTAACCCTAGTTCTTAATAGCTTCTAGACTACTAGAGGAAATCGATCGCTTCTAGGGTTGTTTATGTTGCTAATTTGGGTCTTAGGGTTTCGAGATTTAGTGGAACTAGATGGCTTCTAGGTTTGTTTATGGACTGACTATCTTGCTGTTGGGTCTTAGGGTTTCGACATAGATGATGTCAAAGTACCATCATCTATGTATGGATTGATCAATGGATTGCTTCCATTCAACTGTACAAATAACAGACGTTATCCTTACCGTTTCGTGGTCAACCTTTATGCTAAGGTGGGGCTTCATCGTTACAATATGTTGGAGGTAATTTGAACTTGTCTCCTCTCTCTCTCCTTGGTGCTTTATCAATATGATCTCCTCCTATACCATTTTCTTTATTTCATCAATGTCAGGGAACAAGCTTCAAGCACTCGGCCCTAATGAAATTCAACATGGTAGGAGGCTTTATGTCCTCTTTCTACATGACTTTGCTTGCACACAATCCAGATCCAGCTGCTAGCACATTGCAGAAAACCTTTCAGGTTCGAGTTGATGAAGGAACATTTGGCAGTTTGGATATAACATGCTCCATTGCTAGACCTAAAGATGAAGGTGACTTGTTGTGCTTTATTGTTCATTTAAATAGAAGTAAAGCCTGAGTATAAAATCTCTTTTGCTGATTAATAATTTGTTGCATAGTGACCACCAAGACGCCCTTCATACCTCACTTTCATGGTGGTACAGCAGCGGATGGTATCTTCAAAGGTGAATTGCCTGATTGGCCGTCAGATGATGCTTTCAATGATGGAAAACGGTTTTACATGGTAAGATTATTAAGACACATCATTAGCTAGGTTTTTTTTTGTTGTTGTTGGTCATGATCATTATTCCAGCAAATTGTACTGATAGGTTTGAGTTGCTTTTGCAGGTGAAGGAATCAGAGTGGCAAGCCACTGATTGGATTCATATGTATTTGGAACTTGTAATTGCTTCACACTGTAGGTCGGCTGACTATGTAAGTTTTGCATATCAATTAATGACATATGATGAGTGGCATTGTTTGTAATTATAATAATGAACACCCAAACAATTGTTGCTTTTGGTGCAGTTGAGCTCTGTTCTGTCTCAGTTGGAGATTGTGAAAGTGGCGATAGAAACTGCCATTGAAGATGTGGAGTCCCCAAAGGAGAGACTCAATGCCAAAATTGCACATGTTTACATAAAATTTAAAGGCTTGGCAGAGCCTCAAGTCCCTAGGCAGGTTTTTGAGATTGGTGAGCATGTTGAACGCAAAGCTATTGTTAGAAGAGTCATCAGTAAGCATACAGGATACTTGACTCTCATGGGTAAGCTTTGCGGTGGAACACTAAAGCATCCTCGGGTTGAAATAGAAACCGAGAGTTGTAAGAAGCGACCTTGCTTAGGCTAATAAACCAAGTTATTTTGCCGGTTTGGACTCTTTTATTTGGTGCGGTGTGTCTGTTTTTTTTTTTTAAGTGTGTTCTGTTTTAATACAATCCAATGCAAGTCTTTTTCATCTTCTTATTCTTTAGAGAATTAAATTATTAATTTCTACTAGATAACAAATGGAAACTGGTCGCTTTTAAATAGCTAGCTAGGGTTGTTTTTGGACTGAATATTTTGCTCATTTTGATATAGAGAATGTTTCTAAACGACCATATATCTGGACTGAGGTCCTTGTATGTATTTATGGTAGAAATGATGTTGTGACGTTTTTTGTTTATGTTAGAATCATATTTATGGTAGAATGTGAAATTCCTTTTTTTGGTTCTGTAGTTAATTATATAAAAAATTGGTTATAGCTGCTAATTTTCCTTTAATTAGTTGGAAAAAGTTCAAAGAAAAAAAGATTGTTTCTGAGAACAATATATTTAAAAGAAGAGAAGTCAAATATGATTTCTTTGGTAGGGTTTTAGACTTGTCACGACTAGAGAATATCAAAAAGAGCATTCGAGTGTTGGTAAGGGAACTGTGACGTTGAACTCCAACTCCGAATTTGCCATCATAATAATTACGATTTCCCAAGTCACATGAACATCCACTGTATACTTATATAGTAGCACCAGTTATACAGAGGATCGAACTGGCCTTTTTGTAAAATTGGTGATGTATTAATCCAGTTACGTTAAGATGTCTCATAAGTCACAGATTCTTGAGCAATTTTTTGTAAGAAAAAAACAGAATTGGGTTCAAACAAGAGAAACGTGTTGATGAAGACATGTGTGTAATAAATCATTATTGCAAATTAAAACATGATCCAAAAATCCAAAAATTTTGTGCAAGACACAAATAGATGTGATCAAGATAAGTACTGTATGTAATAAATACAGAGGAACGATATGAAAATACAGCCAGCCTCACAACCCGCGAGGGAAGTTGTTGATTTGTCCTTCCTCCAATACATCTTTTCCGTTCACTTTGTACCCAATCCTCATGCGCATCACAAGAGATTTCTGCCATAAACATTAAATCCCTAGATTGCTAAGAGTCACTGAATCCAGACATAAATTTAGAAAGGAAGCTCAACAGAGAAATTGTATACCTTCCCGTGCTGGCTGTTAGTGACTCTTAGATTCTGCGTGATGTTACCACTTGCCGGGAGTGTGTTACTGCTAGCTGGATCCAAGTGCAGCTGGAGGAACTGGAAATTTCCCAGAACAAAGACAAGGTTAAAGAAATTTGCAAATCATAAGGGGGTGAAGAAAAAGGCAAGGACGATGTTAAAAGCTGAAATGACCTTTGGAACAGCAGCCTGGAAGATACAATCTGTGAAAGTATTAGGAGACAAATTTATAAAAGTCGCCTGGACATTTGTTGTTTGTGGGTTCCCTGGTGTCTTTGAAAAGCTGAACTCAATCTTCAAGGAGATGCTCTCGTATGCAACAATAGGGGGATATACTGGACCATTGGTCGCTGCAATAAGGAGGAAAGCCTGTTAATGATCTTCCTAATAGAGTTTCAATGATTTTTTATATAGACTTTTTTTCAGTGACAATACATCATTTTTCTTACCTTCCGGCGATGGGCTTGGAGAAAGACCATCTAACAAATCAAACATACCAGCAGAGGAAGTCGTTGCTTTGTGAGGTGGAGCTGGTGAAGAAAGTGTCTCTAGCGCAATTGAAGGATTCTTGTTATAGTCAGTTGTTGATAATAAATCAATAGATGATGTGCTGTTTTGTGCCGGAGAAGGTGTTCCAATTGATAGAATATCCAGCAACAGATCTGTGCCGGCTTTTGGAGCCTGGGTTGCATCTGAAACATTGCAAGAAAAAGAAGAAGATCCAACATGAGTTATCCTCTTGCAAAGCCACAGATGAGAAGGTCTAAAAAAATTTTGTTCATTCAGAGACAAATCATAACTGCGCATGCCATAAAATGAAAGCAGAATCTATTGACACGCTAAAGAACTAACCAGATTGTGCTGGCGATGATCCTAAGTCAACACCGAGAAGATCCTGAAGGAAATCTGCACCAGATGAGCTAGGTGCAGCCAGGATATCGTCAGAACCCAGGTCCAGCAAGTCAACAAGTGGAGCTGCAGCAACACCATTTGGAATACTAACTGAAGGTTTGGACATTGTTGAAACTGATGCGGGCAACGAGCCAGCCCTCCTTACATTGAAGGTAGCCTCATCTAATACGGGCATTCTCTCAACCAGAGAAGACCTATATGCACACAGACCTCCCTTGTATGATGAAAAATTACACTAGAAGATGGATGATGAAGAGACAAACAAGGGATATCATTAACCACCTGATATTTTTATGCCTATCAACGATAGAATTGAACTCTATAGCTCTCTGCTGCATTTCAAGGAGAAGGCTCCCTTTCTGCTTCACAATTATATCTTTTATCCTCCTGCCATTGAATTTTAGAAAACTGTTTAATATCCAAAAGAGAGTTGAGGTCAGGAGGTGCAGGTAAAATGTATTCCTAATCATTTCTCAGAAGGTCAAGACAGTTTCCGGTAGAACCAAAATTCATTATTCATATACTCAGTACGCATATGCATCTTGTGTAGATTTTAAGTTGAATAAGCACGGATATTAAGATGAACGAGTTGGGATAAATACAGATAGCACACTGAGATTCAATAAACTTGAACATACTCTGAAATAGAAGGAAAGCGGGATGACAGCTTCAGTAGAGCAACCAATGCCATCGCCCTTGTATTCATGTCTGAGTTATGGCGAGTGATAGCATCCTCGATAACGTCCAGGGCATCAGATTCCGTTACCTGCTCAAGGCAGTTAACTAGTCATCGCACGCTCTTTTAAAGTCAACGAGGAATCCCAAGAAGCAAGACCATCTGCCTATTATATATATAATGACTTAAGATTGGTATAGTAATGCTCACCGTTATTGGATCTTCAATACCAAGCACCCCCACATTGTTGACCAACAGATCACCATATTCCCCAATGCACCATATCGCCACTCGAACAAGGGTCTCCTGATGGAAACCTCAAAGAAACCATATTAGGAAGGATTATACTGATTGAGGACTGAAATCAATCGAGCACTAGAAAAATAAGAGCTACCTGTTCCGAAAATGTCAAGACTGCTTTGTATAATGCCCTGACTGTATATCCATGAAGCTCTGATGCATTGCTTATGACAACAATAAGTGCATGCCACACATCATCTTTCACAAACTTTCCAGCCTACTAACATGGAATAGAGGACAGTAGGGTTACGACCGATACAAAAAGAGAATTTAAGAAGAGCTAAAGCAGATATAAACTCTCAGAGAACGGTTGGCATAAACTCGTACGATGTTAAATCATAGCATATAATGGCTCGCGATTGAATCCATACCTCCGACAAAACCTTAAGCATCTGATCAATGTACCAGATTTTCTCTGGAGAAAACCTACATTTCAAAATTGATAACACATCAACATAAAATCTCAAATAATTAGACACTCACAATAGCTTATCTCCCTCAGCCCAACCCCAATAAACCCCCCCCCCCTCCCCCCCCTCTGTTTTGAGAATGAAAAGGGTTTAAAGCAAGTGGCCATTCACTTCCTAAACTAGAATACTTACTTTTCAACGATGGAACAAATTTTTGCACTAAGATCCTCCTTAAAATCTTCATCGCTGATTTCCAAGTAATCAATTAGCTCCTCTGTCAGTTGTTTGACATTATTCTCATTCACCAAAAGAGAGACAAGATCAAGAGCTCTTTTCCGGATAGAAGCATCTGGGTCCTAAATTGGTGATGGAAGCAGAAGCCAAATTAAAATGTATTCTTTCTCTAAGACATCTACATACAGTTAACATTGTATACAAATATTTCCCGGGTACTAAAAATAATACCTTAACACAGTTCAAGATTGTAACCCTGTGCCTTTGCACAGCTTGATCATCAAAAGCGATTGCTTTCATCAACATGTTTAATGCAACATATCTGAGAAAACGAAAGTATAAATTTTATAAGGGGTTGCAGTATGTTTGAGAGAACAAGAGCTAGAAAGCATAAAGTAAACCCAATATAAGGATGCACTGACTGATAAAAAGAGCACAATGTGATTCGTAGAATTAAGCAGACCCAATGAAAGACGCTATACAGTAAAGCAAGCAAGCTAGTTCTGATCTAAACATATAATAAATATATGATTCTACCGATAAGAAAAAATGAGGTGAAGGGGGTTGAACCTGATATTATTGTCGCGGTTAGATAAGAATCTTCCCAAGATATTGATAGCAAGCACACGCAAGCTACTGGTATCTTCAATGGCCATGATTGTTTCAACACACTCATAGAGTACGGCGTTTCCTGCGTTTTTGTTTGATTCAGTTTTTGTTGCCACCTACAATAGCATGAAACCAACTAGAATAAAGATTTCCCTCAGCATAACAGCAAGGATAAAGGAACCAGGAAAACAAAGTAACCCACAGTACATCCCCGACTCTGAACTTCAACAACAAAGTATGTAATAAAAGCGGGATGCATTTTTTAGTTTTTTTAATCATGGTGAGATAGAACGGAACGGCGCAACCTACAGACTTATATGGCCACCCATAAGAACTCCCTAAGAAAACCAAGACCGGAATCAAAGAAGGGAAAATTCAACCCGGCCAAAAATACGAGTAAAATCCAGTACCCGTTAAGTCTTGTATCTACAAACATGATTGATAGCCCATCACCCCTATCCACTAAACAAACTTTTTCTCACTTATGCTATAATTTAACAGAATCAGTTCCAGCAGATGAGAGAACATAGCTATCCTACAATATTTTCTATTATCCGCACAACATTTTTTCGAAAAATATAGTTATTGCAACTGGAAAGAAAGATAACCATAAAATATTTTCCTTTCATAAGAACATTGCAAAAATGAAAATATTGAACCATATCCACAATCACTTGGTAATTACGACTAACCTGGGCAAGTATATCAGTCATCAAATCACTCGCATCAGCATCACCATGGCCTAAAACACGCAGGAGCTTAAGTAACCGTACGTGAAGAAAAGGGTCTGTGATCCCTGCAACATCATACTCTGGCTGATATGCGCTATTAGTAATATCCCTCAAAGTTTTTATCAGTCCCTCCGTGCATTTCTGCAGAGACAATACAAAGACAAGAGTTTGTCAAACTGCCTGTCTGCCACATTTTAGCACAGTGTTCTAATTCTAAGCGAATTGCTCACATGAAAGAAGAACTTTACCACAGTATAAATTATAGTACACAGAAGCATCATACAAGTAATATAGTGGCACATGTATGCATATTCTATGAAGAATGGAAAACTACATTACGCTGATGTTCATGTATGCATAATAGAGTGGTCTACAGAAATTTTTATTCACCTTTCTGAAGTATTCTAGGGCTTCATCATTGATTGTGCATAATTCATAACAGAGTTGAACTCCTGTTATAAGAACCCCATGATGCTTTTCTTTAAGCAAGGAAGAAGCAGCATTTACAAAGTTTTCTGCAAGATCTGGAACTTTCCTTACTATTCTAGTGGAGCAAAGTGCGGCCTGCAAACAATAAACATAAATGGTAAAAGCAATGAAGAAACGAACAACAGAAATCAAACTTCATCAGGCCATATATATATAGGAACTAAAAAAAAACACTATACCTTTTTACGGATATTAGGGTCACGAAACTGGATTAATCTTTCTACTTCTGGCGCAAGATCACGGGCCATTTCTGCTGAACAAATGTTCCCTAAAGCACAGAGCGCGAGTCCTACAACATACTGGTTCGTGTGGTTAAGATCTCTGCACGTGAATTAAGGTCAAACTGGAACAAATATATTCCGATTAATTTCCCTCCCAAATTCCCATCACAGCAATGCAACCTAAAATCAAGTGTTCTTCTTTTTTCCCCAACTAACAAAGGCCATATTAGTAAGATCAATATCAGGAGTAATAAGGATACTGTTTTAATGAATTTGTGACCAGCATCAACACTTCTTGTCTCTCATCAAGAAGCAACATTAGCCCGAGATATCCAATCCTCTTCTCTGGAAATCCAGGGGACGCAATTAGCTTCAAGCATTCCATCTGACCAAAGTGTGTCGGGTAACCCAGCATGTGTATGAACATGAGTTTTGCGAGGTTCCGGTGCCTATCATGTGGGTCATTTTCATTAATGGATGCTCGGATATCGGCACACTCTTTCCTTACAACACCACGCTCCTCCGCAGCTGTTTTGCATGCTCTTATGGATCTGATCATGTCCCTGAATCATGTTCACATGCCAACCTTAACTTCATCAGATTCATACAATACATAATTCGAACTGATCTGACTACAATATTCAATACAAACAACTGTTCTTGGAGTAAAGCGAAATTCTAAGGGAATTCTAAAACCACCTAAAACCAAATATCATCTTCGAGACAGGCCAATAGAAAAACTCATATCAGAATTCAATCATCAAAATGAACGAGCTCAATTACAAACTGTTATCAAATTTCGTTTGTAAACTGATCAAAGACAGAAACAACTAAGAAACCTGAAACAGAAATGAAAAGAAAAAGAAAGAAGAGAATCCAATTACCTTAGACGAGTACCAGAAGAAAATGGATTCATGGTTGGGTGTTGAAGAGTTGGACCTTGGCCCGCCGGCAACTACAAATCAAGTTAACCGCGCAGCAGAATTCCGCCGCGGGGATTGTTCAAATCCGTTACCGGAGCTCCGACCAGCTGATCAAATACGAGGGATGAAAAAGAAACTGAGGATTTGGATCTCGATGGACGATGGACGATGCTCGTTTTTTTTTTCTTCACAGTCTTCGTAAGCCAAATTGCCAAATTAAATGCGTTGTATAAACATGACTTTAATTTACATCGAAAACGACAGCGTTTTTTGAGCAATCTTGAAACATTGATTGGGCCAGTTTTGGGCCGGTTTTATCACGAAATTAAAAGTCCAATGCTGTGAGATAGAAGATAATTGGTTGTTTCAAATTCTCTTCCCTACACTTCAATACAGCGGATTGTTGTAGGCCCTAGTATCGCCATTACTTGAAGAAGTGTGAGACACTTTAAACTTTAAAGAGATGCTTTGCAGCAAAAATAATTAAGACACAATCGCTTTCCCTTCCTCCTTAATTACGACATGGCTTGGAGGTTTACGTCCTTATTTCTCTTCTTGTTCGTCGTTTTCAATCGGGGTAATTTTTATTTTCCATGTATCTGCTCTCAAAGTTGCTAATTTAGTTGAAATACCCAAAACTTGAATTTTTAATTTTCCTGGGATTTCTATTGATTTTGTTTCAGTGAGGGCTAAGATTGTTTTAGAAGACGGGTACGAGGTTACAACAGTAGTCGACGGTCACAAGTCTGGTCTGAATCCACACACGATTCATGCTCTTCCAGGATCTTCCAGTCTGATCGTCCTTGATTCGTCCGGAAGCACATTCTACACTACTTCGTTTCCTCTGTCCGTTGGTAAAACACACAAATCCACCCTTTTTGTATCAATCTACTAATCGGATTATCATAATTGTGTTTGTAAATGGGAACTAGATTCATAGATGCATAAGTAATTGTTCTGGCTTGTGGCTTTGTAAACGGGTACTAGATTCATAGTTTGATTTATTTATATATATATATATGTGTGTGTGTTTGTGTGTGTGTGAAAGATCTAAACTTTACTATCTTCAAGTGGAGATTTTCAAATTCTGTTTCATCTTTCTCTCAATTGCAGTTTTAGCTAATTTGGAGTATGTGTGTGTATTTGTGCAGATAGTGTGATAAACCGGTTTGCTGGGGATCGGAATCCCGGTTATTTAGATGGTAAAGCTGGTAACAGCCGGTTTAACAAACCCCGTGGTTTTGCTGTGGATGCTAAAGGGAATGTCTATGTTGCTGATAAGAATAATAAAGCTATACGCAAGATCAGCTCTTCAGGTGTTTAATCAATTTCTAGTATCCCTATGCTTGCATGCCAGTTTGTTACATTCAGAATTCACTAGTTATAGTTCGATTATGCATCTTTTGTTGACTGGATGTTGTAGGTTATGTAACCACCATTGCTGGAGGAATCTCAAAGGATATTGGACATAGAGACGGACCTGCACAGAATGCAACATTCTCTAGCGATTTCGAGCTAACTTTTGTTCCTGAAAGATGTTGTTTGCTTGTTTCCGACCATGGAAACGAAATGATCCGCCAGATAAATTTAAAGGAGGAGGATTGCCTCGAAAGCTCTCACTCTAGTATGTTTCTTTCTACAGTAATCTTTTAGTCGATTTCATACACTCTGCTTTTAGAAACTTCAACGATTCTTCTTTTGCTGTTTTCAGATTTAGGGATATACTCGCTCTGGTCAATAGGGTTTGTCCTTTCATGCTTTCTCGGGGCTGCCATAGGTTTTGCTGCTCGTCCTTACATCATTCGTCATGTAAGACTTTTTTTGGCTATCTATCATCAAAATAATTGTATATAAAACATATCGAGATCTCTTAACCAAATCGTTATAGACAGGAAGAAGTGAACCACCTCTCGTTCATCGCGACATGGAAGCTTCTCCTAATCAAATTGGGGGAACAAGCTCTGATCTTCTTCTCCTACATTAGAAACCGAGTTGCTGGATCAACGGTTTATTCGGTACTAAGTAGACTAGTTATGATGATCGTGTCTCACCTTTCCCTCATGTATTCCGCAATAAGTAGATTAGTAAGTTCGATGGTATCTCCCCTTTTCTTCATGTGTCAACCCAACAATGTAGTTAGTTTAGACAAGACAGTCTCTTTCTCTGATGCCGACAGCCCAAGTTGCGGCAACTCAAAGCCGCCGCTTTCTCTGAAACCCTCTGATGATCTTATGGACTTGATTAGCTTTGATGATGCACAAGAGTGCACTGATCAAGAGACGGACGCTGCTTTGTCTCTTCCTCATGCAACCATAGATGATATTATTAAGGTTCAGGTTGAAGGATTTTCAAAGATGGCTGAGGAAAACGCTGCATCTCGTGGTTCTTCCTCTGCTGAGTAAGTTTCGGTTAACAGGACATGGAGGCAGAGGAAGCATGTATCTTTTGTAAATCTTATGTTCTAGGAGTTAAGTAGCTTTGTGCTGAACGATTGCTTGATAATCTTTATGGAAGTCCTCATCTTTTTCTTTATATTACTGAATAATAATTAAAAGTTTGCTACTTTTATTACAAGAAAGATCTAAATACCCAACTTCCCAAATTTATCTTCTCAACAAATCTCAAAACCCATCTGTACTCAAATCCCCAATGTTCCTTCTCTATCATATATTATCAGTCAACTTCTCATGTATAGGAATAGTAACCGTATGGATAACTCACAGATTGGTGTGCTCTGTAGTGAAGATTCTGATGTTCAGTATTATCTGTATGGTTTCCGAACTCTGTAGGCTTAGCAGTAGCTGCTGCTACCACACGCCTGCCGTCTTGCTCTTGCACCGCTCCGAACACAATCTCATTAGTCTTCTCACTGATCCGCTCATAATGAGTGTGCGGGATCGTTGAGTGATGCCTACGGTGATGCTGCTGCTGCTTATGCTTCTGTTGCTGCTGCTCCTGGAGGAATTCAGGGTCCAGGCTTCTGAACAAGGCACGGCTCTGGCGCAACTGTTGCATTTTCTCTGCGTCTTTGGACATGAAAGCGTAAGTTTTTTTGGGAGTGGGGTTCCTGGACTCGATGGGGGGTGGTTCATCTTCGTTGTGTATCATAAAGCTCTCTTGAATTGGCCATGAAGTTGTGCTAAAAGCAGAATGATTTGTCGCTTGGTGATTGAAGTTGAAGCTGACTCTCTGCTTCTTTCTGAGACCAGGAAACATTCCACCGAACAGCTCCAATAAAAACAACCAAGCATTCGACATGAATATCTGTAACGGCAGGAGGAAGCTTTCTTCTTGTTTCTCTTGCTCATCTCCGGTTGGAATCAGAGGTGGTCTGACTGGTTTCATAGGCTTTTGGTCAGGAACGGCTTGGTATATTTCTTGATCCTATGTAAAACACAACAGCCAGAAATGTTGGTTATAGCTATCATACAGTAGCAAAAGTAAAATGGTAATGTTTGGGATGTTAGGAAGCTAGTGGAACACTCACAGTGTGATATGAAACGATAGAACCGAGCCTACGTTGCAATAGAGCCAGCATATAACCAAAGAAACCTGCCGCTATAAGAACTGCAATCCCTGCATAATTTGAATTTAAATCATTGAGTTCAGAGATATAGATGATTCAGGAAGAACGGAGACAACAAACCAAAGATTTGGAAAGTAAATCTTACCAAGAGGAAAGCCACTTCCGTACTGATAAGCACAGTCATCGAAATGGAGTGGAATCTCTCTAATGGCTCGGTTTCCTCGGTCAATGACTAGCAATGAACAACTGCTTCCAACATAAACAACATCAAAATCATTTGAAAACTTTGCATCCTCACTCGGACCATCCACATGACCTCCCCCACGAACCATTTTCCCCCCAGCAATGGTTGTAACACCTGCCATTGCATTGTTTTTTCTTTCTCAAATCTGATGCTTACCAAAATAGATAAACCAAACCACATTTATCCCAAAAGGCATCCACAAAATACCTCCTTCACTGATCTTCCTGATAGCATTATTCACAGTGTCTGCAACATAGATGTTTCCTCTATCATCCACTGTAAGTCCTTTTGGATTGTTCAACCTCGCGTCTCTTAGTCTACCGTCGACATGGCCCGGATATCCTTCAGGGGAGCCAGTAACAAGCCTCGGTCTGCTATCTGCCATTGTTCTAAGAGTTACAATTTTTCTGTTCAAGAATCAGCTACTACTTGGTTTCTATGGAACAATATTCATCTGCCCCTAATCGAATCATGCAATCAGTATTCAATGTTAATGCTGCAATTAAAGCGATTGTATTCTTGACCAGCCAAAAGCATTCTCTTTGAGTCCCCATTAATCTCAAATAAAGAAAAACGCTTACATACGACACAGACCTAGCAAATCTCTGGATTTTCAAAATAAATTAGCTAAAATAAATTGCCATATACAGCAATAAGTATAGTCTATGTGCACAGTGTACAGCGAATTAGGTAAGAAAATAGTTTCTTTTCCACGTGAAGGCAGGGAAAAATACGTGATTCTATCCGTATTCAAAATCCTTTAGAGGATCATCAAAAAGTATCAAATCCATGTCGACGCGGAATCAATAGTACAAATGTGACTCGGGAAAAAAGTTGGAAGTTTGATATTTAACGATGATGGCACTTACATAGGGAAAGAGAGGAGGATATCTTGTAAATGTTACTATTCTGAGAATCCAGAATAAGCAGCTCGCCATTGGGCAAGACCTCGAGAGAATAAGGTTCGATACCGAGTTTGCTTCCGTCTAATACCGTTTCCACTGTATACCCATTTTCAAATTTCACCATCGATTTCGCAGGAGCCGCTGATTTAGAAGAAGAAAAACAAACCCAGGAATTAAAAAAAAAACTCACAACCTTAATCAGTGAGAAAGGAACAGATCGGAATATCTCAAACCTGTTTTAGTGGTGGTTTTGATGGACCATAACCATTTCATAAGGGAAGTTCCATGATTCGAGATGAAACCACTAACAATCTCTGCAAAAATAAGAAGATAAGAAAATGCAAGTAAAAATCGAAACCCAGATCAAAAAGAGTAGGATGAAAATGACCCATTTCCAAACAGAGTGAAACTAACTCGTTGGTGAGGTCGATGAAGGAGCTGAAGCTACAAACCCAGAGAGGAGCAGAATGATAATACCCAGAAACAGATATTTACTTCTCATTACTAAGTTTCAGCCTTTCTGGAGAGACGAATAGCGAAGTGAGAAAGATGAGGGGGGGAAGAACGGAGAAGGAAAAAACCCTAGTTCATATCTAACAATACGGAAAAAGGGGAAGAATGGTAGATATTGAGCTTGCGATGGAGAAGGAGAAAGGTTATGAATGGCAGGAAACAGTGATGGCTTAAAATGTTGAAGGAAGTAGGGACAATCTGTGAGAAAGGAGGAAAAAAGGTTGGAGAGAGAGAGAGAGGCGTGGACGAGTGACACATTTGTCATGCCATCAAACGTCGGCGCAACAAACTTTTTAATAATACCAATATTTTACCTGTTTGGCGATTAATTTATGATGTTTATTAGGCCTTAAACCTCTTAAATTATTAAATTGGGTGTTTACTAGGCATATACTATTTATAGTATATTTCATATTTGTTTAGATTACTTTCATAATATCTCACCACTGCAGGGATTGGAGATGAGTATTGGTAATGTGATTATCAATCACACACACACAAAATCAAAAAAAAAAATCATCGTTATCAAAAATAGTTCCATCAATCTGTTACAAAGTCAGAGTTTTACATTCCTTTCATATCAAGGTGAAATCAATCCGGATTCACCAATCACCGCTAGTGAAAAGTGTTAAAAGAAAAAGTTAAAAAGAACACAATCTGACAAAATACTTTCGAACGACGACGTTTGGAGACCACAAACATTTTTATTCACACGGCACCGTTACATCTTTCTTTACAACCTTCATCTACACTATGCACAATCCTTGATCTCAAATTCTCAGTAGTTAGGTGCTCACAAGATTAGTCAATTTTTAATATTGTGTCACTTGGTTAAAGTATTACAAAAATACACAACTTCTCCATTTGGTTACTCCGTGTAAATACAAACCACCATAGAGACTTAAAAAGATATTCTATACAAAGAGATGAAAACTGCAATTCTAAAACCCAGAAAAAAAAACAACAGGGAGAGAGGTAGAAGAAAACACCTTTCCCAAGCTTGGAACCAAAAAAATATCACACAGACAAGTCCCATGTTAAGCTTCATATACAACACCCCAATCCCAATCTTCTCCAAGTTATATGTTGGTTTTGGTTACTCACACACTGCCACACTTCAGGATCGTTTTTTTGGCTATCAGATGATGCTCTCAAACGCCACATGCGTTTGGGAGGAGGATTCTTGTTGATACTCGGGCTTTGAGCTACTTGATGCAGCAGCCAATCCTCCTAGGAGCTTCAATACATCAGAGACATCATCTAAGAAGTACTTGGCTTTGCTCGGTTTTCTTCCCACTGTGCAGGCAAAGATCTCTGGTGGCATTGGGAGGTCCGGGTTTGTCACTGTGCTCAATATGCTCTCAAACATGTCCTCGTCTGATCTGTCATCTCCTATACACATCACCATGTCCGGTGGGTTTCCTTCCTCTACCATTCGGTGTATGACTTTTTCCACGGCTAGGCCTTTGCTTACTCCCTGCGTCAATAAAAAAGAAGGTAAGAGACTTTTGTATTCGATTAGGTTCACTAGTTCTTCACAGATTTTTGCACGCAAATACTTGTATGCATGCAAAGAAAAGGATTAAAAATGGATCTTTATCTTACCTGAGGTTTGACCTCTACGATGTGTTGGCCTCTCTTGACGACAACGGGCTCGTTTGCGAGTACGCTCTCTAGATGATCCAGAAGCTCTTTTGCTTGGCAGGATCCAAAGTCTGGATCTGCATCTTGATGATGCCAAACCAAAGCACTCTCTTTGAACTCTATTGTGGAACCGTCTGTTGCCTCCATGTATGATCTCATAACCGGTTCTACCATTGTCTTCCACTCCGCCTCAGCTGACGAGTAACAAGTCTCCCACTCTTTCTTGCTACTCCACCTGAATCCAAATATAAAATAAGTTTAAGTTTGTTCAAATTCGTGTTAGAGACCTGAACTGAGAGAAACCATTTATATACCTTATGAAGTATCCGTGTTCAGCTGCTAATCCAAGATTCTCACATGGAGATAGCCAGTCACTCAGAGACTCCCAGCCTCTTCCACTGACGATAAACACGGTGTTTTTAGGATCCCCACACAGAGATTTCAGAACAGAGAGGACTTCGGCATTAGGAGTTTTGATAATGGAGCTCTCAGGAACGAGAGTGCCATCATAGTCCAAAAATATAGCCCTTCTCTCTGTATTTCTGTACGTCGAAACAATGTGATCGATAGATAGCTTCCTGAAACTCGGAGACAGGGACAAAACTCTGAAACTCAAGCCAAAACCAATACCCCAGCAACGTTTATTATAATGATCCTGGCATGCCCTCTCCAGATCCTGCATAAAGCTCTTTGCCCAATAACCCACGTCGTGAGTACTAACATAGTGATAGTGTTTCTCATGCCTCAATCGCTTTTCAGTCTCACTCATTTTGAGGGCTAAGTTAACAGCTTCTGCAACAGCATCTACATCCCACGGGTTCACCCTGATCGCGCCACTTAAAGAAGGCGAGCAGCCAATAAACTCAGAGACCACAAGCATGCTTGTGCGTGGTGAGTCATGGCTAATACCCATGGCCTTGTCCATACCTGGGGTCCCTTGCCTGCAAATGATATATTTGTACGGAACTAAGTTCATGCCGTCTCTAACTGCATTCACCAGGCAGCAGTCTGCCATAGCATAATAGGCAGTTTTCTCATAACGAGGAACAAGACGATCAATCAAGATAACTGGCTGATATCCAACAGAGCCATAACGCTCATTGATCCTTTTTGCAGTTACGTATGTCTCTCTCTTTGCTTCTTCCACATCCTTACCAGAGGCCCTTGCAGGGTTCACTATCTGAATCAGGACAACTTTTCCTCGCATATGCCAATACGTCTCAAAGAGATGCTCCATGGCTATAAGTTTGAGGCTTATGCCTTTAAAAATGTCCATGTCGTCGATACCAAGAATCAACTTTTTCCCCTTGAACTGTTCTTGAATCTCTTTCATTTTCGCTGCAGTGGAGGGAAGATTCAAAACAGTTTCCAGCCTACCCATATGGATGCCAACAGGAAGAATCTTGATAAACACCGTTCGACCAAAGTAATCAAGCCCGATGTGCCCGCGCTTAGATTCATAATCAAGACCAAGCATTCTACTGCAGCATGACAAGAAATGTCGTGCATAATCAAACGTGTGGAAACCAATGAGATCACAATTCAACAATCCTCTCAGAATGTCGTCCCGGACTGGCAAAGTGCGGTAGATCTCTGATGAAGGGAAGGGACTGTGAAGGAAAAATCCGAGCTTGACTCTGTTGAACCGCTTCCTCAAGAAAGTGGGAAGAACCATCAGATGATAATCTTGAATCCAAACATAATCTTCCTCAGGGTTTATGACTTCCATCACCCTGTCCGAAAAGATCTTGTTTGCAGAAACATAAGCTTGCCAGAGACGCCGGTCAAAACGATCACCGTGGTCAGGGAACATTGGAAGCATATAGTGGAAGAGAGGCCAGAGATGGTGTTTACAGAAGCCAAGATAGAACTTTTCTTGCATCTCCCGAGGCAAAAACGTGGGAACGCAATTGAATTCCGACAGAAGCTTTTGAGAAACTGCTTCTTGTTCACTCGTACCAATATCAGCATTCAGTGATCCTATATAAACGAACTCTGTATCTGAAGAAAACCCATCTCTGAGCTGCAGGAGGAGAGAGTCTTCGTCCCAGGTAAAGCACCATTGTCCAGTTTCTGTGTCTCTCTTAGCTTGTAGAGGTAACATGTTGGACACGATAATCTTCCGCTCGTGGGAGGAATGAACATCTGAGGAACCATCTTCGCAGCCTCCGTCCAGCTCAGAGACGATACCAGGAACAGTCATGACACGAGGAAGGGATCTCTGAGTCTGAGGAAAGTCCAATAAGTCCCAAGATGATAAGTCGAGAAAATTTGCACAAGATCTCGACACCATGGAATTGTAAGCAGCAAGAGAATCGTGTTTGACGAAGCCAACACGGGTCAAACACTTTCAAGCGGTCAAATCCCTGAAAAAGAAGAAAAAAACAGGCAAACCCATAAAAATCTTACTCAAACGGCACCAAAACAATGATCTTACAACACGGGTCTATTATTATGTGATTCTTCAAAAAAAAGAAACTATTGTTTGCAAGTTTTTGTATGGGATAAGCACTGAAAGAACCAATCTTTTTCCGAAAATCGAGTTTTTATATCCCAAACAACAAACAATGCCAACAAAAGATGATTCAGAAACGAAACCGATGCACTGAATCTGAAAGTGAAAGGACAGATTCGGGAAAGAAAATAAAAAAAAGCTTCACAAACCAAATAAACTAACCAACTGAGGCCAAAATCATGCCCAGAATTGTGATTCAACACCCCAAAACAGCTAAATAACCTGTTTTCACACAAATTAACTTCGTTCCAATGAACGAGAAACAGCTAAAAGATTTTCAGAAAGATGTTCCCTAAATTGCAAAATAAAAGTCCAGAAACCAGAAGAAACAAAAAAAAGAATAAAAAGTGGTTCACTTCTGCTACTCACCTTCTAATCGCCGGAGAAAAAACTCAAAACGGAAACCTTCGTGGAACCGATGAATAGGACACACACACACAAGAAAAAAAAAATTTGACGAAAGAGAACGATAAGGACTTGGAACTCTTTGGGACATTCGCTCTAGAGCTGGATAGAGAAAGAGCATCGAAGAAAATTAATGCGAGACAAATGAGAAAACAAAAGAATACCGATTACATACCAAATGCACATATACACGTTTTCTAACGATCTATTTCTTTATTTTTTAATTTCTAATTTTGGCTATAAAATAATCCGGTGTTAAAGGAAATGACATTATGACCCTTAATCCTCTTATCGTCTTCGTACAATAGGGTTGGTAGATGACTAGATAATGTGGTGGACCATTTTTTCTTTTTCGGCTGAAACAAATAAAAAAATATCCTTAATCCAATCCAGATGTTGTTAATGCAGTTTTTTTTTCTTTATTAAATTTTGCGATTATGAGATCTCATCAAACCTACTGTCTAGGTCGAATATTGGTATGGGTCCACTTTTTATAAGTTTATTTTATTGTTGTTTTACAATTTTTAATTGAGCTATCGTTTACGAGTTTATCCAAATTGAACCACGGCAAAATTCAAAATCCTAGTTTTGGTAAACATGACACCAAGCAAGCAAAATGCCACTGCCAGATAATAATTTTTTTCAATATTCATAATAGAAAATGTAAATCTAGAGAAAGCAAAATGCATATTCAAACTGTTATAGAAATGTTTTCCATCAAACATATGGAGTAATATTCAAAGACCAAAGTTAGCAACCACGAAAAATGAACAAATAATGGACAAATGATATACAAGGTATACATGTGTTTGGAGAGTTTAATTTCAAGAGCATGTGGAATATTCGTAAATATTTATCATTTAAATATTTATAGTACCATACCATAATTGAAATCACACTAGACCAATCTTTAAACATTCGACCATGATAAATTAGTTTTATTTTATAGGTAGCCTATAAAATGTTTTTTTTATTTATTCTTTAACATCTTAGCTCATTATTTCTCTTTGCATTCTATTCAAAAATTTATGTATTGTAATTATTCTATATACTTTGATTATTGACTGATGAATGATGATATCTTAAATATTTGTTTAAGTATTTAAAGTTTATAGTCCATATATCTTTTATATATAACTCAATGTAATGTATAATTTTTTTTGACAAGTCGTGTAATATATAGACGTCTAAACCTCTACAAAGTGCAAACAACGTTATATATAAATTAATAACCGTAAGCCGTTGGCATAAAAATATATTAATGATAATAATAATATTTGTCATCAATTGGTCAAAAACCAAACTTCCACACACGATCTCTGAGACTCTATCCATATAGATGAGATGTTTTGAATCAATCTTCTTGCTTTGATAAGAAGGATTGAATCATTATAAATTATCTTCGTGTTTCTAAAAGTCTTAGAAGAAAAGACATAAAAATGGAACAAACATCATCGGGAATGCAAGAATGCAACATGCATGTACATATTAGATAAGAAGGTAAACTGATAAAGAAGAAGTCATTATAAAATTTTAAAACTTGACCAAACCAAAAATAATTAAAACATGTAATGACAATACATTTAGATTTTATTGATATTTATTAAAAGGCCACCATGCGTGTTAGGAGTCGCCTCTCAAATCTCCCAAGGGCCAAAGCAACATTAAGAGGAAGGATGTCACTAAGTATTGCTAACCATGTGTTAATTTACGATAACACCCTCAATTGGTTTAGTGGTTCGAATGTAATAACGTTGACATCTAAGCCGTGTATTTAATTTCACGTTGTTCATGAAGCCAACGAGGATTGGGTTGATTGGATCCAAATCAGATAATCACTTTCTTTTCTCTTCTTCTTCTTTTGCTGCTTTCTTCGTTATTTTCCCTCTTTTAAAAAAAATAAAAAATAATTTATTTTACAGCTACCTTTTCTCTTCTTCCACTCGATGGGGGCCAAGCGCGTGGGTGTAATGACACGTGTAAATCAGAGCTGTAATGTGTTCGAATATTTTTCTAAACTTTTTGTAAAGGGAGGCACGTGGGGATGGTGGGGTCTACATAGATAGCTGTAAATAAGCGAATGATTATTCGACACGTCATCAGGCACAGTCTTAGAGGTTTTGATGTATGTGGGACCTAGACGGACTTATCTTGGTTCAGAATGTTTCCCCGAATGGATAAGCCTTTTGGGGGGATACTATTTTATCGTGACTGCTATTCTATTTACGTCGGTAATGTTTAACCAATGAGATATCGACACGTTATGGGAGGTTTTTTTCATACAGAAGTAACCTGCACGTTTGGAGCAGCATCTCTGTAACCTTACCCATTTATAGTATTTTTCATGCCCTTATAGTTAGGTACATTTAATTATTTAAATATGGATAAGAACAGTTAAAGTAAACATTCAGTTTTAGACCTAATTTATATGAAGATTTTGGCTGTCACAAAATACTAATTGTGATCGAGTTTTGGGTCTTTTCAGATTACAAGAAAAAAAAAACGAGGTTTCAGTAAGTGTTAAGCAATATGTGGTACTAAAAATGGCTCTTTTTCATCTTCATGTTATTCAAACAAAATCATAAAACAGGTAGGAGATATTTCAGCACCCACGGCACAATGCCTTGCTAATTAAAAGAGAAGAACCGAAACCAAAATTTAAAGAAAAAGAGAAGTCAGAAAAGTAGCTCGCTGCATCAGATATAGACAAACGGTTTTGGTGAGAAGCAAGTTCGTGTTAAGTCATCAGAAAACAATACTTTTAACGTTGAAAACAACCGGAGTATTCTAAAGCTGGATATAAACCAAGAGAATTCATCAAATTATTAATCCAAACCAACTCCTATGGGGCTTAATCTATACGCTACTACAACTACACCATAATGCAGTTGCTATATTCCTAAGAACCCAATGAATGCCTAAGAAAGATATACGCAGTATCGATCGACTATCCAGTAACCGAGTCCGCGAATCAAGTTAAGATACTCAATCAAGATATGCAATGGCAACGAAGAGATGCTAAAGAAGAATGTTTAGGAACATATACAAACAGCCTGTAGATAACTGGGTCTAGGAACGACTTTAGCTAGACTTAATTTGGCAAGCATAATACATATATGATTATATGAGCAACAATTGGTTAACTTGCTGGTCAGTTTTGGATTAGTGTAAAGCATATGAAAAGCCAACCTACATCTAGATTAAGGTTTGACATCTAACTCCATGAACCTCATCATTGCCATTTACAAGACCAAAAAATATCTAAAGTTACCGAACTATTGGATCTTAAATATGATAATGGCCAAAATCTGTTTAAGCTTTGTAGTTAGAGGATTTTGATTGTCAACGAGCAGAATATGATCAATATAGAACAAAAACAGCAAAAACACACTATAAAAGTCTTGACGAATAACGTAAAATCCATAGAAAACTTCATTTGAAAGATGGTTTGTTTATCAAAACAAAATCATATATGTTAATATGTTGTTAGATAGTTGATTTCAAAATCTAATTTTAAATTCACGTGTTATTCATTTACTAATTTTTTGAGAAATTTGTTTAATAACTTCTAAAAACTCATCAAAATGTAATGTTAATTAATAGTTGAATTATCTTTGGATTTTAGAAAGATTTTAATTTATATTGGATTTCGATAGAATTTAAAATATGTTCAACTTAAGAAGTGTCAAAAATCTGAAGATGAGCTTCGTTGTGTCGAATAGATTTCTAAATATTAGTCAAAACATATATTTAAACTCAGTAAATTCTACAAAGATTTTTCACTATAGATTGATTTCTAAATAAAATAAAATAGAGAGATGAATAATTCCTTTTTTTTTGGGGACGAACACATATACTGTATATGAAATCATTCCTTCTAGGGAAAAAAAAAGAGTGGGATTTGGTGTTGCCATTTGTGGAACATCTAGAGTCAACGTTTTGCGAATCAGGTTTTGGGCCTTTTGGTAATGAACTTAAAAGTCTAAAACTAATGGAGTTATTAATTACTTCTGGTCAAGAAGAAATTTGGTTATGTAATTAACTTTTTATACTAATTAATTACTCTGTCAGTCCTCAACATTCCCTCGTGCTCTTTTTCCTCTCCGAAGTCTGAACCCTAAAACATCCCGCTTCGTGGTAACTGGTAAGACCTCGACTCTCAGACACTTCAAAATACGAGATTTCGCCTTCAAGAATAGCAGCAAGTTCCTGAAATTGATAAATTCGATTTCTTTTTCTTCTGGGTTTTCTCGTTCGTTCAGATTTGGCTGATTTTGCAACATGACGAGGGTTTATGTCGGGAATTTGGATCCACGGGTCACCGAAAGGGAACTCGAAGATGAATTCAGGATCTTCGGTGTTCTTCGCAAGTAATTTCATCCCTGAGCTTTTAGACTTGTAGTCACTCTTGTCTCTGGGACACACCTCTCCTGCGAATTTTGACTCTTTGTTTTCGTGACTTGAATCCGCAGTGTCTGGGTAGCTCGTAGGCCTCCCGGCTACGCTTTCCTCGAGTTCGATGACGAGAGAGATGCTTTGGATGCAATCAGGGCATTGGATGGTCAGTGTTATTCTCATCAGACCTCTCTGATTATCCTAATCTCATGTGTTTTGATCAATTGTTAGTTTAGTCTCCATATTTTGATTGCATCTTGTAACGTGTATTCAAGGACTATTTGTTAGTATTGCTGTTTGGTTAATTGCAAATCGTAACGATTTATTACCAAATTGAGGCATGTTGTTCAGGAAAGAATGGGTGGCGTGTGGAGCTTTCTCACAAAGATAAAGGAGGTCGTGGAGGCGTTGGCCGTCGTGGTGGCATTGAGGACTCCAAGTGCTACGAGTGTGGCGAGCCTGGACATTTTGCTCGAGAGTGTCGTCGAGGACGAGGAGGCTATGGGAGACGTAGAAGCCCTAGCCCTCGCCGTCGTAGGAGTCCAGATTATGGGTATGCACGCAGGTGAGATTACCTAAAACATTCTTATCAAGCTGCTTGAATTATATATATAGAATATAGTGATAGAATCTATATGATATCTCAAGATAATGAACCTGTAACCGTTGTGGTAGGAGTCTGGTTCTCGGGTGTTAATGCAGGAATGTGTCTTTTAGGGTTCTGTTTTGTCTTTGTGTTAGTTTTTGTATCCATATTTGTTGTTGTTGAAATGATAGCTGCTTGTAGTTTTGGAATTTTATTAGAATGAAAAGTATTGGATTTACCTAATTAAGCTTAGGGGTTGATGTGCAGTTTTTGGAAGTCTTTAATGTGTTAAATTGTTCTCGCTGAGGCATCTTTAATGGGGAGCAATTGACAATGAAAGTTTTATAGGAAAGCTATGGGACTGTTTTCAGAATCTATTGATCTTTTTAAGTACCGAGAATTGTTTAAAAGGAATAAGCACTTATGACATGCATTTTTTGTTTCTGGAAATCTATCTTGTTCAGGAGTATCAGCCCTCGTGGAAGAAGATCTCCTCCAAGGCGTCGCAGTGTAACTCCGCCTCGCCGTGGACGAAGCTACAGCAGATCCCCACCGTATCGTAGTTCACGCCGTGATTCTCCTCGCCGCAGAGACTCTCCCTATGGACGACGTTCACCATATGCCAATGGGTAAGTTTATAGTTTCTTCAGTCTGCTTGATATTTGCATCATTCTCAACTTCCGCACTGTTACTTTATATCTTAATAACATTTTAAAGTAATTTTTGTCAAGCCTTGTTACAATATAGACTTTGATATCAGCTCTAGACCCCAAGACCAAGAACAATTCTAGAATCTTGTAATGCCTCAACAATTTTGTGAAAGCCCTCTACAGCTAGTTAGTCTAAGTTGACACAAATAGCTTCATCTCTGCTACATTCAGTCTTAGGCTAGTTACAGTTGATTTTAGGATGCTGCAAACGCTTGAGCAGCTGAACTTATTGTAGGATGTCTGAACAGCTGCATCATCACTTCTTTTCTTTTACACATTTTATTTTTGGTCGGTGGGTGACTCATATTCTTTTCGCTTCTTGCAGGGTGTGAAACCGTAAATGAAGAAGAAGGAATTCGAGTGGTGCCTGTTAGGATATAAAAAGTATTTGTGATCGAACCATAAATGAGTTGTAGGTTTTTTTGAATTTTAAAAATGAGTTAAACAAAATCTTTTGAAGGTATTAAAAACTAAGGATTTACAACTAAAATAACTAAAATAATGTACTACTATATGATTCTTGTTATTTTCAGTTATTCAGAGTTTTGCTCTTTAATTAAAGACATCCCTATACTACGGCTTACAACAAATAAGGGATGTGAAGTAGTCATTAGTCTTCCAATAAATTAAAAGGTCATCATAGTCCTTCATTGACGTTGACTTGTTGACTTCATCTAAGTCACCGTATGTAATGTTCAAATAGTAGTGGCCTAGTGTGTGGGTTTAGTAGGTAAGCTTGAAATATATCATATGCACTGATTTGGTCCACAAGTCAAGTTGAAATTTTTACACACTAATTAAATTTGTTCTATTACACAAAACAAACTGCAGATTCTCTGATTATCCTTCTTCTTCTCCTACTTAGAGAAAGAGAGCACCAAATCAATGGAGATGAAGGTGAACGAGAAGCTAAGTGCCATCGAACTTCTAAAACGAGCTGCGAAGCTACTCTTCGGTAACATCAATCTCGCTTTCTTCCTATTCCTCTACTCTCTTCCTCTCTTTTGTTTCTTGATCTTCTTTGAGCTCTCCCTCCAGACAACAATCTCCCTCTCTTACCAACTTCTCTACCAACAACTCAATTTTGAGGGTTACTTCGCTCGTCAAGATCAGAAAGACTTGTCGGAGAATGATCTGATTCCATGGCTGATCCAGACATCTCTGCTCTACTTTATCCCCTACAGCCTTCTCGACCTCCTCACCACCACCACGATCGTTGCAGCATCTTCCGTTGTTTACACGTCCGAGGAAGAACCATCGGGGCTGGTTTCTTTGGTACGGAGATCTGTAAAGATATGTCAGAACAGAGCAGGAGGTTGTCTGATCACATCTCTCTATGTCCTTCTCTTGTCAACCTCTGTTTTCTTCGGTTTCTTCTCTGATTCAACCAACTACTTATTCATTGCTTCTCTCTCACGCGAGCACCAAAGCTTCCGCAACCAAGCAGCGGTTCTGTTCCACGCGGTGGTGGTTCTGATTCACGGTACTGTCTTCATAGTACTGACTGCAAAGTTCAGCAAGTGGAGCGCAGGGTGGAACATTGGTATGGTGGTTTCGGTCTTAGAGGAGGATGAAGATGGTAAAGGCATCTATGGAACCGATGCTCTGTCTATCTCAGCTTGGTACGGAAGAGGACATGAGAAGCGTGACATATGGTTGATGTTGATGTTCTTGGTCTTTGCTATTGCGATGAGGATGCCATGTTTATAGTCCAAATGCAGTGAGAATTTGAATGGAAATGGAGTGTTGTACACGAGTCTCTATGTGGGTTTGATTTGTGTTGGAAATGTAATCAAATGGGTAGCTTATGTAGTGTGTTACTATGATTGTAGAGCTAGAGTTTTGGAGAAGAAGGATGATGTTGAGATTGTATCAAAAGCTAAGGCTTTTGCTACGTAGATAAATTGTTTTGAGATCATAAGTACCAAAGCTTGAAACTTTTGATAATTTCTCTATCACCAATTGCTTTGTCCGACAATTTTGATCAGCTCGTAATTGCTTTCCTTATTGAAGCTTGTGATTGCTCGGTTTAATAAGCCCTTAAGGTCATTCCAATTTAATTTATTGTTGTTTATGTATGTATGTTCACATCTCTAAACTCTTATAAACATGACAAATAAGACAGTAATTAATTGGCACAATTAGAAGGATTAGTTACTGTAGAGTCATTCCTCTTTTTCTTTGTTTCAGCATTTGTACAGTATATACAAGTTTGAGCCACCTCTCACCATAATTATCAGTATTGTTAATTTTGTTTGAAAAACCAAACAACAAGAGCATAAGCACAAAAAGTAGATCAAGATGAGAGTCAAATCTCTGTTTGAGTCATAGATGTGGTAGAGAATCATGAACTTAAAGGGTCTTAGTAAGACAGTACGATCATGCAAAGGAATAAAACGAAGCTAATCTCACTTATATTATACTGTGGGATCTGGTTCAATCTCACGAAAAGGGGCCGAAGGCCCAAAATGGGTTCATTACGAAAGTTCAAGAAAAGCTGAGAAGGAGATAAGAGTCTCTGGCTTGACCAGAGGGTTCATATTCTTTTGAACAAAGATCAAGGAGGAGCCTATTCATCATCTCTCTCATATGACGGCATCATGTTGCAGAACGTACGAGCACAAGAAGGGAAGCACGCGAGAGGTTCACGTGGTCTTGCAGTGCTCCCAAAAGATAACGGAAGTTAAGCCGTAATTGAAGGAAGAATCCCGACAACTCTCTAGAAGTGCTGCGCAAGTTGTCGGGTAGAGTTCCAAGACTCATCTCACTAATAAAAGAGATGAGGACTTCTGTTTCAAGGTTAACGAGTGAGAACAGAGTTTGTACGTTAGTGAGAGAGAGAGAGAAGTTGTAAGAACCCTAAAGGCTCAAGCTTTGAGCAAGTAACTTAGTGGATTTCCGAGATATTCTCGGCGAGACGTAGGGCTTCCGGTTTGGGGCCTGAACTCGTAAAATCTGGTGTGTTCTTTACATTTCTTGCTCAAACACAAACAAACGAGAGACGTAGAGAGTTGAGAGAGAGAACTTCTTATCTAAAGGTTTATTCAAACGATTATTTAAGAAGCTCGAGAAAGTAGTCAACTTTAGAAGGTCTGATTCTCACAAATTGGTATTAGAGCAGAGGTTTTCGACCTTGGAGCAAGTAACGCTTCAGGAGATGTCGTCAAGCAAGACTGAGGTGGAAAAGTTTGATGGAGAAGGTGACTACGTTCTCTGGAAGGAGAAACTACTAGCTCACCTTGATATACTTGGTCTAATGGAAGGTCTCGGGGAAGCAGAAGAAACAACGGGGACCGGTGAGAAAGCTACGGAAACGGAGGGTGAAGTAACGCCGGCTCCAACAACATCTGAACCTGAAGACAAGTCTCTCAAAGAGAAGAGAGGAAAGGCCAGATCCACCATCATACTAAGCGTAGGAAACAATGTTCTCAGGAAGATTATAAAAGAAAAGACAGCTGCAGGCATGTTGAAGGTTCTAGATCAGTTGTTTATGGCAAAGTCTCTTCCAAACCGAATATATCTGAAGCAGAGACTATATGGGTACAAGATGAGTGAGAGTATGACGATGGAAGAAAATGTCAACAACCTCTTCAAATTGATCTCAGATTTGGAGAATGTCAAAGTGACAGTTCCTGATGAAGACCAAGCCATAGTCTTACTTATGTCACTGCCTAAACAGTTTGATCAACTCAAGGAGACACTAAAATACGGTAAGACTACTCTTCATCTGGAAGAAATTACTGGAGCCATCAGGTCAAAGATTCTGGAGTTAGGAGCAAACGGAAAGCTGTTGAGGAACAACTCAGACGGTTTGTTTGTTCAGAACAGAGGCAGATTAGAGAAGAGGGAAAATGGGACTGAGAAAAACAAGCACAAAAGCAGATCGAAGTCCAAAGGAGGTGGAAAAACATGTTGGATTTGTGGAAAGGAGGGACATTTTAAGAAGCAATGCTACATATGGAAGGAAAGAAACAGATCAAGGGATTCTTCATCAGAAAGAGGAGAAGCCTCGACTGTAATCTCTCAAACCACAGATGCAGCTGCGTTGGTAGCCTCAGACGCCCTTCTTGGTTTTGCTGAAGTGTCTCCTGACACATGGATACTTGACACAGGCTGTTCCTTCCACATGACCTGCAGAAAGGAGTGGATTCTAGACTACAGGGAAACCAGACATGGGAAAATCAGAATGGGGAATGATACCTACTCGGATGTTAAAGGTATTGGAAACATCAGGATTCTCAATGATGATGGAACTACCGTTCTGCTTACTCAAGTCAGATATGTACCGCAAATGTCAAAGAATCTGTTGTCCATGGGAACACTTGAAGACAAAGGATGCTGGTTCAAGTCAAGAGATGGTGTTTTGACGGTTATCAAAGATGACATAACTGTTTTAACAGGGAAGAAGCAGGACACATTATACTTCTTACAAGGAACCACATTGTCAGGAGAAGCCAATGTCACAGAGAAGGTGAATGATGAAACTCGCTTATGGCACAGCAGGCTCGGGCACATCGGTTCAAAGGGGTTGGAGATGCTAGTCATAAAGGGGTACTTAGACAAGAATAGAGTAAAGGAGATGCAGTTTTGTGAAGATTGTGTATATGGGAAGACTCACAAAGTCAGTTTTGGGTCTGCAAAGCATGTCACAAAGGACAAACTGGATTATGTGCACTCGGATCTTTGGGGCTCTCCATCAGTCCCATTGTCGTTAGGCAAGTGTCAATATTTCATCACCTTCATTGACGACTTTACCAGGAAGACATGGATATACTTCATAAAGACTAAAGACAAAGCGTTCAGTAAGTTTATGGAGTGGAAGACGTTAACAGAAAATCAACAAGGCAAGAAGCTAAAGACCTTAAGAACCGATAATGGTCTTGAGTTCTGTAAACAAGAGTTTGATACTTTCTGCAAACAGGAAGGAGTTGTCAGACACAGGACATGTGCCTACACACCTCAACAGAATGGGGTTGCAGAAAGAATGAATAGGACCATTATGAACAAGGTCAGATGCATGCTTAGTGAATCAGGTATGGGGAAACAGTTCTGGGCAGAAGCGGCTTCAACTGCGGTATTTGTTATAAACAAAAGTCCAACTTCCTCAATTGATTTCTCAATACCAGATGAGAAGTGGACTGGTCACCCACCGGACTACAAGATGTTAAAGAGGTTTGGCTCAGTGACATACGTACATTCTGATCAGGGCAAGCTGAATCCTAGAGCAAAGAAAGGGGTTTTCTTAGGCTATCCTGCGGGAGTAAAGGGTTACAGAGTTTGGCTTTTAGAAGAGAGGAAATGCGTCGTGTCAAGAGATGTTGTGTTCCAAGAAAGTTTGATGTTTAAAACCATTGAGAAAGCGAACACAACAGAAGCAGGACAAATAAATGCAGACTAAGAAAGAGTAAACATCGAGCTGAGGGAAATACACGATGGAGGAGGAGCTGGTTCTGAGACAAATGAAGAAGCCACTTCAAGCAGCTCAAGAACTGAGAATTATCAGGATGACGAAAGCTCAGAAAGTGAGGAAGAAGATTACAATCTAGAAGACTACCAGTTGGCCAGAGACAGATCACGTAGAAAGATCAAAGTTCCACATAGATTCTTGGAAGAAGTAAACTTGGTGGGATTTGCACTAACCACTACAGAAGACGGTGAATCTCCAGAGCCAAAGTCTTTTCAAGAAGCGATGGCAAGTGCTGAATGGAAGGAATGGAAGGATGCTTCGGACGAAGAAATAAAATCACTGCACAAAAACATCACCTGGACACTTGAAGACAAGCCAGCTTCAGGGAGAATCATCGGGTGTAAGTGGATCTTCAAAAGAAAAGCAGGAATTCCAGGTGTAGAACCTCCAAGATACAAAGCTAGACAAGTTGCAAAAAGGTACTCTCAAAAGGAAGGAGTTGATTACCAGGAAATCTTCTCTCCTGTAGTCAAGCAAGTATCAATCAGGTATCTGCTCTCAGTTGTAGTAAAGTTTGACATGGAGCTGGAGCAAATGGATGTAAAAACAGCTTTCCTCCATGGAGAACTAGAGGAACACATTCTTATGCAGCAACCTGAGGGATATGAGATTGAGGGAGCACCAGAAAAAGTCTGTCTACTCAAGAAATCACTCTACGGTTTGAAGCAATCTCCAAGAAAATGGAATCAGAGGTTTGATCGGTTTATGCGAAGTGCAGGTTATCTAAGAAGTCAGTATGATCAGTGCGTTTATATGAAGAAACAAAATGATGAGAATCATGTCTACTTGCTTCTGTACGTCGATGACATGTTAATCGCATCAAGTGATAAAGGAGAAATTCGGAAACTGAAAGAACTGCTTAACAAGGAGTTTGAGATGAAAGACTTAGGTCCAGCGAGAAAGATTTTGGGGATGGAGATCAGAAGAGACAGAGACAAAGGGATCTTAGAGCTGTCTCAAGTATGTTGAGAAGTTTCTTCAGGCGTACAAGATGGAAGAGTGCAAGGCTGTCCAAACACCATTAGGTGCTCATTTCAAACTAAGAGCAGCTACAGAAGAGGTCCTTAAGCAAGACAGGGAACACATGAAAAGGATTCCATACGCAAACGCCATTGGAAGCATCATGTATCTAATGATAGGATCAAGGCCAGATATTGCATATACGGTTGGTGTGGTTTGCAGGTTCATGTCAAATCCCACAAAGGAGCACTGGCAAGCGGTGAAATGGATATTAAGGTACATAAGAGGATCAAAAGGAGTGTGTCTGCAATTCAAGAAGGGAGATAATGTTGAAATAAAAGGCTATTGTGATTCTGACTACGCAACCGATCCAGACAGAAGGAGATCAGTCACATGATACGTCTTTACTGCGGGTGGAAACACAATAAGCTGGAAATCCAGATTGCAGCCTGTTGTTGCACTCTCGACAACAGAGGCCGAATATATGGCCCTAAATGAAGCAGCCAAAGAAGCCATATGGCTGAAAGGATTGGCAGAAGAGATGGGATTCAAGCAGAGTCTAGTGGAGATAATGTGCGATTCTCAGAGTGCCATTTCTTTGGCAAAGAACTCTGTCTTCCACGAAAGAACTAAACATATTGATGTTAAGTTCAAGTTTATCAGGGAAAAGATTGAGGAGGGAAGGATTCAAGTGAAAAAGATCTCAACGATCTGGAATCCAGCAGACATCCTCACCAAAATTGTACCAGTGAGCAAGCTTCAAGATGCCATGAAGCTTCTCAGGGTCTCAAGTCACTAAGAGACCAAAGATCCGAGAATGGAAATCAAGAAACACTAAGGAATGTTGAAATCTTGTGAGTTTAAACCAAGGAGGAGTTTTGTGGGATCTGGTTCAATCTCACGAAAAGGGGCCGAAGGCCCAAGATGGGTTCATTACGAAAGTCCAAGAAAGGCTGAGAAGGAGATAAGAGTCTCTGGCTTGACCAGAGGGTTCATATTCTTTTGAACAAAGATCAAGGAGGAGCCTATTCATCATTTCTCTCATATGACGGCATCATGTTGCAGAACGTACGAGCACAAGAAGGGAAGCACGCGAGAGGTTCACGTGGTCTTGCAGTGCTCCCAAAAGATAACGGAAGTTAAGCCGTAATTGAAGGAAGAATCCCGACAACTCTCTAGAAGTGCTGCGCAAGTTGTCGGGTAGAGTTCCAAGACTCATCTCACTAATAAAAGAGATGAGGACCTCTGTTTCAAGGTTAACGAGTGAGAACAGAGTTTGTACGTTAGTGAGAGAGAGAGAAGTTGTAAGAACCCTAAAGGCTCAAGCTTTGAGCAAGTAACTTAGTGGATTTCCGAGATATTCTCGGCGAGACGTAGGACTTCCGGTTTGAGGCCTGAACTCGTAAAATCTGGTGTGTTCTTTACATTTCTTGCTCAAACACAAACAAACGAGAGACGTAGAGAGTTGAGAGAGAGAACTTCTTATCTAAAGGTTTATTAAAACGATTATTTAAGAAGCTCGAGAAAGTAGTCAACTTTAGAAGGTCTGATTCTCACATATACAATTAATGCCTTGGATTTTTTCAACGTATCTATACTATAAGGCTTATATCAACCAATGTTTTTGCTCCTTTACCATCTAATTTAATTACAAAATAAAAGTGTAATAATTCAACTAGACTTGTGGACCATATCAGAACACTACATACGGTGGCTTAGATGAAGTCAAGAAGTCAACGTCAATGAAGGACGGCGATCTTTAAGTTAATGGAAGCGTAATTAATACTTTTATGTTCCCTCTACGACAGAGGCAGAACGATGTTTGATTTATTAAGAAAGAGAGCGCCCGAATCAATAGAGATGAAGATGGACGAGAAGCTAAGTGTCATCGAACTACTAAAACGAGCTACGAAGCTGCTCTTCGGTAACATCAACCTCGCTTTCTTCCTCTTGCTCTGCTCTCTTCCACTGTTCTGTTTCTTGATCTTATTTGAGCTCTCCTTCCAAACAACCGTCTCTTTCACTTCCCAATTCCTCTCCAAACAACTCGTTTTTGAGAAAGACTTGTCGGAGAATGATCTGATTCTCCAAACCACCGTCTCTCTCACTTCCCAATTGGTCTCCCAACAACACATTTTTTGGGAGGACTTATCAGAAAATGATCTGATTCCATGGCTGATCCATACATCTCTGCTCTACTTCTTCTCTTACGCCTTTCTAGACCTCCTTACCACCACCATGATCGTTGCATCATCTTCGATTGTTTACACATCCGAGGAAGAACCAATGGGGCTGCTTTCTTTAGTACGGAGATCTGTCAAAATATGTCAGAACAGAGTACGAGGTTGTCTGATCACATCTCTCTATGTCCTTCTCTTGTCAACCTCTGTTTTCTTTTTTTTCCTTCTTTTTTCCTTTTTGTTTTTCTTTGGTTTCTTCTCTAATTGGAACAGCTTAACCATAGTTCGTCTCTTACACCAACACCAAAGCTTCCTCGACCAAATACCGGTACTGATCCACGCAATGGTGGTTCTGGTTCAAGGTACTCTCTTCATGTACCTGACTGAAAAGTTCACCAAGTGGAGCGCAGGATGGAACATGAGTTTGGTTGTTTCGGTCTTAGAAGACGGAGAAGATGGCGAAGGCATATATGGGAGCGATGCTTTGTCTCTTTCAGCTTTGTATCGAAGAGGACATGAAAGGCGTGACCTCTGGATGATGTTGTCGTTCTTGGTCTTCGCTCTCGCGACGAAGATGCCCTGTTTATACTCCAAATGCAGTTTGAGTTCGAGTGGAAACGGAGTGTTGTACACTGGTCTCTATGTATGTTTCTTTTGTGTTGGGAACGTGCTTAGATGGTTGGCTTGTGTTGTTTGTTACCATGATTGTAAAACTAGGTTTTTCAGGAAGAAGACCGATGTAGAACAAGCTAAACCTCCTGCTTCTTAGAGAGTTTGGCTGAGATCAATTCAAAGTTGGAGTCTTTAAATAAATGGTTGAAAAAGCAGAAAGCTTATTGAACTTCCCAGCTTCAACGCAAAAGATAGATAAGCTTTTTTGCTAATATGTGATGTGTAATGGTGCTATTATGCTAAAAGAAGACATCGTCGCTTGCAGTTATTGCAGTGTCACAGAAACATGCTTGAAACAAACAAGACATTCTAAAAATTGTAAAAAGCTTTTATTTTGATAACTGAAACGATCCTCCAAATTGTTTCATTCCCTTTTTCAATTGGCTTTTGACTCGATCACCTTCTTGGCGAAGGAAGGCAAGCAGAACGCGGCTGAATGAATCTGAAACCCCCAAGAAATGAGAACCAATACGTTAACATTCGAGTGTCTAAGACAGTATGAAATGGTATATATTGAGAGAGTCTATTTTTTTTTACCTCGGCATTGTAAAACTTCAAGGGTCCATTTGATTTGCTGGAGCTCTCATCAATTGGGTTCACTGGGTGTTTGAAGTCAACGTCAGGTCCTTCAGTTGAACAGAGCATGAATCCGATAACCCCACTGCAGAAGAAAACGTACAATGACACACGTTCAGCTTAAGTTCTTATCTCGGAAAAATGAAAGAGAGTAGATGTTAAAAGGTCATTGTAAACATGCCTTGGGTATGTTGGGACGCTGGTCCATGCATAGTTCACAGAACCCTTGAAGATCTCACGGCAATTGGAAACAATGTCTTCGATGATGTCCATGTGAAGCCACAAGCTTTCAGCTTGAGTACACACAACTCCACCAGGACGAAGAGCTCTAGCCACAGATTGGAAGAAGGGTTTCTCAAACAGCTCCTTTGCAGGACCTGACACACACAACCACACGTAAGTCAAAATCAAATGCTGCTTCTCAAACATAACAGCAGCAAGGGTTAAATCTGATTGTTGATGAAAAATGTGATGGTACCAATTGGGTCTGATGAGTCAACGATAACTGCATCATATGATCCTTCAGCAGCATTCTTCAAGAAAGCAACACCTGCAGTAAATAACCCTCCAACCATAAGTTTGAAAGAAGATAGTTTTAGAAAGGAAAACTAAGGAGAGATAAAAATAAAAAGCAGCAGTTTGTACCATCGCCAATGACGAGGTTCACGCGAGGATCCTCGTATCCAATTGCTACGTTAGGGAAGAACTGCTTAGACACCTGAAGATTCCAAGAATGTGGAAACATTAAACTAAAACACGCATATCTGCCACATTTGTTTACTGATAAAAGGCATTAACCAAAACAGAGATGCAAGAAAGGTGAAGAGTAAGTGAACACTCACGTCGACCACCATTTTATCAATTTCACACATGTCAATCTGCTCAACAGAAGCGTGGCGTGCAACTTCCCGCAGGACACCTCCATCTCCTCCTCCAATGACCAAGACCTATGGAAAAACTAGAAGCGCATTGATCAGATACACTCAGGCTAAAAGCTAAAAGCAAAAACAGCATTTCTAGCTGCTTCACTTTACCATAACCCAAAATAGTTTTCACAACTCTGATATTGAGAGGGGGAAAAAAAAAATCAATTTTGAATGTAAGAAGCTTTGATTATCTACCTTTTCTCAAACATGTCCCTAACAAGCTAGAGGATAATCATTTAAGCCAGTTGAAAGATTTTCTATCATATAATTATTACCCAATAATGTTACTTGAGTTCTCTAACTTTGCCAGTAGAGAACGTGGAACAATGTACCTTTTTTCTCAGAAGGCCATCAAAGTCTGTATAACTAAAAAAGCAAAAAATTGTTCATCATCTACCTTTTCTTTAGTGGACATTACTATCACCACTCTGGAGTGTAATCATTTATCCCAGCTCAATTAGTTTCTAAAATTTATATCTGATATAAAAAAAAGTCTACTATATCTCCATCACTAATGATTTACCCATCCTACTTTACCGGAGAAGAAAAATATGAGCTTAATAACGTTTCATTACATTCAAAAGCAATACACTTTGATAACCAAAAGTACACACACTCTCAAGAACTATAATAAAAACCACTAAAAAAAGAGACTAATTATTTACCTTCTTTGGGTTAGGGATAGAGCACAAAGGAAGATGAGTGATCATTTCTTGATAGGCGCATTCGTCTCTCTCAGTAAGTTGGATTACTCCATCCAAAACCAAAACTTTTCCATATGTAGCAGACTAAGAAGAACAAAAAACAATAAAAGGACTAAATCAAACACACAAGCTAGAAAAGAAAACAGAGAGATGATACAATTAGCAAGAGTCCATTGTTTTGTTACCTGGAAAACAATCACATCCTGGTAATCTGATTTCCCTTGAAACAAAACTTTCTCAACCTTCAAAGAGTGTGCTTCTCCTGCATCTCAGATCATAAAAAAATCAGCTTTTTAATTTAAGAGGAATCTCATCAATTCCAAATCTCAGAGGCGAAAAAGCACTTGTTTTTCCCACTTTTAAATCAAACAAAAAACGAGAATCGACCTGGCCACATAGGACTCATCTCGGAGAACCACCCAGGAATCACGGAAGAGAAACAAGCAGGCTCCTTTGTCTGATCTCCGTTAGCAGACGGAGCTGAGTTATCAGTCTCCATGGAAGCGGCGGCGGCGAATTCATCTTCTTCTCTCGGTCTCTTCAAATCGGAAGCGGAGGCATCTTTGGCATCCATGGTTGCTCTGGTGATTAGCTTCGGGAGCGAACACACGACACTCCGAGAGAAGGAGAAACGAGAGAGAGGGATTAGGGTTTTTGTAGGCTTGTTTTGATGTGAAGTGAAGCGGAAGATATAAGAAGAAGGAGAAGTGGAGATTCGATGTAAGATTGAAAATATCAATTTCATTTATATTAATATATTATTTCTTTCTTCTTTTATCTTATTTGTTATGATTCCAACTAGAAAATTTGCGAATTATTGTGTGATGATAATACGGACGACACAGCGTTTGCCTCGAATATATCGTTTTTTAAGCTTTTTGGCTTTTTATGTCTGTTTTACTTTATTCGCATCTGATACTCACTCGCCTTTAACCACGCGCTATCTCACGTGCAACGCAGGTTTGGTTCGAAGCTCGACGAAAGCACAAGCTGAAAAGTTGGCAGAAGAGGGAAGAATTGTCAGTAATTTTTTTTAACAGAAATAAATAAGGGTGTTATACATTCTTGTAATTCGTATAAAGTAACCAATATTCAATCGTTAAGGCACTAACAGACAGAATCGTTTATATAATGTTTTAGTAATTTCTAAACTAATATACACGAGAAATCGTTTTGAAAATGAAAATGTTCTTCCACAAGCCTTCAAGAGCTCATCGTTTCCCACCTTGTGTCGTTGTCCTTAACCGGTAATGTCCTACTAGAATTGGATTGCAGGGTTTGGCCCATTATATTAATAAGCCCAATGTAGAACTTAACATTCATGCAACAGAACCCTTTTTAATCTGGTTTGGTTTGTTTGGATGCAAGTAACCAATACATTTTTCTAGCAAAAGAATACAAAAAGAAAAACAAGTACCGACCATTATTAGTGCTGTTTCAGTTTCATGCGTTTGTATTTTGTTTGTTCTTAGTTCTAGGCTTCTAGTCAAACATTTCAATCGGACGGTTTATTAAACATTTCTATTTGGGCCGAAAGCTATACGAAAACAAAATTCTATTTTTTTTTTGTTTTGTTTTGATAATTGGGAATCTTGACTCCAGACTAAGAAGTATATGAGTTAATTATCTATATATATGTGCTAATTCTCTAAATATATATGTGAAAATGAAAATTAAATTGGCTTAGATGGAATGACAGTTCTAACACAAACATATAGTAACAGATAATACCGTAATAAAAAAAAAAGATTTAATACCGTAATCTCAAAAATTCCAAATATATCTTCATTCTAATCCAACAGACAATGCTGACCAACTATATTATAATTTATGTTATATGTTCACATTTGATGTGATTTTTAGTGCGGTAGGTGAACCACTCAAATCCCTTTTTTCGACTACAATTATCATACTTCAAAACTGTACAAGAATATGATATTTTTCTAATATTCTTTTTCCTTCATCCTTTGTGAAATTTATAATTTAAAATTGAGTCCAAATACTAACTTAACCAAACTATTTTTTATACAGAAATAAATAAAAATTATATACTTTTTTTGTCAACATAATAATCTTGATATCTATGATATTAAAATGGGATTAACTCATCCATACATTGTGGCCGTACTACTAGATATGATAGAGTGACAAAAATAATTATATTTATCACTTTTTTGGACGGCAAATGATATTATATAATTTAGTGTTGAAAAGAAAATATTTTAATAAGTTGTCACGAGTTTTGATTTTGACTCGTTTTCTATTTTCGACTGTCGACATGTGGAAATGGATAATATTTAATCCTTAAATTGGGTTCTTTCTATGTCTGTTAAATACCGAAAGCAAACTCGTGCACTTGCAACCTACCAAAGCTTTACCGATACAAAAGAGATCCTCACCGTAACACTGTAGAGGATAAGCCAAAATCTGCAATGGCGTCAAGAAGAGTCTCCTCGCTGCTCTCTCGCTCCTTCTTTTCCTCGTCTTCTCTTTTCGCTCTTAGTGGTATGTTTATATTCTGATGCATGTGATCCGTGTTTTGTAAAGTAATCGCTTCTCAGAATCCGATCGGGTTGTTTTTTTTTTTTTTGTGTTCATATGTACATCTTAATCGAGAATCGAAATCGTTATGTTTGTCTGTCTGTCTGAAACTCGTGCTTTATTGATTTTTTTTTTCCTTTTTCTCTTTTCCGATCGATGATCTGTGAGATTTTGTTTTTGGATTCTGTATCGACATTTTTTTTTTTGACTACTTGGCGATGGATTTCAAAAGTTTGACGATCGTCGTCTCGTTGATCTCAATTGAATCGAATCGATTGATTTCTCGTTTGTTTTTTCATTTCAGGTAAAAATCCACACTTGATGAACAGAGGAGCTCGGAGATACAGCAACCTCGCCGCCGCTGCTGCAGCTCTCGAAGACACGATTACTCCACCTGTGAAAGTCGAGCACACTCAGCTCTTAATCGGCGGAAAATTCGTCGATGCAGCCTCAGGTTATATATATTTCGAAACTGTTCACTAGTGTGAATGTGATGATATCATATATCGAGGCCTGAATGTTTCATTTTACATTGAATTATCGTTAACAGGAAAAACATTCCCCACTTTGGATCCAAGAACTGGAGAAGTGATAGCTCAGGTGGCAGAAGGTGATGTAGAAGACGTGAACCGTGCGGTTTTAGCCGCACGCAAGGCCTTTGATGAGGGACCATGGCCTAGAATGACAGCTTATGTAATACAAGTTTCCTTTTTGTGTTTATCTTGGTGTTTATAGATATATCAACATCTGTTTTTTGTAGCTTTTGAAATGACACTCTTGATTGACTTATTTTCTTCAGGAGAGATCAAAGATACTATTTCGTTTCGCTGACTTGATAGAGAAACACAACGACGAGATTGCAGCTCTTGAGACTTGGGACAATGGGAAGCCTTATGAGCAATCTGCCAAAATCGAAGTGCCTATGCTTGCTAGAGTGTTCCGGTACTATGCTGGTGAGTGAAACCAAACAAAATCACTGATGTATATTTGTTACCTTTGTGATTTTTCTGAAATCTTTTTAAAGGATTTTGTGTGTTTGTTCTTGGATGAGTTTCTCAGGTTGGGCAGACAAGATTCATGGAATGACGGTTCCAGGAGATGGTTCACACCATGTTCAGACTCTTCATGAGCCCATAGGAGTCGCTGGACAGATCATCCCATGGAACTTCCCTCTTCTCATGCTTTCTTGGAAACTTGGACCTGCTTTAGCTTGCGGAAACACCATTGTTCTCAAGACGGCTGAGCAAACTCCTTTATCTGCTCTTCTTGTTGCAAAACTACTTCACGAGGTAACCATGTACTCTTTGTTTTGCTTTCATTTGTCCACTAGACCTTTTTGCTTTACTCCAACTTATAAGCTTTACTGATTTATTATTTTACTGTAGACTGTTATGTTTAGCTCACGTCAATGATATCAATGACAGGCTGGACTTCCTGAAGGAGTTGTAAATATAGTTTCTGGATTTGGTGCTACAGCTGGTGCAGCCATTGCTAGTCACATGGACATTGATAAGGTTCAAATTTTAACACTTTTATATTTCACAGAGAATTTCTATCTTTCTTGAAAAATCTGTTGCAAGAATAAAGTTAAATGCGTACCAGTTCTCTAACATTACATAATTCAAAAGATTCGCCTTCTATATAATTTCCGACAAATCCTCTGTACTCTTCAGGTTGCCTTCACCGGGTCTACTGACGTGGGAAAGATTATTCTTAAGCTGGCTTCAGAAAGCAACCTTAAGGCAGTGACTCTTGAGCTTGGAGGCAAGTCACCATTCATTGTATGTGAAGATGCTGATGTGGATCAGGCAGTTGAGCTTGCTCATTTCGCTTTGTTCTTTAACCAGGTAACACCACCTCAAATATTTGTACTTTGTTTTTATGGATATCATGAATCTACATTCTTAAACATCAATCCCTGTCTGATATCCTCTTCTGGCTAACTTGCAGGGACAATGCTGTTGTGCTGGCTCGCGTACATTCGTACATGAACGAGTGTATGATGAGTTTGTAGAGAAAGCTAAAGCTCGTGCAATCAACCGTACTGTTGGCGATCCCTTCAAGTCAGGCATTGAGCAAGGTCCCCAGGTAAATATCCTTACATGATGAAATACTCAGTGAAAGACAAAAACAACACTTGGAAAATCCTAACTTGTTTGCCCAAAAAAAAACAGGTAGACAAAGAGCAATTCAAGAAAATCCTAAAGTACATCAAATATGGAGTTGACAGTGGAGCCACTTTACAAGCTGGAGGTGACCAGCTTGGTTCCAAAGGTTACTACATTCAACCCACTGTCTTCTCAGACGTGAAAGTAAGTTAACAGAATAATACTCTTAAAAACAACTCGATTACCGTTACAATTTCTCATGAATATCAATTTATATGAGCCCGTATGGAACTTGGCAGGACGACATGCTCATAGCACAAGACGAGATTTTTGGGCCTGTTCAAACCATACTAAAGTTCAAGTACAAATCTCATGTTAAACCAAGTATTTCTTCTTTGTTAGACATTTTCATGTTAAACTTCACTAACTGCTCTTGATGTTTCCTAGGGATTTGGATGAGGTGATTGCGAGGGCAAACAAGTCGAGGTACGGTTTAGCTGCAGGAGTGTTCACACAAAATCTGGACACAGCGAATCGGCTGATGAGAGCGCTTAGGGTTGGAAGCGTTTGGATAAACTGTTTCGATGTATTTGATGCCACAATTCCATTTGGAGGGTATAAGATGAGTGGCATTGGAAGAGAGAAAGGAATCTACAGCCTCAACAATTACTTGCAAGTCAAGGCTGTTGTCACTGCCCTAAAGAACCCGGCCTGGCTCTAAACCGAACCAGGTCTCTCGCCCTTAATTAGCTCGCTTATTCTTATTTCTGGAGGGTTGTTAATAAATTGCTTTGGGAAACCGGGAGTTGTATGATCTCTAGGTTTTCTAGATTATGATGATAAATTTATCTTCAGCACATTTACACATAAAGCTTCACAAAAATGTGTAATTCATAAAACATATCTTGATATGTTTATCTTTTTTTTTTTCTTTCTTGTCACTGATATAGCCCATCTTTTTATTGTGACATTTGAGAACAACCATTATTTATTATAAGCTTGACCAGTAACCATATAAAATCCATTATAAATTTCTCTATAAGCAGTGGAAAATAAAAACATTTTCACTGTAGCAGTGCACTTGTGGTTCAAGGATTCTTCAATTTGATTCTAAGCTTTCTAGTGATATGTGATGCTTTTGGATGGACCGGCAATCTTCTGCAATTATTTGCCTTGAGACCTCAGTTTTTCCATTGTCTACGTGGTTCTGAATTTCAGCTTAATTAGTGGTTTGGCAGATAATTCCAATGCTTGCTCTGTGACAAACCCAATTTCGCCTGACTTCTTGACGTTGGCTCGAAATTTTGTTCTTGACGTGCAGTAATGTTTATAATTCAGTTATGTTTTTTCTTTATTTATTATTATTGACTTTGAGAATACTTTGATACAATACTTTGATAAGTAGATTTTGAGACAAAAATATGTAGAATCAATAAATCAATAACACCAGACTTTTAAACAATGACAATATGAGAGTATTTCATTTTATTTGAATAACACAAGACTCTTATTGAAATTATAAAATCTTGAATCCAGTAACACCAGATTTTAATAGAGTTTTGAAAAATCTTAATTGAATACCACTCAAATCGTTATAAAATCTGAATCTTTAATACTCTTTCTAAATACACGAACCAATAACACCAACTAACGTGTGATTCAAGGATTCTTCAATTTGATTCTAAGCTTTCTAGTGATATGTGATGCTCTTGGATGGACCGGCCGTCTCGTGTTATCAGCAGAGTGCTCTGCTTCCACCCAGTTTACAACTTGGAGAATGAGAGACTGTGGAACCTTCTTAACATCTGCATCACCTGTGCCTTTACACTTCTTAAGCCCTTTCTCTAGAGCCTTTTCTATAAACTCCATGAACCAATTTGCAGCTTCCTTCTCTATCTCTTTCGCCAACCTCGCTGTGTTTATTAACCCGGAAGGAGGAGCTGCAGATGGGTTCTTGTTCTCATCGTTTGATCTCGATTGCTTATGATTTTGCTGCTGCTTCAGGACAGTAGTTCTTCTCTTTGATGCGGTTTTCTCCTGATCAATAATAGAGTTGTGCTGGATTTCGTGCAGTACCAAAGACGATCCATCCTCGGATTTGTTCTCATTAGCTGATGAAACTGCTGCTTCAATGGACGAGATTTCGCTTATGGTTTCAGATATCTGGCTGTGAAATTCCAAGAACTTCTCGAAGCACGCAGCCGGGCAATCAGGTTTTGCTGATTTGCTTAGATTGGCGAATGTCCTGTACAGTCGTCCCCAAATAAAGATTCATAAGAAACTTTATCAAATATCACATAAATCATACAACGAAAAAGACAAAAGGAGATTCAGTTGTGTGTACTTGAGATGACGAACGACTGTTTCTGTGGCTGTAGCTTCTCTCAATGCCTGAAGAGCTATCTTCTGAGCAGTGTCTCGCTGCTGCATAGCTTCCTGCAGATCAAAAGACATCTCTCAGTATCACCAAAACATTCTCAAATACAGGTAAACATTCTCAAAACATCTAAATTTGTTACCTTGCTCAATGTGCTGAGTCTTCCTGGTAGACTTGAACTCCTCTCTGGTTTTTCAACCTTACTATACTTAGATTCATGCTTCGTTGTAGACTTTGGAGCATCTCTTTCTTCTTCCACCAAAGCAGCAGCTGCGGTTGCTCTTCGTGTGCGTAAACTCGGAGGCGGTGAGCTGCTTTTCTTTGCCTGCAAAATCTCCATTGTTAAAAACTTTCTCTCTCGAAGTAACGTTTTAAGCAGAATTAGAGAAATCCAGAGCAAAATGTACCTACAGAGGATTTAATCGGACTAAGAAGTACAGAAGAAACAGAGATCTTCGCAGTCTCTCTATCGCAAACACTCCTGCTTCTCGGAAACTTCGAACTCGGCGGAACAACACAGCTCTTCCTCATCATCGCAGCAGGGCTCTCACCTTTCAAATCAGCCATTTTCCCCAGAATCCCTCCTCCATAAGAACACCTAACACCACCTGGTGATCTCCCTCTCGTCATCACCACCGGAGACGCCGCCGCGAACCTCCTCTCTCCAAGCCTATGCTTCGCCGGCGTGCACTGATCAAAATCCAAAGGCGCAGGCTTTAAAACGAAAGGAGACGAAACGTCACCGTTTTGACCCCAAGAGCCTCTCCTCGGTCTCGAACCAGACTCTCTCTCAGTCTTTCCTCGCGTGCTCATCAATGGCTCAGGAGTCCCGAGCAGAGGATGCCTTCCCGGAATCGGCCTAGCGCCTTTGACGATCGGAACAGGGGTCCCTGGATCGAGCCGATCAACGTAGATGAATTGACCAAGCTGCATCTTGTTGCTTAGAACGTCGTCGTCTTGATCCGAAGGAAGGCTGACGTAGATCGAGTGAGAAGAATCGGAGACTTTTATGAAGAAGCCTTGTTTCGGCAAAAGATTCTTCTCGTCAAGATCGATGGGGACTATATCGGTGACTTGTAATAGAGAGCTTCTGTGTTCGCCGGTCGGTTTAACTCCGGTTTTCATACCGTCGATCAGCTTCTGAAGGATTCCGGGTGCTAAAGCCGCCATTTTTGTCGAGTTTAAGATCGAGATCGGTTGATTCAGACGAGAAATTGAGAAATTCAAGAAATGGGTTCAGATCGAGAAAGATTTTTGTGTTGGGTTTGTATCGGATTAGAAGAATGGATTGCTGTGATTGAAGAATTTTAGGGTTTTTTTTTTTTCACTTAGCCGCGGAGAGAGCCAACGGTAAGTAGGTACTTTGAAGAAAAGAAAGAGGAAGGGGGAAGATAATAATATCATCTTTTTGAAAATAAAAATTAAAAAGAAAATACAAAAAATAAATGCTTTGGGACGTTGTGAGCAACGGTCGAATTGGTGTGGTGGGTCTGTGTGTATTGTAATCGTCATTATTCTGTTTGATCTGTATAGTTTAATCATCGGCAGGATCTTCTTGGTTTTATACGCTTCTTCTCTGATCCACTAATTAATACCAAATTAGTACAGTAATTAGTAAATTACCTATGGGTTGACCTTGTTTATCCGGTTTTTTTTTTTGGGTAGAAGAAATTTCACCATTTATTAGCTTTCTAAGTTATAACGTACTGTGTTCACAATTTCATATTCATCATTTGAGGGTAGGATTTGAAATGGTGGCTAGACTACATCTAATAAATTTCACTTGGTGGTTCCCGTCGATAGTTGGAGTACCTTCTCCGAACAACAATTAGTAAAGTGGATTAGTTGACTAACGAAAACATGAAGTTAGTGGTCGTTCAGACAGTTTAAAAGTGAATCTATGTTGACCAGGAACAGAAGTTTAACTTTTTATGTCCGAAATAAATATTAGTCAGAATCATCGCTCGGTTCATTTCATATATATAGGATCAAGGTACTAGCCGGGTTAAGCTAAATAAAGAAGGTATCAAAAGCTATTATTCGAAATGTATCTTAAAAACAACATATCAGACAATGTGGTTAGCGAGTGAAGTACAAATAATTTGATATTTATGAATTCAAGAAGCTTTGTAAAGTTTTGAGGAATTTTAAATTTAGAAAATACATGAATTATCTTGATATAGACAGGTACAAGTTCAATTAATTTGGATCGATTATGAACAGAGTTGATCCAAATTTCGATTTCTGACCGGGTTGGGCTGGATACTTTGAATTAACAAAAAGCCTAAACATGGCCCATATTTAGAGATAACAGCCAATTGCGTTTTGTATTATCTCCTTCTTTCTAGTACTTAACCGATAAATTTCCCAGAAACTAGTTGCCGGAATATGAAGCTACGGTTGAGACGCCACGAGACCAGAGAAACCCTAAAACTTGAATTGGCCGATACGGCCACTCTCCATGATCTCCGACGACGGATCATTTCATCGGCGCCTTCCTCCGTTCATCTATCGCTTAATCGCAAGGACGAGCTCCTCGCGCCTTCGCCGGAGGATACGCTCCGATCGCTCGGTGTAACATCCGGTGACCTTGTTTACTACTCTCTCGATCGCTCCGCTTTTGTTACATCGGTTGAGGAGATCGGATTAGCGTCGTCGGCAGAGGCAGATCAAGTCCTAGCTCCAAGTGGCGAATCATCGGACGGGAAATTGGGAGATTCCGCTACATCCCGAGGTCCACAATCGGAGAGGAGTCACGATTCGATGGGTATTGAATTCGCAGAGGTCGATGTAGATATGAATATCCACAATCAAGCGAGAACCGATCCGAATTCAGTCGTTGAAGATCCAGCCGAAGGATCCATTGGTGAAAATCCGGGCATGGAGGGTCCAGAACCGATGGATGTAGAGCAGCTTGACGTGGAGCTCGCTGCCGCTGGGAGCATAAGGTTAAGCGAACCATTCTTTTTGAAAAAGATACTGCTTGAGAAATCTGGTGATACCAGTGAGTTAACTACATTGGCTTTGTCAGTTCATGCTGTTATGTTAGAATCTGGATTTGTGCTGTTGGATCATGGCTCTGATAAGTTTAGCTTTTCAAAGGAGCTACTTTCGGTGTCCCTAAGGTATACTCTGCCTGAGCTAATTACCAGTAAAGAAAGCAATACAATCGAGTTTGTTACTGTGAGGTTTCAGAGCTTAGGCTATATGGTTGTAGTTTACGGGAATCTAAGTGGGTATAAAGGGCAAAAGGTTAATCTTGAGAAGCGTAGGTTTGTGCCTGTGATTGATTTGGTTATGGATACTTTGAAGTCGAGCAAGGAAGGCTCTTCGAGCATCTACCGCGAGATGTTCATGTTCTGGAGAATGGTGAAAGATGGTCTTGTTATCCCGTTGTTGATTGGTCTTTGCGATAAAGCTGGACTGGAACTTCCACCGTGTTTGATGCGTCTACCAACAGAGCTGAAGCTGAAGATACTAGAGTCGCTTCCTGGCGCGAGTGTCGCAAAGATGGCTTGCGTTTGTACAGAAATGCGGTATCTTGCATCAGACAATGACTTGTGGAAACAGAAGTGCGTGGAAGAAGCTGAGCATCTTGTTGTCGTGCATGGATCCGGTGTTAACGTTAACTGGCAGGCAAAGTTCGCTGCTTATTGGAGGCAACACCATCGACGATTGCGCACAGCTAGACGAACCTTACGAAACTATGTCACGGATAGAAACAATCGCATTCCTTTTCCTCGGATCCTTAGAGACCCTGACCCTTTCGGAATGTTTAATGGGGATCACTTGCATGGATCTATCGGTTTCCACTCGAGACAACCAGCACGGGGGCTTGGCCGACGAGGATGGGGACGGGGTTTTAGTCCTGGATGCAATCTTGGTGGAAGCAACTAGCAAACTTGATGAGTGATCTGATGGAAACGGTGTATCTTTTGGAGGTAGGAGAAGTAGGTGTATATGTCTTTCGATATCAGCATAATAAATCTCTTGGATACTTTATAAGTTGTATCCTTAAATAAGTTTTTTTTTTTGGTTTTGTATGTATTTCTCTTGTTCTTGCCATGCTTATGCTATTTGGTTGCGCTTTTATGAGTTTTTTCTGTAAAGTTTTTGACCAACTTATAATAATATCACATTCCTGTCTACGCATTGCTATTGCCTTTAGTCACAACAAGGACTTTAGGGGGTTTCCGAATTTATCGATTTTCGATATGGAGCTTGATCGATCTGATTATAAAGCAATTCTGCTGAAGAGAAAATATTGACAAAAGCCTTAACAATTATGTTGACATTGCAAAACAAAAGCTGTAACAAAGTACTAATAATTAGCAAGCAAAGCAACTTAACCCAACAGCTCTACATTCACTTTTACAGAGGCCTCGCTCGTCCATAGCTTTGTGCAAGATAGATACATCAGGTAAAACTCTTTCTTGATGCCAACATTTAACGGTACGATTAACTTCCATTATTATTTATTGAAGGTTTTCTGTAGCGGGAAAACAAAAGTATTTCGACAAGTTTTGTCGTTCATTCAACAACGTTGACGAGCTCATACTCGATAAGGGACATGTTGGTGTCTTCTTTCACTTTGAAGCTCGCTGGCTCTGTGACGACTTCAACTCGACCCCACTTGTCTACAGCTAGCCTCATTGATCCTTTATAAATGTCGATTTTTGCATTTCGTAGAGTTACAGTGGATCCTTCTTTCATTAAGTCCACTACACGCACACACACAAATAAAAAAATTAACAAAAAAACCAAATAAAGATAACATAATGTAACAATTCAACTATTCCTTACTCTAGTCTGTAGATCACAAACATTCCTAGGAGTAAATGATTTTGCATTGCATTGATTGAAATAAGTAAGCACCTTGGTCATTTCTTGCGGTAAAGATGATAACTCCGGTCTCGTCTCCAACAATGCATTCAGAGATCCGCATCTGGCGAGCCTGAGGACCATCTACACGACCTTTTTGTAACACCATCTTCGTGCTAACGATCTTCACGGTGACATTGTGCCCGCTAGTCCCAGGACGCAGCTGATCAACCTTGGTAAAAGCTGGCTTTCTCAACCCTGGTTTGGTGTCTGCCATTTTCTTACAAGAAGAAGAGCCTGTAATGACAATTAATAACATAAGTTCTTACCAAATTCAAATGATTCAAAGCCTCAAAATCATGGAATATTAGCTCATGTTGGATTATCTAATTTATCAATATATATTGAGCAAGACACACAGGACAAAAGATATTCAAATTGTTTTTTAAAATCAGTTAATTTTTTCTATAATCTTAACAACAATTTTATGGTAAATGAGATCATCTCCGCCAGATTATAGCAATATTCCAGAAACAAGATTTTTTTTATTTTTCGCGCTTAAACTAGAAACAAGGATAATTTAAACGAATTCAAACATAACATAGTGCATGCATAATTATTAATTACAACATACCATTGAAACTAGACAGTTTTGAAATCCAGACAACATTGGAACCACATTGTATGACTTGAAGATTCAAATTGTAGAAAATAAGAGGAACATACACAAATTCTCAGAGAGATTAGGGTTTTAATTCGGAGGTTACCTTTTTGGATTATCGAAGGTTGAGACAAAGGATAGATCTGATTGACGTCACATTCAATGAAATTCCCGGAAAAATGCTCTCTTTTGAGGTCTGGGGTAAGAAAACGGACGGTCCATTTTTAAGCTTGACCACTTATCCAATATCATCAACCGTCCACCTGTACACATCGTGCTTTGTTGTGCGCAGTTCTATGATCATCGTGCCTAGATGAATGATCGGACGACTCACTTTTAACAAATCATTTCGGTTTATTGGGCGTTTGTTTTTAGCCCAATTAAAAATTGAGGGCCCATCAATTTAGACTGCGCTACAGTTTTGACATCTAACGTAAGATCTAGAACTACCTCACGTTTTTAATTGAGGACACAAACCGGCACGTCGTCTATATTGAAAAATCCAAAACAATATGTCGTTTTCTCTCTTGGATTTGAGTCACCAAAGTTAAACTTCGTGTCAGGTGTAATATGGATGGAAAGACTACATGACATTTGAATACGTTAAAGTTTTCCTTCCGTCTCTCGAGTCTTCGACACAGAAACGCCACAATTTTCCTGATTAAAAGCTTAACGACAACCACAAAAAATGACTGGCCAATCAGAGAAAGCCACGGGTTTTGGGACTGATTTCAATTCGAATAAAGCAGAGGAAGCGAAAGAGATAAGCCGTTTTGGAGATATTCGCGGCAGATTCCAAAATGAACTCGGCGCTTGCAACAACCACCGCCAAAACTCCCGTGCTCCGCCGTAAAACGCCGCTTCGTCATTACTCTCTCACGAAATCGCCGGTTTTCCCGTTGAACGTAGTTGGAATCGGATCCGGCGTACAATTAGTGAGCAAGAAGACATTGTTGAGGATCTCGGCGAGCTCTCAGAGCAGTTCACCGGCAGTCAGTGTCGCGGCGGATGCGTCGATTCCGAGCGAGATGAAGGCCTGGGTGTACGGTGAGTACGGCGGAGTGGATGTTCTGAAGCTGGAGAGCAATATTGCGGTCCCGGAGATTAAAGACGATCAGGTTCTGATTAAGGTTGTTGCGGCGGCTCTTAATCCCGTCGACGCCAAAAGACGGCAAGGGAAATTCAAAGCCACCGATTCGCCTCTCCCGGTAAAATTTCCCCTCTCTCTCTCTCTCTGGAAACCTAAGTTGATTTCAGATTATTAACTTCTCTTAGAATTTGAATCTTCGTCGGAGCAGACGGTTCCGGGATACGACGTAGCCGGAGTAGTGGTGAAGGTGGGAAGTGGGGTTAGGGATTTCAAAGAAGGGGACGAAGTTTACGCAAACGTGAGCGAGAAAGCGTTGGAAGGGCCAAAGCAATTCGGTTCTCTGGCTGAGTACACGGCGGTGGAAGAGAAGCTATTAGCCATGAAACCTAAAAACATCGATTTCGCTCAAGCCGCTGGGCTTCCTCTAGCTATAGAAACTGCCGACGAAGGTCTTGTTAGGACGGAATTCTCCGCCGGAAAATCAATTCTGGTTCTCAACGGCGCCGGAGGAGTAGGGAGCCTTGTGATTCAGGTACAAATCCGTAGCTCCCTTGTGATATTAAGAATCAGAGATTGATGACTGTTGATTGATTAACTCAGATTCATATGTGATACAGCTTGCGAAACAAGTGTATGGAGCTTCAAAGGTGGCTGCAACAGCGAGCACAGGGAAGCTGGAGCTAGTGAGAAGCTTAGGTGCTGATTTAGCCATTGATTACACAAAGGAGAACATAGAAGACTTGCTTGAGAAATTTGACGTCGTATTTGACGCCATTGGTAAACAAAAGTAACACCATAACACATAGTCTAGTTTCTTGCAACGGAAAGTTTAACCAAAGAACACTCTTTTTTGTTTGTCGAAAGGGATGTGTGATAAGGCAGTGAAGGTGATTAAGGAAGGAGGGAAAGTAGTGGCCTTGACTGGAGCTGTCACGCCTCCTGGATTCAGATTCGTTGTGACATCTAATGGTGAGGTTTTGAAGAAACTGAATCCATACATTGAGAGTGGGAAAGTGAAGCCTGTGGTTGACACCAAAGGACCATTCCCGTTCTCACGGGTCGCTGATGCTTTCTCATACCTAGAAACGAACCATGCCACGGGGAAGGTCGTTGTATATCCCATCCCTTGAGGGGCTTGACTTGAGTGTAGCCTATCTATCTGTATAAGCTAAGCAAGGGTTTGAAAGTGTATCTTCTCTTTGTAGAGTGTTTTGAGTTGTAAACTGTAATGAAGATGGATACTAAAATGCTCTTTAAAGCTTATTCGTATCATTTGAAACAGAAAAAAGACATTTTGGAGAAGAAACAGAAACAGCAACGGAAGATTATAAGAATACACTTCGAAGCAACATAGGGAAAAGATGAGTAGGAATGTTTTAAGACAAGGCAAAAGCAGGGGTGGTCTTAAAGTCAAGTTCCCAGAGATCAAACGTTCCTTTCACGAAATCGTAGTGAGCTCCTCTTATGGCGAGCTTGTTCTTCACCACTCTCTCTCTCACGAATGGGTAAGACAACAGATTCCCCAGAGACACATTCACCGCTTCCTGGAAACCGGAAACAATCTCAGTTTCTACTTTTAAGCAAGACAACAAAAACAGAGCAAAAACAGAGCAAAAAGTTGTGGCTTTTCTTAGTATGTACCTTCTCACAGTTGGTGCACTGGTCGTCAAAGCTCAGGTCTTTAAAATCCTTTTTAATCCTGTTCTTGGCCGGTGCAGAGATCTGGATCCAGTTTTCTATGAATTCGCTGCCATTAAAAAGAATTTCACTCAACTTTGTGAACCAAAATCGCCAAGAAACTGTCTTGAATCCCTTGAAATTAACCTTCAGTCGTCTCATGCTTGATCATGTAATTACAAGACACTGATTTTTTTAAGTAGCGATTAGAAATTAGTTACCTCTTAGTGGGAGCTGCATCATCCTCAATGGACATGAGTCCCTTTATTCCACCACAACAGCTGTGACCAATCACCAAAATGTTCTCCACCTGATAATGACAACATTTTCTTAAGGCTCTAATGGATCGATCATAGTTGCTAATTAACAAAGAGGTTCATTAATTAATTATTACGTACATTGAGGACTGTAACTGGATATTCAAGGGCGGCACCAACATTAGAGTGTTTCGTCTGCAAGTTCACAAAAGACAAAAAGCTTATATTAGTTAGATGTTTAATCACTAAAAACAACTTGGGATGTCTATGTAAAGATAATGAGAGTGATGTGGTAAGGTAACCAAAAAAAAAAGAAGATTTTCTCTTTGTTAAGACGAACCTTGTCAAAAGGTGGCACCATGTTTGCAATGTTTCTAACGATAAAGGCTTCTCCAGGTTGGAAATTCAAGATGTGAGATGGGCAAACTCGAGAATCCGCACAAGCAAATACCAGAAACTGCATAGATTTTGCATTGCATAAAAAATTTGATTATTGGTCTTGCATTATCCATTACGTTTAGACCATTTTACTGTTACATAGTAGGTTCTAATCCTGAGGTTTGGTCAACCGGAACTTTAGTTTAATGCAGTTTAATATATGGTTGAAAAAAAAAAGAGGATCTCTTTCAAGTCTTAACCCCATTTTAGTGTTTTAGTGTTTTGTGCTTTTTTCTAGCTTGCTCATAAAGGTCCTTTATTACTGAATTAGAAGCAATATCCCCTATTTCATACCCTTTTTTGGCCAATTGGAGAAAAGTACACCCCTAAAAGAAGAAAAAAAGAAGAAGAATGAATTGATCGGCAGGATCAATACCTTGGGGCTCTGGCTCTTGGCAAGTTCATTGTACAAAGAAGGATTCTTCCTGAATATTGATAAACCAATAACATAATGAGAAAACATCAAATAATTTCCAAAACAGAAAAAAAAACCAGTCTAATACGCCCTTTATGACTAAAAATACTGTAAGTTCATTCAACTTTATAAGCACTATTATTATATGTAGTGGAGTTTTATCCCTATGAAAAGTATTAAAATGAACGGATCCATCGGAATAAGAATGTAACGTACTCGGTAAAAAAAAGAAAGAAAGAATATAATAACGTACTCATAATTATTAGTCTTAAAATGGATAAATCCAGATTTGATCCGTTCTACGGCATCTAGCTTGCTAGAATCAAGTTCCTCTAGCTCATTCGTTAGCTGCTTGATCTTTGTGGTCGCAACGTTCCCTAGATCCGATTTCTTACTACAAATAGACCAATTCGAAACATATTAAACACAAAAATTATTATCTTTATATAAAAAAAGTATAACATTACGATACATGTATATATATATTAGGCCAAATGATCTATGGGTGTGTGATGGGGAGAATAAGAGAGTTTGTACCTGAGAAGCTCTCCAAGTCTTTTAAGGGCATCTTCGTACGACGCCGTCGACATTTCTTTCGTTCACCAAAGAAGAATTTTTGTTTTGAATTCAGATAACAAATTAAATTGTATGCACTGTGTGGGAAAAAGTAAAGGTTATATATGATTATCTAATTGCGTTGACCTTTGTGGCTGGACTTTCCTCAGAGCCTAAGAGACACACAAAGAGAAACTAAGAAAATACGAGAAACTGGTCGAGAGATTTCCGATTTTAAACCAAAAACATGCGTTAATGCGATCAAAACTGAAATAGGTTAATGGCTTTGAAACTAAAACAACCAAAAGAAATAGAAAAATAAACGATATCTGTATAGTTTCTCTTTAGACGAGATCGTATAGAAACAGAAATTATCATCCAAATCTACGACAAACACGAAATGGTAAGTAAGAAAAACAAAGATTATGATATATGATATAGTTGTTACACGGACCTTTATTCGAAAACAGAGAATTCAGAGAGTGGTTCTTGAAAATGAATACAGTTTTTTAGCTGATATGTGAAGATGCTCTCTACACGGCTATTTATAGCCCGATATATGCGACATTTTCTTACTCGGAATTCATGCCTCAACTTGTCTTTTTAGGAAAACAAAATTCCTTATAAATTGGAGGCTTTTTTGCTGGTGAAAAAAAGCAAGTTTGTTATTTACACAGAAATTTTCGGGATAGATAGAAAAACGGAATGTTTGAAAAATATATACAAAAAGTTTTGCATGGCAGAGAAAAACCCTCCAAAATTAAAATATTGTCCAAAAAGAAAGAGAAATAGACACCAGTGTTGGATACTTGGATTCAGCATCTTGGTTCCGTCTGTCCATATATCGGTATTGATTTTGATTTCTTCTAGTTTTAGTTTAAAACTCTCTCATTCAATCTCAATATGGCTAATTATCTTTGCCCATTCTTTAAAAAAATAGTTAAATTGGTTCAAATTTTTTTTTTTTTTTTAAATGCATAATAATTATGATACCGAGTTATTAAACCTACTTCGACCATTCAATTCTTTACGGAATCGATCGTTTAATGTATGCACTCTGAATCGTTTAATTAGGCTTAACACCGTATAAGGTTTAAAAAAAAAAGGTAGCCACATTAGGTTTTAAAAAATTGAAAACCTAAACACTAACTTAACCTATACATATCCCACATAAATTGATTATATCCTCCCATTTTTTGGCTAATTTAATTTTCCTCCGGAATCAATATCGGTATTGTGTTTTGGGGCAGAGGCCGATTTAAGAAATAAGGTTAAAACCCTAGGTTGGTTTGTGGGTTGTAAATATAGCTTTGATCCACCACGGTTTGTATATCTCCGGAGTGCCAGCTTGCTTTGTTTTACGTAAGGATTGTTTTTCCGGGCGGCTTTGTGTAATTCTTTTCAAATGATCTTGCCTCCTAACTTGGTTTTGAGTAGTGTTCGTGGTTTCTTGGCCACTAATCGATCGATTAATTTTGTTTGTTTTCTCTATCTAGGTGGCTTTGGTGTGCATCTTTTCTCCAATTTCAAGGTCTATGTTTCGTGTGTATCACGTATACACACGAATCCAGAGTTTGAATTTTTTTGTTTCGTTTGGTTTGTTCTGTTTTTGGATCTGTGTGAATGTTCTTATGGCTTTGTGTTGTTTGTCTAGAACCACTTTTCTATTTTTTTAAAAAAATTCTGATTTGTTTTATAATCGATCATTTGTGTTGTACGGTAGACACACTCTATGTTTATATTTTGTGGGATTTGTTCATTTGATCTTTGTCTTTTAGCTTGGTTTATACATCGTCTCCATTTTTTTTTTGGTGGGAATTTGCGTTCATCTCGCTTCTTCGTTGTTGTTTATAATTTTGTGTAGGTTGCTTTGGCTCTTTGTGATATTTGTCCAGATTAGACACCATTGCTGCTTTGTCGAGGTTTCAGTTTGTGTTTGCATAGCTTTGTTTATGTCTTTTTGCCATTGTTTTCGTTTATTTTTCGTTTCTGTAATTTCTTATAGGTGTTCGTGTTTGATTTTGTGTTGTCTCGGAGGCTTGCTTTTGTGTTCGGGAATGGTGTCGAATGGTAAACTTGTTTGTGTCTATGTTTACACTTTTGGATTTTTTCTATTGATGCAGTTATATTGGTAGTTTTGTTTGATGCTCTTGCTAGATATGTTACACGGTATGGTTGTTTTGTTTGATAACTGAGCTTTGCTTTTTTATATTCATTAACCATGTTGTTTGTATTGTTTGCTTGAAATTCTTTGTAAGGTTTATGTGTCAACAGTGTTGTTAGTTTTTGTAATATGGTTTCGTAGCCATGCTATGAATTCATGTGAGCTTCTTTTTTTTAGTTGCCTCCAGAATTTTGTTGGGCTAATATCCAATTGAATGTTGTTCCTAAGAAGGTAGAGAATAGCAAGAAGATTTAGATATACCTAACTGAATGCAGGGAGAAAGTATTAGCAATGCAAGTTCATGAAAGAGCTTCTTCTATGTGCATATAGTAATTCAAGTGGTGTTCACAGCAGTCCTTTCGTAGTTAGAATTGACTATGATTGATTTTTCCTTTTCTTGTCGTCTCATGGTTATTTTCATTAATGTCAGGAAGAATAAATAGAAAAAGCAGGTCAGTTAGCAGATGTAATAGGGATGAGGAGGGAGAGAGATCATAAGAGCCAGAACGATATATCGAGGGAAATAGTAAAACTAACTTATTAACGCTAAAGTTTCAATCTTAGCAGATGCTCTTCTTAGCAGATACTAATCTATTAATCTGTTATCAATTTTTAATCAAGTTCCTTGGTAGGTATGGATATTTGAATTTACTTTTTTTTCTTACCACTTTGGATCAACGATTTGCCTCTATGTGTTCAGAATTAAAGCTTAAAGATTTGAGTCTTATAAGATTCGTGTGAGTAACACGGAGCCATTTGAAGCAGTTACACTGCTCTTCGAGTCATATATTTCTTAGATGTAACAAAACTTGAGGCTTCGAATATATTCAATTCACATATATCCATGCAGATTTTTACTTAATACGGTTGTGTCTCTGCATTTTTGTGTCTTATTGTTAAACACAAAGACAAAGAAATACGACATCTCAAATCTTTCTTAACTGTGGTTTAGTGGGAATTTGTTAACAATCCTTGATAAATCAGTATGCTGAAAGAACGTGTGGAGTAATGTTGATGTTCTTGGTAAATAAATATGCAGCAAGTATGGTCTTAAATGCTATAATTTTAACGAAGAGGATTAAACAGAAAATAAGGAGATGAGAACTGAAGTATTATGCGTGATGAGGTGTTTAAAAAAAACGAATTGGACAATACCAAACCGGTTCCAAATCTTGTTTGAAATGTTTGAGAAAAAGCAGAAGGTACAAGAACAAACAAATAATTGTTAAAGTTATGAAGATGTATTCATGGCAAAAAAAAATGTGTGATTGATTATGAAGGAGGAGAATAACGAGATGGCAAAGATATTTGAAAGTAAATTAAGAAAAAGAAAAAAAAGGAAGAAAAGTTAGAGGAAACAAGACTAAACCTATTTATTGTAGAATTATATTTCATGAATGAGAATAAGAAGAAAAACATGTAGGAGATTCTTTAAAAGGAATGAAAGGAAATCTAAATTTAATGATGTGATTATTTTCTGAAATTCTTGTGTCTGCGCCTAATTACCTAGTAAATAGTATAATGATATTATCAAACTGAAAATTTATAAAAAGTATTTATTATATATAGTATTTTCTTATGATTTAACATTTTTTTTTGAAAATTATATGATAATTATTTGGCCAATTTTTTTATTCTAGTTGATTGAACCTTTTTCAATAAAAGTGCAAAACGTTGGTACTAAATAATGATGAATAAAGTTTATGTTGGAATTTTTTTTTAAAATATGAGAAAAAATTATTAGATTGAAAATTATAAAATTATTTTTTTTGTTATAAATGACTAACATGTTTTTTTTTTTTAAAAAAAAACAACTAACATGTTGAAATGTATTCTTGTCGAATTTTGATATAATATCGTATATTCATAGGATCGATCGCTAGAGTCCTTTTGGGAGTAAAATGCTATTACTTGTATAATTATGATATTTTACCTCAAAAAGGTGTATATATAATCTCCTTTGTAAAAATAAAAATTTGGTACCTTATATCTAACCACAGTAGATAAGCTTTTACATAGGAGACAGCCGTACTTGGTTTTTTTTAATATTAAGAATTTAACTACTTTTGAATAATAATAAATATATAATATGTAAATTTTTAAAATAAAATCAAGGAATTTTGAATTTTGGTTATCTAAATATATCTTGTTTGAACGTTTAATATAACTTTGAAGATTGTTTTTTTTTCTAGCTTTTATATTTTTTGTCTTTAAAGTTTTATTTTGGTATATGTTATAAACAAATGGACTTCTAGTAACTGGCCCATTAACCATCAGGTTAACCATCAGGTTAATGTCTCATGGCGCATTAGGGTTTCTGATACATTAGTTATGTAATGTATATATACACTGCTTATGGAAACAATAAGATGAGAGTTTTTTCCCTTAATACGTTATCAGCACGAAACTCAACTTCAAACGATCATATCTCTCAAAATACAAGGAGTTAGAAGGCGATCTACATATCATTTTGAAGCTCTGGAAGAGAAGAATCTAGTGGTGAAAACCGCTCCTCAATCCGACACCAGACGCGCCCTCAAGACTCAAAACAATCGGCGCTGTCCCACCTTAGCGGGTGATTCTTTCCAAGCGGTGGTTCCTCCATTGTAGCAGCTGTTCGTCCTCCCTTCTGGCCATCATTCTCAGGAGTTTCCAGTAGATATCTGTGGTCTTTAGCTCCCAGATCATAAGCCGGTCAGAAATCCATTTGGCGAAAAGGTATTATCTAAAACTATAGATTCTAATCAAAGTTTTGGTTTTTTTTTTTTGAAAACCCTAATATGGATCGGTTCTTTTCATGATTCTTCATCGCCTTTTTCGTTTTTAAAACCATAACCAAACCGATCTTCTTTCTTCTTGTCAAAGCCCTAA